TTACGCAGGTGAGGGAAGGCAGAGTCATGGCATGAATGTGGGGGAAGAAAAGACAGTCGAGGATCGAACAAGACACCTAGGTTACTGACTGGCTTATTATTATTAATTCAGCAAAATATTAGGCAAATGGGGTTGGCACGAGTCGAGGCTCGATGGCCCCAGTTCTCAATGAGGCTGCAGTGGGTTGAGGTGATCAGTGATTACTCTAAAGGTAAAGTCAATTTTAAGGGATAATTCACCTTTTTAATCTTTTTCAAAAGGGCACACGCATGGTACTCAGTGTCATGATACATATATTAGTTCTTTAAAAGAAATGCAAAGGTGTGGAATTATATTATAATAACATTTACCAGCTGTGTTTCACTATTTGTAACATATACACATTCAATTTGATAAGTCCTCTCTTTATATCCTATTTCATAAATTTGTGAGAAGTGTGATTTCTCCCCTTAATCAGGTAACATTGTTTATAGCTTTAGTGTTGAAAGCAGGGAGGGAGAGAGTTCTGAGTGAGGTGGAGGAATTCAGGAAGAGTTCCAGAGAGCATCAGAAGAGTGGCTAAATGCTTATAAGCCAACGGTGGGACAGAGAATTTGAAACAAAGTGGAAATGCTGCTGGTATCGGTAAGCAAAAACGATAGCCAATTAGTGGACAGCAATATCCCACAAAAAGCCATGAAGTGAATGAGTGTTTTTTTTCTTTCTGGGCGATTGGCGTCCAGGACACTGGGATTGGCATCCAAGAAACTCCCTTTGAAGGAATGGAAGGCTTACTCCGGACATGATGGCTCGAGGGCAGTCCATCAGGACAGCAGGGTTACAGATAGAGACAGGGAGGTAGAACTTGGTGTGATTGACACCCCCCCCCCCCCCCCCCCATGTCACCAAAGAGAATTGGGCTGTGTACTTTGTGGGCGAAATGAAATCCACTGTACGGTGTATTCTGTGAAGCTCTTTGTGACGTCTCAGCCCCAAGGACGTGGCGAGGTGCTATATCAAACGCGAGGATGTTGATGATGAAGATGATGATGATGATGCTTATTAGGAGTCCTGTAGCTCAGTGGTTAGAGCACTCGCTTTGCAAGCGAGACACCCGGGTTCACTTCCCGGTCAGGGCGAAACCTTGGGCAAGTTTCCTTACTCCACACAGAGCCTAATCGCAATCCCTCCAAAAGAACAAAACAATAATAAATGGGGTCATTTCCAACCCCACGACTGTCAGTGGGACATCGCTGTGCGCGATTGGCCGCCGCGTTCGCCCCCAAACATACAGTCAGTTCGCTTTACAGTGTGTTCCGTGAAGCGCTTTGAGACGTCGAGAAGACGTGAAAAGCGCTGTATCAAATGCGCGGATTGTTATTATTATTATTATTATTATTATTATTACAGTCAGCGCTCGTTGCTCGGGACTGTCCCTTTAAGGGTGTGTTGGCCCCGCCTCCTCCCCCCCCTCTCGCTTCCGGTGTGTGACGACAGAACCTCTTCCTTCCTGGAGAGAAGAGGAGGAGGAGGAAGAAGAAGGAGAAGAAGAAGAGGAAGGAGGAGGGAGGGGGGACCATCAACAGCGCTGAGAGCCATCGCAACGACTGCAACGGCGGCGGTTTCCAGCGAATCCCTTTTGGACGTTAGAAAAGAAAAAAAGGGGGTAAAAAAAGAGAGAGAGAGAGAGAGAGAGAGAGAGGGAGGAGGGGGGGAGAGGGGGGGAAGCCGTTGGCCGGTGTTGATAGCGGGAGGGGCGGCTGCTGGTCGGTCGGAGGCCGGAGTTGCCCGCCCTGGGCCCGGCGATGTGACCGTTACAGCCGCTCTCGTCAGTGTCTGTGGGTGTCTGTGTCTCTCTGTCTGGCCCTCTCTCTCTCTCTCGGAGGTGTTTATTTCTCTCCCCCCCCCCCCCCCCCCCCCGGGCGGCCTCTGGGCGCGGACCCGCCTCTCGCCTTCCTCCTGCAGCAGCCACACACACTGTGGGTCCCCGGTCAGTCAGTCCGTCAGTCAGTCACCATCCACCTCAACCCACACAGAACCTCACCTGTTAAACCACCAGGACCTGCAGAGAGAGGTAAGGAGCCCGAGCATTCAGCAGCTTAACTGCAACTTATATATATATATATATATACTGTGTACACATGTGCATTTATACACTGTATATATAATACTGTATATATTTTATATTTACGTATGTGCGTATGTGTATACTGTATGTATATATGTATTTACATACTGTCTAGAATACTGTATATATTATACTTATGTATGTGTATACTGTAAATATGTGTGTGTTTATTTATGTACTGTATATATAATACCATATATATATTTACATATGTGCATGTGTGTATACTGTGTATGTGTGTGTAGATACTGTAGATGTACTGTACATACGTATTTACATATATGTGTATGTATATACTATATATTACTGTGTATATATTGTATATTTACATATGTGTGTGTATTTGTATACTATATACATACTGTATATATGCTGTAATATATACCTTATATCATGTAAACTATGTATAATAATATAATTAATTATATATAAATACACTATATGCATATACTGCATATGTACTGTATATATCTAATTGTACATAAATATATAATGAGGGTTTGTTATTCCTATAAAATGCAATTTTTAAAAGAATGACTGGTTTTCCAGGAATAAAGGTAGGTTAAATGTACTTAAGTTTCTTTTTTAAAAAAACTGTGTGTGTTTGTGTGACTTTTGCACACCACAGATCAATGCTGAGTAAGTTTTATTGCACTTCGTGCCATGTATGTGTTTCATTTTATTTTGATAAATATTAATGACACTTTGAGGCATGGGTTGTTTGTATATTTCGGAAAGGTTTCATTTTGACTCATGACCACTCAAATATTATTACAGTGTACCTGGTTTATTGTGTAATGTTTTCAATTTACAAGGGGGACGTTTCCTTGGTTGTTTTAGAAATAGTGGAAGTTTGTTTGAGGGAGAAAAACGATCTGAAAGAGTTAATATGTACTTGTGGTCTTCTTGCAGTAGCAACATCCTGTATGACGGATACATTGATATTATTTGTATCAAAATACATCATTGTTGCGCGTTAGTTTATAAATGAAACGCTACTTTCAATCCCCTTTTCATGTTTGTGGGAATGTTACTCCTTTTCATATGTACATATGAGTCGTGGAGTCCTGTAGCTCAGTGGTTAGAGCACTCGCTTTGCAATCGAGAGACCTGAGTTCAGTTCCAGGCAGAGGGCGAAACCTTGGGCAAGTTTCCTTACTCCACACAGAGCCTAATAATAATCCTTCCAAAACAAAAAACAATAATAAATTGGTCATTTTCAATCTACGACTGTTTGTGGGACATTGCTGTGCGCAATTGGCTGCCGCGTTCGCCCACAAATATACAGTCAATTCACTTTACAGTGTGTTCTGTGAAGCGCTTTGGGACGTCCTCCCGACGTGAAAAGCGCTATATCAAATGCAAGGATTATTATTATTACATACAATTGCAACAAATTATCTCCTAGGCAGTTTGGCCCTCAGAAACTTACTCAGCTACAATACAATTCAAATCAGCCACACAAAAAGAAATTCAATTGAAAACAAATAGTTTGAAATCTCAGTATCTATAACATTTTCTTTATCTAATTCATTACATAATAACCGTGCACTAAACAACCCCTTTGCAAACATTGTAGAAAGGGAACAAAATACTTTAGTTGAAAGTTTGGAAATAGAATAAGTGAGGCAGATTTAATGCTGATGAAGATTACTTTAAAATAGTGACCTCATCTAAGGTTTAATTGCTGTAAATGCATACATTTATTTATTTATTTATTTATTGGAATTAGTTAACGTGGATCTGTTAATGGTAGCAATATGTTTGCAAAGTGATTGTTTAATGCATGGTTGCTATGTAATTAGATGGAGAAAATTATTTAAAAAATTAGAGAATTTAATGCAAGTATGATGATGAAGCCCGTCATCCCAATCCTCCACAGGCTCCATTGGCTCTGAATGGATTACTTCAAGATTCTCATCTTCATTCAACAAATCCCTTCACACCCTAACACCTTCCTACTTCTCGGACTTGCACATGCCCCACTGTGCTCCCCCCCCCCCCCCCCATTGCTCAGCTATCGCAGGCCGACATCATATCCTCTGACCTTTCTGTGCCACCATCAGTGGCCATTTCGCCCCTAATGTCTGGAATTCCCTACCTCTAACTCACCCCCTCTTTATTTTCAAATCCCATTTGAAGCACCACACAAGCCTTCATAGCCGTTTTATAGACTGTATACTGAAAGCCATTGGCTTCAGCACTCTGAGGTGTAACTCCAAATTGTAGGGCATTATATAAATACAAGTGATTATTGTATTGCAGTTGGTAACCATTTAAAGTTCCCTTTTTGAACTATTTATGATCTTTTTGATTTTTAGTAACCAATCATAATTCAACTCGAAATAGCAAGCATCTGAATTTATCTCTTTGGATTGTACATCCTTAACTGGAAGACTTAATAGTTGATGTTTTTCCATTTTGTTCTGTGGTATGTAAATTTGTTCCAACTGAATGTCAGCAAGACCGAGGCCCTCGTGATCGGCTCGCTCCAGCACCTCCGCACCTTGGGCGCTGGTAGAATCATCCTCCACGGCTGCACACTCAACCTCACTAAGCCAGTCAGGAACCTGGGTGTCTTGTTTGACCCTGAACTGTTCTTTCTCCACCACATCCGCACCATGACCGGCACTGCCTACCACCACCTCTGCAACATTGCAAGACTCTGCCACTGCCTCACCCCTCAGGCTGCCCAAACCCTCACCCACACATTTGTCACATCAAAGCTCGATTATGGAAACTCCCTCCTCCTCGGCCTTCCCAACTCTTCCCTTCACAAGCTGTAGATCATACAAAACTCTGAAGCTTGTGTACTCTTGTGCACCAGGCTCCGTGACCTCATCACTCCCACCCTCACCCGAATCCACTGGCTCCCCATCCCTCAGAGGATTGAGTTCAAGATCCTCGTCCTCACTTTCAAGGCCATCCATGGCCTTGCCCCCTCCTACCTCTCTGACCTGCTGACTCCCAACCAACCTGCCCGCTCCCTCCATTCAGGGGGCTCCAGCCTGCTCCATGTCTCCCACCCTGCCATCGGTAGGCCAGGCTTTCAGCCTCTCTCACTCAGAGCACCAAATCATATGTTGTTAAAAAGATGGTTCAAGAGCTTTGGAAGAACAATTACAGTGCATTTCACATCTACTTCAATACCTTTTGCAAATATTTTATGCTTTGTGAATGACATTGTTCATGAAACCATCCTGGGTCAGCTTCATGATTGTGGCTTTAGCACAATTTGTGCTGTCTGAGCCCCTGTTCATGCTGAACATTTGTTAGCTACCAAATGTAGCTCATAAGTACAGCATCAAGAGACCAACTGTTCAATCGCAGCTTTTGTGCAAAGTGCTATCTCCCTAGAGACTTGTATAATAAGGCCAGGGAGAAGCTACTCCTCCCTTTCCCCCTTTATTCCATGCTGAGTTGTTGCGCAGTTGTCATCTTGATGAGGAAGGGACTACTTCACTTTTAATCTATACAAAGAAAACGTAAAAAGCAATTATCTCCTTTAATTATATGTTCTTCCTTCTTTGGCCACTGTGCACCACATACGAGCTGGAAATGTCCGATAGGCAGCTTACTCCCTGGTCAATTCTGCTGTATAACTGCCTGATAGGAATTGCAAAAAAAGGCTCAAGATGATTCCCCACGCCCCCCCTCCCCAGTTTCTTTTACTTCTAGCTTCCCTGAGGAACAGCATCCTACCTTCATTGGACATCCCAACTGAGACTGTGAACACTTGAGGGGAAATCATGAACTCAGGAGAATTTTCTAAATATTCAGTGAAAGACAACCATCCATAAAGGCAGAAGCTGTTCACTTAATTGACTGCAAAAAATGTTCTTTCAAATTACTACAGCAATATTTTGTTTTTGATGTATTCTGTATAAATTTTAATGGGAAACACTATTCAAAACATGAATTTTAGTTTTCACGTGCTGCCTCCTGTAAATAACAGGGTTTGCTTCAACAACAACTACTTCCATTTATATTGCTCCCTTCACGCAGTCCCAGAGAGCTTGACAGTAGTGGAGTCTGATCCCGAGCCAGGGGGAGGTGACCGTAAGCGCGATCAAAAAGGAAGATTTTTAGGTGGGATTTGAAAGTGGGGAGGGGGCAAGATGGAAGGTTTGAGGGAGAGAGTTCCAGAGTTTCGGGGTGCAGTGGCTGAAGGCATGGCCACTGATATTGGGGGGGGCAAGGGACAAACAGGAGGCCGGCGACAGCCGAGCAGAGGCAACGGGTGGTGGAGTGGGGGGAAAGCAGATTCGGGTAGGCAGGGAGGTGTGAGGGCATGAAGGATTTGAAAATGAGTGAGGGGATCTTGAAATCGATCCATTTGGTAATTGGAAGTCAATGGAGTCTAGCAAGGATTAGTGTGATGGGGTTTTCATGTGGGTGAATATCCGTGCGGCAGAGTTTTTAATTAATTGAATCAATTCAAGTAGAACTGTTGCTACCTTTTTAATTATATGGGTTCCCAGGATAAGCTGAGGGTAGAATCGTGTTTCCCAACCTGTGTATGCATGTACTCTCTAGTCTCTGTGGAAGAATTCTGGGATGCAACTTAGCACCAAATTAACTTGGCAATGACAAAACCGTTTGAAATTTGAAGTGGATAACTCAAGCGCTCTGGGACTCGACCTGCATGACGAGTGCTGTATAAATACTGGTTGTTCTTGTTAATGTTTGGTTTTATTTGATTGGAAAAGCAAATAAAACCAAGCAGAGAGGTTGAAGAGGACAAGGAGACCGAGAGCCCTGGTCGCAGATAGACAGAATGTCATTAGTGACTTTGACCAGGGCTGTTCCCGTGCTGTGGGCAGTAGGGAAACTTGGTTGGAGAGGTTCATAGAGGGAACGGCGGGAGAGGAAAGAGTGAGGCTGGAATGCGACAACTCGTTCCAGGGTCTTGGACAGGAATGGGAGGTTGGAGATGGGGTGATGGGTCCCACTACCTGGAGAGTAGTGATGGGTCCACGGAGATTGTTTTGAAGATAGGGTTGATGACAGCTGTTTTCAGAAGGGTAGGAACAGTGCCTGTGGATAAGGAGAAATTAATGATGTCGGTTAAAAGAGGGGCCAGGAGGTGGAGCTGGGAGTTAAGGATGCGGTGGGGATGGGGGTCAAGGGAGCAGGTGGTGGGCTTCATTTCTGAGACTGTTTTCACACCAGTGTGGTGTGTGTGGTTGTGTGTTTCAGTTATTTGTTTTTCTGATTGTGAGGTTATCATACTTGAAACGAAACAAATAGTGCAGGTTTTGAATTTGAATAGTGCTGTTTTTGAATAGTGACTACATTAGTTCCTATCTGCTCTGCAGCTTTTTTTGCTTCCTGTTTGTCAGTGCCCTTTTTCTGTTACGATACAGTTTGTTTACCTTCAATCCCACTTCTGTCTTGTAAAGGGTTCTTGTACATATTTGGCTTAGATTTTCTTTCTTTGGTGAAAATGTTGACTTACCGATCTACGAAAGCTTTATTAACATAATAATAATCCTTGCATTTGATATTGTACCTTATCACATCGTCGAAATGTCTCAAAGCGCTTCACAGAATATCGTGCAAAATGATTTGACTGTATATTGTGGATGAGTTTGTTTGTTTGTGTGTGATCTACTTGAATTATAAATTACAACATTGCATTAGTCAGTCAGTTTTTATCTTAGAAAGCTCGCAATTTGAGGGCTTCCACTTTTTCGTTGCAAACACAGGAAACCACATCTGTACTATGCAACTGTTAACGATATTTTTGCCTGTCCATATGTGTTTCAGTTGGCATGTATCTGTTGCTTGAGGTGATTTAGGACATGAGTTGCACTCAATGAAGAATTATTTACTAAATTGTATTTCACTAGTAAAAAGATATTCTGTGCATGTGGGGAAACATTTTCTGTACTGAGTACAAACAGGATTTTATCTCCAATGTTTGCCGAGTGTTATTTAAATCATATATACACCTATTTGAATAGACAATATGCAACTGATGCAAGTTGCCCAATACATGGGGAAAAAACATGAATATAGAGCACAAATCTCCCTTTCTTTTGGCCTCTTTTATTTGCTTTCACATGCTGCCTCCTTTCTTGTTTCTGTTCTTAGTGTATTGAGTCAAAATAGCCTAACCTTTGTAGTCTCATTATGTTTCTGTTACAGAACAAAAAATCAGCAATTTATCTGAATTTAGAAACATTCAGTGCCTTGCTTTGGTCAAGAACATAAGGTGATTTTTGTAGCTGTTAACAGTAATCTCCTTTTGATCACTTAATTTGTGCTGTAGTTAATGTTTTTTTATCATTGACGTGTTTTTACAGGGCTCTTCTATTTTGTCTTATCACTTATCTTGTAATCATATCTACTGCTTTTCTAATCATTCTGTGCTCTCTTCATTAACACACCTTCAGTGCACAAAACACTACTCTCATAAATCAGCAGCTGAATCATTTCACCTTGATCCTTCAATAGGGCAGTCTGGCTCAGTTGGTAATACTCTCTTAGTGAGAAGATTGTGTGTTCAATCCCCACATTGGGACTTCAAACTCTTAAGCAGTATTGGAGTGTTCTGTGTAGTTGGAGGTGTCGTCCTTCTGGTTAGATTTTAAACTGGAATTCCATTTGTCTGTTTAGGTGGACATTAAAGATTTCATTGCATTATTCGAAAAGAGGAGAGTTTCAGAGGATGTCCTGGCTATCAATCCTTCACATAAAATTGGTCATTCATTGTATGGCTGTTTTGGGGATATTGCTGTGTGCAAATTGGCTGCTGCATTCGCCCACAAAATACACAGTCACTATACTTTGCAGTGTAACCTATGAAGCGCTTTGTCCTCCTTACATGAAAGGTGCTATATCAAATGTAGGTATTGTTAATAATTATAATAAAGTATAATACTTTTGTTTCTTAAAAATATCATCTAGTATGCAGACATTACTCCTCCTTTTTCTGCCGTGTCATTTCATATCGAAGATGTGATAGGGTGCTATACCAAATGCAAGGATTATTATTATGTTATCAAGTTTCTGTTGCAAAGTGCTTCAAATTATTTAAATTTTGCAGTATAGTAGTGACTGTTATATAATAACAATAATAATCCTTGCATTTGATATAGCACCTTATCAAGTCTTCGAGACATCTCAAAGCGCTTCACAGAATATACTCTCGTGAATTGACTGCTTATTTTATGGGCGAAACGTGGCAGCCAATTGCATACTGCAGTTTCCCACAAACAGTCATGGATTGAAGTGACCAATTTATTATTTTTTTTGGAAGGAATTATTACCCCGAGAAAAGCGATCCGCCAATCGACTAACAACCGGGTTCCCACTTACTCCTGGGTAAACAGAGGCATGTGGAGTAAGGAAACTTGCCCAACATTTCACCCTGCCGGGAATTGAACCCAGATCTCTCACTTGTGAGGTGTACAGGGGTATTTTTGGACCATTACTGGAAACTTATTGAAATTATTCTTTTACACAGGAGCCTAAAACTGCCCTAATGGACAGGAATAAGAGTACAACTCAACCCATTGGCCAGGGTGGAGCAGAGACATTGAAGGTACTGAGTGCTACTTTATTTTTGACTCAAGTTTAGACCATAACTTTTTGTCTGACTGTATTGTGCTGTCCTCCATGTTTGTTCAATGCTTTCCTGGGGGAAATTGTACATGAATTGCCAAAAGGATTGTGATTTGTTTCATTGTAACTGGTCAATAGCGTACCCCCAAAAACTGGATTTATAGGTGGCTATGACAGCCCAACTGAGCACAGTGATGTCCCACAAACATCTATGAAGCGAATGACTAATTTTATTTGGGAGGGGGGGATTGTTGGCCAGGACACTAGGAGAAACTCCCTCCTTTTTTCAAATAGTGCCATGGGATCTTTAACATCCACCTGAACAAGCAGACAGGACCTCGGTTTAACATCTCATCTAAAGAGCAACACTTCCGACAATGCGGCACACTCCCAGCATTGCATTGCAGTGTCATCTTAGATTATGTGAGTTCAAGTTGCGACAGAGGGCTTGAACCCAGAACTCTCTGGCTCAGAGGCAAGAGCACTAGTTGGAACTGGTTGGTTTGAACTGGCATGTAGTTTATTCCACCCTCAACCTCTTTAGTCAGACTGATTCAATATGCTAATGTACATCACTTGTTGCATTCACAATTTGACTTTTTTTGTATTGCATGGTGCAAGTCAAAATTGTATTCTTTGTGTTCTGCTGGCTGTTTCTAGACTGCGGGAACATTGTGGCATTCCAGCTAAAATGTCTGTTAGTCAATGTTAATGTTTATTCAAAAATAAGTTGTACATTATTTATGGCAGATAACAGTAACACGTGCCTAAACTGTTTAATCTAGATGCACATTTTTACAATTAACTCTTATTCTAAATTTAATAAAAGGGACTTGTGATAGTTGTTCTTTCTTGGAATAATATGTATCCACTATAAATGTTAACAGGAACCCTACTATAGGGCATGAATCCCAATTTCAGGAATGACAACGGGTGAAGTACACTCGCTACCCCATCTGCCAGAGAATATTGGGTTTTACTCTGGTAGTCAATTTAATTATTTACATCTGTATCTAATCAATATACTAGGACACATTATCAGAAATAGAATAAATGCCACAATTATAACTTCTGCTTGGCGAAAGATAATAATAATCCTTGCATTTGAGATAGCGCTTTTCACGTTTTCTAGATGGCTCAAAGCGCTTCACAGAATATACTGTAAAGTGCATTTACTATATTTGTGGGCAATCAATCAAACAGATGAGTAAATTGCTATTCAAATTTTAACAGTTTACAAGAAGGTATGAGTGATTTCCTGGTTATTACAGTGTGCTTACCTATGTATATAATGCTTATTAATTTTTCTCTTCACCCTCCTAAGTATTCTTAGAGTGAGTCCTGGTACGGAGAGGGTTTCCCTTAACAGCATTGTATCGAAATTGTGTTAACTTGTGCATCCAGCCAAAACTACAGCAATAATAATCTGTAGTAGATTTCGGGTTAGATTTTATTGTCTTGAGAATGATATTAATTTAGAACTTCTAGAAAGTTTGTTTTGTTTAATCTCGGGCCTTGAAACATACTATTTATTTTGTATAATCAATATCAGTTGTTTCTTCCCCAAGTGTATAGTGTTGTAAACCAGGAACAACTTAGTTGCCTTTTAACGTTGTTTGGCATGATACACAGGGGGTACCATTGTTTTTATTTTTGGTGCTTTTTCTACAAATGTTGCAAGTTAAAAGTAAGTCAACTCCTCTGAAATTGTGAAGTACCTGTGGTATTTTCTTTTGAAAGCTTCACTTGAGTGCTGCATTTTAATTTTCTTCTCTTTCTAGTGTGGGGGCAATTTTAAAATTCCAAAGAAGAAGAGGATCTCTGAGATGGATAATGTAGACATGCACTCTCCGTTGTCCCGACTTTCTGACTCAAGAGTTGAAAGTTTAAAAACATCACATGTGAGTTGAACTCAAATTAAGTATCAAACTTTCTGCCCTCCTCTAATTTTCTCCCCTTTTCTGATTGCCTTGTCGCTCCCTTCTGAAGATGACGATTTCTGTGATTTGTAGTGTCTTGTCCCTGTTGTAAAAGTTTGTTATAATTCTCTATTTGTTATGCTTTTCTTAAAACACACAAATTACAAGTATATTCATGCTTAATCTGCTGTGAATGCATAAACTTCAGTTTACCTTGAAATGTTTAGATTTAGCACCACAATAACATTTTGTAAAAATGAGCTATTTCATAAAATTGGTTTCAAGTAAATTATATAGTTTTTATAAATACAAGTGAAATATAATAAGAATTTCTTGGAAGGGAATAAAAATGTCACCCCAATTCTCCTTTGAAGGTTGATGTTGGAGATTGTAATATGTTTATCAATTTTTTAAAATATTTATGAATTGCTTAAGGGGAATACATACATTCCATAAATAGTTCCGTAATCCCTAAATGCTGTAATTGGTGATCTGCATAGGAATGCTTCAGGCCTTTCAATGGTGATGATTGAGATGTTAGTAACAGTGCAAACATCTTCTGTTTATTAAATTTCGAATTATGGGAAATTCAGTAGAATGTTTCCCTTTTTTTAGAAAATGTTAAACTTAACAGATTTTGTGGTCTGTTTGCAGAAACGTTGGCCATTTTCTTATAATAGTTTCAATAAAACGAGTAACCAGGATTTGATTGTTTATAATCAAAGGAAGAACTCCCCTTCAAAACGTAGCTTTTCAGGAGATGGAGTACACCTGAAGTAAGAATACAATTGATTGTCCTTTTTAGATCTTTGCTCATGCATGTTTTACTCGTTATTCAATGCTTTGTTGAAACATACTGTTCAAATGTTCAAACACCAGTAATGTCTCTATTTTAGCATGAATGTTTTACTATAGTTGGTTAAATGATCTTGTCCTAAATCAGTGGTGGCCAACCTTTTTGATCTATGTATTAATTAAGAAAATTCAACCAAGGAGAACCTGGAAATACATTGATTGATCGAACAGGGACTTGCGTAGACTACCGCAAATGTTTGGGGGGGCCGCTTTGTGATAGCCTCAGACCACTTCTGGGGTGCGGGCCATAGGTTGACAGCGGTTGGCCACCCATGTCCTAGGTGTTAGACATTAATCTATTTCAAGTAGATGTAACAAAATCTGAATCTGTCAATTGCCCATCTAAATCTTTCATGCCATTCCGTTCCGTAAGCCAATGTACTGACCTTTTATGAATTGCTTAAATTAGCACAAGACCATCGCTGATGATTTGGCCAATTCTTTGTCATTGTTCATACAACTCTCACCACTTATTTTTGTTCACACCTTTGTGGTATGTCAAATTGCCCTTTAATTTGTTTTGATTGGATTTCGTTTTATGCTTGGTGTGTTCGGCCACTTTTTATAAAACTCAAAAATCCCATCTGTCGATGAACAGATATAGTAATCTTAAACCTTGCTTGAGGAGACCTTGGCTGATGATTGTGTTGGGATTCTTCTCAAACCACAATGACTGCTGCTCTTGAAATGCTACATCCATTTTTTAATGGATAGATCCATTACATTTTCCTGAATCCACCTTTCCTATTTTGGAAGTGTTTTCACTAAATCCATTAAAATTGTCTTTGCATTACACTTTGCCTACAACAGGGAAGCCAGAATTGTACTCAAAGATGTGCTGATGACAGATTCAGGAAGACGACACTTGCTGCAGCTAAAAAACAGAGGCTGTAGCAATGTTGAAAATACTGACACTTCACACCCAAAGCATCACACGCCTACAACAAGTGAACTAACAGATAATTGCCACGTGGAAACCAAAACATCTCACCAAGCCAGTCAATCCAACATTTTATTCAGCAGGTGGGTTCTTGAGGTATTTAGTGGCTAAATGCTCGTGAGCCCTGTAAGGCCTCACCATTGCGATCTTGCCAACCTCTGTACTTAATTACTCCTTGTGTTTGGTGTACCACCTTTCCCGTCAGGGGTTGTACTGGGAGTGCTTCACAGGATTTACTGTGAAGTGGAATTAATGTGTAGATGAAAGTGGTGACCCAATTGTACACAGCAAATGTCCAATAAACATTTGAAGTGAATTACCATTTTTCAAATTTGGGGATTGTTGGCCAGGACCCCGGGAGAAACTCCCTTCTCTTTTCAAATAGTGCCATGGGCTCTTTAACATCCACCGAAACAGGTAGTCGGGATCTTGGTTCAGTTAGTTCTGTCTAAATCTTAAGAATGATTAAAATTTACAGTGCAGAAGGAGGCCATTCAACCCATCGCGTCTGCTCTCAGAGTAAGCTGCACTTTCAATCCTATTGCCCTGCCCTATCCTCATATCATTTCAAACCTCTTAAAGAAGAAATAATCCTGATGTGCAACTCAACATATTTCTAAGATAGGACATTATAGGCAGCAATGAGCCAAATGTGTTTAAAAGCATTAATTGAGACAGGCTAAATGTCATTCTCTGTGGCTGGGGAAAAGGCATTGTGCTCTTATATTAGCAGTATTTTCCAAGGAACTTGGGCATCAGCAAATAGCAAGGAGGCTTCAATATAACATGCTTGCTGCTTTGGATTTCATTGAAAGTTCCATCTAACATCTTGGTCAGCAGGGAGGTGACTGGGATCTTGGGCCAGTTACCCTGACTAACACTTCTGGTTCCAAACAAATGCTTAAATTGGTTAAAATCACTGGTCCAGCTGATATCCTACCTGTCCCAATCCTCTGGAATTTCATCCCAGAGTCCCTCCTTCCCTCACCTCATTCAAGGTCTGTCTCCAGACCTACCTCTTTGCCTGCGCTTTCAGTATTCTCTCCCCTCCCCACCAACCTCGGCTCTCACCAGTTTGGGTGCCAAGCCACGATTGTTAAGCCCCACTCAATTTGTAGAGGCTTGTCATTACTTTCTGAGCATTTTTGGCTTCAGAAGAAGATGGCCTGTTTTAGTTTCAAGATGGACCTTGAAACGTGTTCAATGTAGTCTCCCATTTCTCCCTCTTCTCTCTCCTTTCCCTCTTCACCCACTCTTGTTTCATACTTGAATTATGGTATAGACGTGAACAACAACCTGTTCTGCCCGCCCCCCCCCCCCCCCCGTAATTTACTTTCTTTGTTTACTCTGAAGTAGATAGAGGAGACAAGTGCTGAAGAAAATATGATTATATTACATAATTTCTGTTTTTCATTTATGGTTGGCCAACAAAGTAAATTTTCTTGATTGAATATTTATTTATTACCATAAATCAAGAAATATTCAATCAAGAAAAAAACTGAAAACACATTAACGAATGAACACGTGCTTACTTGGACTTGTACAAATGTTTGGGCGGCCACTTCTTGACAGACACACAAGGGGCCATTGGTTCTAGAACATCAAATTAGCTGGTACATCACAAATTGTCTTGAAAAGGTCCTCCCACCTCCCTGAAGGCAGGTATCTGGAGCATAGCCTATGAGGAACCTTTGAGACTTGGGGTGACAGTTGCTGGAAGCCATTGCCTGGAGTTTGGATTCACGAATACAAATTCATATATACTCTTGTCACTAAAGCTGTGAATGAAATGAATGCTTTGATTTTGATCCTTTTTGCATTTTTCTATGTGATGTTCTCCATATAAAATTGGAGTCCTGTAGCTCAGTGGTTAGAGCACTCGGCTTGCAAGCGAGACACCTGGGTTCAATTCCAGGCAGGGCGAAACCTTGGGCATGTTTCCTTACTCCACACATCTAATAATAATCCCTTCAAAAACAAAGACAATAATAATTGGTCGTTTTCAATCCATGGCTGTTTGTGTGACACTGCTGTGCGCAATTAGCTGCCGCGTTTCGCACAACATATACAGTCAATAAAAAAGACGTGATAAACGCTATATCAAATACTTATTAAAAATAAGTTAGATTTTACAAACACACAATCTTAATGAAGTTCAAACTCAAAATATTAATTGCATTACACCTGAAGAAGACTAATCTCTCTGTTTATAAGATCATCTGAACCAGAGATCGCAGCATAGCCTTGTAACGCACTAAAAGGACCTGCTGTTTATAATCCGTTTTGGATTTCTTTCTTCTGCTGCTTCTGTGAAGTTTTGCGGTTCGTGTCGCTTCTGTGCTGAATTTTTTTTAGTGTCATCGGCTAATGGCGAGGGCAGGTGAGAAGAAGCTTGTGGTATATTGTAGGGATATTTCCTTTTTTTGTGATAACTTGCAGTTCATATTTAAAATGGAAAACTCGACAGAATTGTAAATGTGTTGAAAACATAATGTTAGTTTTAGAAGCTCGTCAGTACCATCTAGTGACATAAATTGGGTACTGCAACTAATCCAAAAGAAGGTTCAAGTTTTACTGTATTAATAGCGATTAGTCTTTACTTGGTATTGCCGGGCACTGTCTGGCAAGCTTCCTTCTGTTTGTCCAGCTGGGACCACCCTACCTGATAGATCTTGGATTAGCAAGGTTAACAGAAACAAAGCCACCAGGAAACTCACAGGGAGTTCCTACCTACCATTGGTTAGACTCCAAGCAATATCCCAGCGCACACTCTCGATCCTCAAGCCTTGGCTCTTGCCAACTTGTGCTTAATACTTTCCAGAATTAGGTAAGCAGGATGTGTCCCTCCAGGGAGAGAGTGTGCATTCTGTCCAATAAACAGCTCTGGAATTTCCATGTATAGGTGAGATGCCTGGAAATCTGTTTGGTTTCAATACTCTTAGGCATGGTGATGATTTCCCCATGTATCAGACACCCAGTTGACCAAATGGAATGAAACCCTGTCCTTAGTGACTACTTTTCCCCTCCATGACCTTCTGATACGCCAGGCTAACTGGTATATGCTCAACAGTGCCTTGGAGTGCTGCAAACCTGCATTAGAACTATCACACAGCAACAAGGTTGAGACCGGGTATTTGTATGCACTTAAGCATATATACCAGAAGGTCAAAGGTTTGATTCATGGGCTACCCCGAGATATCTGATCTTAATCAGGGTATCAGGGTTGTATTTGGAACGCTATAGTTGGCATCAGTTCTCCTAGGTTGTGGAGGGGAAAAGTCAGTTAAGATTCCTTCTTTTTTACTACTGTAACCTTCTGCAATTTGCTTTTGTGGACAGGTAAGGAGTATATCACTGCACAAATGGAAATTCCATCAGGCTTGTATGTTAAGAATTACTACTTTTGGATGAGATGCAAGAGGATTGTGACTATGGAATTGTATTACTCGTTGTCTATACGTGCATTATGTGGCTTAATAGGCTTACTGTTTTTAAAAACAATATTGAAGCTGAAAATTAAGTGTTGCTCATCCTTAATGTTCAATAATGCATTTATTTGCTCCTCTTGCAATTGAAGGTTGTGAAAACTAGGAATCACCATTATTGCACGGTACCTGCAGTATGTATTGTTGGTAATGAGATATGTAATCAGCCTTGTAAATTGCATCAACCTTCTCTGTTTCAGTGGAGTGAAGCCTGAGAGGAGATCAGAGCACAGTATCCAGAAACAGAATGAAAATTCAACCAAGCCAAAGGAAAACCATATATCACCTTTTAGAAATTCTGAGCGTGCAACTGAAGGTATTTAGCATTTTGCTCGTTACCAATAAGTTAACTATTTATTCCAAACCCATTCCTAGTTTTGTAGCATATTGATGTGGTGCAGAAGAACAAGCATGTGGGTAATAAATTGCATTCATTTGATATTTAATTTTCTATGTTAAAGGTGAAGGTATGGGAACCTTCATAATTGAAGAACAATATTAACTAGAAAAATGGCCACTAAAATGAACAGACATGCTCAAGTACCAGCAGAAGGCCACATAGAATGAGAGTATTACCAGCAACTTTGGATGGATGGAGAGGAAGAAGAAAACTTGGTCCATTGTTTTTCTCTTTAGTATGTAGAGAAAATTGAAAGGACAGATTGAACTGGCAGGTTCTATATTACAACAAATTGATTGTCAAACACAAATGTATCTGTGTTTTGCATACTTGTTCAGACCAAACTCCGTACCCACATCTCACCAGTTCTGGCCAGGCTCCACTGGCTTCCCATCACTGAACGGATCAACTTCAAGATCCTCACACTCGTGTTCAAATCCCTTCACTCTCTGGCACCTCCCTCCCTTTCCAACCTCCTCATTCCCCAGTCCAACACCCGGCACTCCTCTCGACCACCACCGGCCTCCTGCTCGACCCTCGCACCCTTCGTCCCAACATCGGAGGTTGTGCTTTCAGCCACTTCGCCCTGAAACTCTGGAACACACTCCTTCAATCCCTCTGCCTTGCCCCCTCTCTGAAGGTCTGAAGTCCTGCCTGAAATCCTTCCTCTTTGACCGTGCTTACGGCCACTTCCCCACTCCCGACTCGGAGTCAGGCTCCGTCACTGTTAAGCGCTCTAAGATGCTATCCTGTGTGGAGGGTGCTATATAAGTGCAAGTTGTTGTATTCCTGCTAATATTCATGGATCACTTTGCGAAATAACTAATTGCATTTAATTTAGCACATACAACATCAAAACATCTTAAAATACTTCAAATGCAAGGAAAGTTCCCTTTACTAGTTTACAACTAATTCACTGCCCAATGTCAGGTTCTGTATTTGAGCATTATCTATCTTGGGTAATTTTGTACTAAGTTATGGAAAGTTTGTACCATTAACTATGTCTATGACCCAATAATTCCACTTGGGATATTTTAGCGTTCTTGTATTAGAATGATTGATTAGATTTAAGCCGAATGCTGGAGGTTAAAGGACAGTATGCTAATCTACTGTACCACCCGCTGCTTGGCTTTAAGTGTTGGTGCAATTTAACCCTTAAATACCTTCTCAAATATTATTTAGCTTATGCATTTTTCTTTTAATTGCTTATTGATTTTGTGCACCAACTTTTCTACATAGTTCTTAGTAGCAAGCAGCTGAGTTTTATATGACTTTTGGTATTGTGCATGTTTCCTGGAGTATATTGTACCAAGATAATTTCATGCAAAAATCTACTCTGGTTCTTGGGGTGCAAGAAATATTTGTTTTGTTTCAGCTCCCTACTTTAAAATTTTCAGATTTTCAGACAAGGCAAAAACATCCATGATTTCCCGGTTTTCAATCCTCATTTAGCAGGAATGATGTCATGTTAGAATATAATATAATAATAATCCTTGCTTTTGATATAGCCTCGTATAACGTCTCTGAGATATCTCAAAGCGCTGCACAGAATATACTGTAAAGTGAATTGACTATATTTTGTGGACGAAACAAACAATAACAAGTGTACATAGAATTTTTTTAAAAAAGCTGTTTTTTACATTGCAGATGCTTGTAGAACAGGACAAATAATAGGTGGAAACAAATCATGTGAACAGAAAACAACTAATGAAAGCCATTATGTGACAGATCTCCAAACAGATCCATCAACCGATTCACCTCTTTCAAGCCCTAGGAACAAAAGGTTGCGGAAAGCGATTCAGGATCACTGCAGCCAAAGCGATGCTGACAGTGCTTCACCTTCAAAGGTTGGTCGACAGGAATTTTAGTAATACCTTCATTTCTAACTGTTAGCGCATTTTTGTAGAAACATGCAACTTATTTAATATAATATAAATTTACCTTCACATTGGGAGGATGACCCAAAGAGTTTGGCAGTAGTGACTATATTTGTGGTTTTATATTCAGAAAAGAACCGTTTTAACACATATATATATTATATACGTTAAACGGTATTATATATATATTTTCTTTTCCTTATATATATATATATATATATAAGGAAATGTTGTTAGCTTTCCAAAAACTAGTGAAATCCCAGTCACTTGATTTTCAGCATGGTAACTGAAACCACTGATGGAAAATATATTCTGTTATTTATAAAAATTATTCTAATCGCTGAGCACTATCACTTTTATTGCATGAATTGAAATTTAATTTACTGGTAATAACCTGCTTTGTTATAACGTGCGTTTGCTTATAAGATGGGTTCCTTAAGGATTACCAACGGGTTTCTGGGTTATCAGGTCGCACTGAACAAGTACAGACGGTCATGACTTGATGATCCATGCGTAGGGCGTCACTGCTCATGTGATTGGTGATGTTTCGATGATGCTTAATGCCCTAATAATGATCATAGCTGCAAATCAATTGAAAGGGATAATCCAGGTTTTTTTTAACTCTGTATTTTTGATTCCAGAAAAATGGCGAGGATTCATTAAAGAAACAGATTTTTTGTCCAAGCTGCAAAAAGCAAACTGAAAACTGTTGTTGCTTTAGCTTGTTTAATAATAATGGTGAAGAAAAGGAGCTTTCTACGGAGGGATCCAAACCTGAGTCTTGTGTACAGCATGAACAATCTTTGTCACACTCGAGTACTAAACAACAAAGTCCGAATAGCAGGAATCAAGAGCTACCCAATCAAAGCCCATCAAAAATGACAACGCCTGATAGGAAGATTAATGGGAAGGAATATCCGCACATTTCTTTATCAAATGAACTTAAAACTGAATCCAGTTTGCGCAGCCAAGCTAGCACCTTGAAACCAGCACCAGTTTCAATTGAACCAAGTGGGTATTATTCAACTGTTGGTGGTACTTCATGAAGCTATTTACACAAAGTTTGTTTTGTTTTTATTGTCCAGTTTGTAACTAGTGCAAAATTTTGGCATTTTGTTCGTTCGTCAGCTCTTCTTTAATTCCTGTATCTAGACTTTGACCAAGACATTTTTTCCCCCCCAACAACCTCCATTGTAGCCCAAACTCAATATTTATGCTTTAGTCACTTCCAGACCTTATTTCTCTAATGGTCTCCTCACTGGACTTCAGGTTGATTTTTCCAGCTCAGCCAAACATTCAGATCCCATCATGGTTTATACCTGTATAAAACTTGCCTAGTCATACCTCTCTGACACCAAGCTCTACATGCCAATCCCTACCCCCCCCGATCTTTACCTGTCTCCCAATGGATTGACTTTAAGATTCTTGGTCTAACTTTCAAACCCCTCTGTTTTTGCCCCATCTAACCTCTTCCAGTCTACTATTCAACTAACTATTTGTACTCAGCAAACTTAAACCTACTGCATATCCTTGCTCCCTACACCCTACCTGTTGATAGCTGAGCTTTCAGGCACTGTGGCCCCACTCTCTGGAACTCCATTCTCAAATCCCTCTTCTGTCTCAGAACCCTTCTTAAAGCCTACCTCATCAACACTACCTTCAGTCCCCCCCCACTGCCATATTTCCCACTTTGCATAGATTTCCACTCAAATGTTTTGAGTTGTTATCCTACGTGAAAGGCAAGTTATTATTTGGCCAGATTCCAAATTATTTTTATTTGCCTACTTAAATGAACAAAATACAGTATGTTAACTTTAATTCTAAAGTTGATGATTCACAATGGCAGCTTTTAAAAAAAAAGTGAATAGTCTATCAACTAGTGTGACACAAAACAAAGTCTTAGTTTATTTGCAATATTTGATGCCATTTTTAACTGCAGATTTCTATCACCTTCATTGAGAATTGATAATAAATCACTGTCTAGTTAAATAGCAAACTAATTGTCAGGATTTAAAAATACTTTTTAAAATTAATTGATTTATTTTAAACTTGAAAACCAAATATAGTTTTATGTATCATGGCTGAGTTTCCAGAATGCTGTATAAAGTTTTCACTTTTGTTTAAAATAGAAGGTTATGGTATGCTTTTGCCAAATATTTTGCAGCCTTGAGGTTCACTTAGTTTCGCACAAAAGTGCAAACATACTAAATAAACAATACTAATCCATATTGGGCAGCATCTTGGACAGTTTATCAATCCAACAAATGGGTGTCAGCCTGGCTCAGTTGGTAGCACTCTCACCTCTCAGTCAGAAAGCTGTAGGTTCAAGTCCAACTTTGGGACTTTGAACTCATATTTTAAGCTGATACTCCAATTCAATGCTCAAGGTCTGTTGTATTGTTGCAGGTTCCTTACTTCAGATGGACATTAAAGTTCCCACTATTGTAAAAGGAGAACAGAGTTCTCCCAGTTTTCTGTTGAACAATCCTTCACCCCCCTCCAAATAAAATCGGTCATTCACTTTATAGCTGCTTGTGGGACATTACTGTGAGTTAATTGGCATCTGCATTTACCTACAAAATACATAGTCACACTTCACAGTAAATTCTGTGAATCTCTGAGAAATCTCAGTGAAATAAGGTATTATGATTGGCTTTTAATGGTCTCTTTCAGTTGTTCTTTCCAGTGATGATGAAGATACAGATAAAAATGAGTCTCTTCTACAATCGACAAAGTTAACTCCAGAAATTAAGCGCTTGAATCTGGGGCGCAGATCCCTGTCAACTGAGAGCTGTAACCAAGAGATTGTGACTGCATCACCACGACAGCCAGAGAATAAGGAGCAATCCACAAATGAAAAGGTAACTATTTTCTCTGTGGTAAGTGAAGCACATTGTGTTTATATGCACTTATAATGTGAATTAATCCCTCGTCCAAATAACGTCACGTTGAAAAAAGACAGCCTGCTGTTTAAAATGTAACCCTTTTCGATTTTCTTCAGACACGTTTCTGAAAATGCATTGCAGTGGGTGGGTTTGCTAGCCAATATTGTGTTTTCCAAGGACAGGAGTTTTGGGATCTATCCTCAGGGTAGCCGAAATTACTGGCCCTATTTGAAGTAAATGAAGCCTTTCCAGGATGTGCACAGCTTATTCTCTCTCGTTCATGGCACTTCACAGCCCAGCCTTGGGAGATCCTCGAAAATTAGATATTTCAATGGTGGTAAAAGATATTATTAACTAGGATACGGGTGGATTTTACTTGCCCTGTACCTTCCAGGACACATGTTTACTATTCAAATGCCACATATGTAGTATAATTACACAGTGTTCATTGAAATTTTTTCATAAATTAAAAAATGTTGAGAGCATCTTTTACAGTTTTAATAATATTAGGAGAGGGAAATCTTGTTGACGGGCCACATCTATTATACTTGCATCCATATGTAAGTTGCTATCAAAGGTTACTTTTAAAAAAGGCAACTGAACACATCAAGAAATAGTGGTTGGGCGATTGCTACATTATTTAAAAGACTATTTTGTAAATGGAGAAATGTCTTTGAGGGTGGTGAGTGGTTCCACTTTCTTGTAGTTGTGTAAAATACAATAGGACTCTGTACACATGAGTTTTCATTTTAATGTATTGAGGTAGAGCATGGAAAACAATGTAATTGGATCTGGAAGGAACAAAGTGAAGTTCAATGGGACAATGGCCATAATAGCATTGATTCTGGAGAAAGAAAATAAAATGTGCCACGGGAGGGATGAAAGCGACATGTTGAAAACCACTTGACAGAGTTCAAGCGTATTCCTGTATCTTTTAACTATTTACAAAAGAGATGCTTGAAGATCCTCCCCTGTAATGGGAGCAGTGTACAAGATTTGGACTTTACATAAAGAATTGTGGAGTAAAGATATTTGACATAGAAGAGGAAACTGATCTACTTGGAAGAGTTTAGCATTGGAAGGGATGCAAAGGTTCCATTGGAGAAACCAGATTTGATAATAAGTCTAAGATTACCTGCTTAAGATGCTTGTCTAATGTCACGGATTCATTAACTGCCACAAAATTAGATACAATAATTTGAAATTAGCTAGTTTTTTGTCTCTGATATTCTGGTTTATGTACTTTTATTCAGTATCCAGATGAAGTACCTGAGCAGAATAAGCCCATTGATGATGCAACGCAAACTATGGATGACTCCCCTTGTGAAAGTAGTGGAACGATGGAATCAACGTTAGAAATAAAGTTTACTGCTTTACATATGGGAGGAAATGAAGGAATTAAACCAGGTTCCGCTGTGGTAAGTTGGTTTCATAAACAAAATAATGATAATTGTTTATACCAGGAATTGGGATCAAAATGGGCATATTGTTCCAGGATTTGTGATTGCAAAATTAAGGTAATTTGGCAAAATTTATTGATCTGCTCAGCAATGCTAACCTAGTTATCACAATCTCTACTTCTTCTGGTGGTGGTTGCCTTTTCTTATTGTTTCTGCACGTGTTCCATTTTCTTCTCTCCCTCTCTTCCCCACCCCTAAAAAAACTCCACAGAATCCCATTATCTAACCTAAACAATTATAAAGCATAAACTAGGCTTATAACTGAACAAGGGAGGAATAGACTGAACCCACCTTGCACTGACTTACACTTCCCTTGCCTATATAGGATCTAAATGGTCAGTTCCCAGCCACATTTCTGGCTTAGTATAACCTCATTATTGACTACAATCCAATAAACCATTTTCAAAATGTCATTGAGATTGTCAGTCTAGCCTTGCATTTAATGTGATTAGCTGTTACCATCTTCAAGACTAGACTGCAGCTTAGTGAATGTACTGGTGATAGATCCAGATGATCTGTCATTTGTAGCTATGTTCAATAAAGAAAATGTGAAATGCTAACCCCCATGGTGTGTGTCTAGGAGACCACCTCTCCATTATACATCTCAAAGATGCTTGCTTCCAATTGGCTTTATGCCTTGTAAACACAGGTGTCTCAGGTTTACTTACAAGATGCACCTCTTCAAACTTCTCTTTCCGAAGTCCATTTAGGAATCTTTGGTGGTCATGGTCTTGTATCCTTGCATGTACTATAACTTTACTACCCCTTAGCTGGAAGATTGGGTTATAGGAATTTATTTTTAGATGTAGCTCATATAGTTGTTCAAATGTGCCGAACATTTCAGGAGCTTGAGCCCCTTGGAGGTAGTCCAACACAAACATTTGTAGATGCGTTGTTTTGAACTCCATGCAGGTCAATCTTCCAAGATAAATTTGCTGTCCTTCAGGGACTTAACAAGGAATCCATCACAACAAGACGCTTCCTTCATATTTGTGTTCTAATAGCAGCAGCTGCCAATGCTTTATCACTAGTGTCATGTATCATTAAATGCTGAACTGTTCATGAAATCTCTGCAATTGAACCTGGTTTGCCAGGATTCTCCAGGGAAGGATGAAATTCTAGTCAATGACAATATATTGGCTATGTGCAATTCTTTCTCAAGTAGTGTTCCTCAGATCATACATTTCAGGGATTTCTGTTTCAGCCTCAACTCTTGCAGGTAACACATGCTTACCTTTATTGGTGGGGCATCCGTTGTAAGGAACATCAGGACTACAAATTGCAAATCCACCACATCAGTCTGCTTGAGTTTTGAACATAGTTTTGTCATGTTTTCAAGCTCTGTTGCAAGGCAGCCTGTTGGGCCTTTGACGAGAATTTTGCGGCATGTCACCAAACAAGACCAAACCCATTCTGTCCTCACAATGTGATATTGCTTGCCTGGTAGACTCTGAAGTATAGGTTCATATAGTGACATTAGCTTTCTAACTACTCTTTCACAATGTTCTGTTTGCATTTTCTAGCTGTGTCTACTCTTACATAGTGCTGTTTTGCTTGTGCATGAGCCAAGCATTTCAATAAATGATTCATGTTCACAGCTTTAAGTTGATGACCTTGCATAATCTGTAGGAGATAAGTCGGTTGCTTTCCCCTTTCGAAGCCGTTCAATTTTTAAAAGTTTGAAATTATAGTCGAACATAATGATAGCTCCCAGGCTAAGTCAATGCAATAAATGGTTTAGATGACTGATAATTAGTGTTTCCGTTCAAATACATGAAATTGCACTATAGCAGCCTTGCTGTTTATTTGTTTGTTGTTTGTTAGTGGATTTGTTTGCCTTTATTTTGTTTGGGTTGGAGTTATATAAAAAAGTTTATATTTCCTCATCTGAATTTCTTTGAAACTAATCAAATAACTTTAATTGGGTGCCGTTGCGTAGATTTTAAATATTAACATACTCCCGTCAATCTCCAGGGACTTGTGAAAGGTCAGAAGCAAAGCACGCTTTTCACAGACATAAAAAGCTAGTGTAAGCTATTTTTTCAAGCCTCACTACTTTCAATGATGAAAACAAATGTGATTTGGGAATACTCTACAGCCAATGATCTGACCGTAAATGATCTCTAGTTCTACAGTTTTCTTGAAATCAGCTGGCACAATGAGATGAAATAGAAAATAATTTGCACACTGCATAACACTTGTCAGTTCTGTTCTCTTGGGAAGTAGAGCGACTATTTTTTTTTAAAAAAATTCAATTTATGGGCGAAATAGGTGGTTCATTTTTTAAAAAAAATCTCAGCACAACTTAAAAAAAGTTTTAGTTTCGATTCATTATCAAAATATCAATGTTACTTCAAAGTAATCATTTGTCCCTCCAAGTCCTATTCAGTGTGACTCTAGACAAAATTATAAATTGGTTTAGTTTGTGGAGGGGGTTATTTCATGGCTAGTTGTATCCCATTCTATTTACACTGAGAGTATATTTTCAACCAGAGTAAATAAAGTTGAAGAAACTTTGCAATTATTGTGTTTTACCTGTGCAAACACTTCATTTTCACTTGTATTTTTGTATGCAAGTATATTATAAATTCTGTAAATCGGAGCCATAGTTCTTTGAAAATTGTATGTTATGTGAGGCAGATTTGAAAAACATCTTTACCTCACACTGGAGAAAAGTGTTCTTTGATCAGAAATTGAAATATTGTGTCAGTGTCCACTGAATCTATTTTCCAGCAGAGATCATCAAAATGTAGTGCTTGCTACTGACCTGTCTACAACAATTAAATCGGCACAGACCAGGGATTTAATTTGGAAGCCTGAATACCCTAACACAGTACAATGTGAATTCTCTTCACTGACCCATCAGGAAGTCCAGTCCTTCCTCATCTTAAACACATGCACCAAAACATTGTAATGCAATAGTCCTGAATCCAATATATATATATTTTAGTTTCACTTTACAAAGGCAAAGATGAAGTTTAAAGCGATTAGCTTCATGAATTATTTCTGAAAAGAAATTGGAGTTTATGGTGCTAAAGTTTTATCAGCTTCTGGGACCCTCATAACCATCTTTAGATTATTTTACACGTATTGAGGTCAAGCAATACTTAGTACGTTCAGTTGCCCCACCAGCGCCTAATATATAGGACTTTATTTGGCCAATAGATACTGTAATCATTGATTAATTGTTTTGTCATCATTTGTACTTGAGAGCTTGCCTGTCCTATATTAGGAATGAGCTGTACAGTTGATACAGTTGATTTACCATATTACTTATGTTGCAATATCTGAAATAAAAGTCTGCTTTTAGCTTTCTTGGTCTGCTGGGTAACTATAGAATGCAATTCAGTGTATCGTATTCCAGGAGCTAATTTTAAGCATTTTCTCAATCAAGGCTTTTGATTTATTAATGTATCTTAATTTTTGTTTTTTTATAGACTTCCTAACAGTTTTTTTTAAAATTTTCTTACAGTTTGCACCTGAACATATTTTAATATCCTTCTCAGGTAAAGTAATCAAAGTACATGTATGGGATATGATTTAAAAATAAAATGAAAATTTTCATTCTGAAGTAAGTAAGTAGTTCATGTATTTGTATCTCAGGATAAGCTATATTGAAGTGGATATTAGTGTAATAAAACTTCATTGCGTAGTTTTGGATTACAGATTTTTCCTGTCTTCTGAATTTCACTTTAAAATTTTGATGAAGACCATCTGCATTGTGTATTAACTGAGATTTGGATACTTAAAGTCATGCTCATCTGTAAATTACCAGGGTTAATCTGCTAAATATGAATTCACCGTATAACATTTTCTTTTAATTTTAAAATTGTTTTCTCTAATGTGAAACTAGACTTTGGCAGATTTCTAATTTTCCAGTATGGCTTTCAACTTTGCTCTTGATTTTACATCTATGTATGCCAAATAAATCTCTCAAATATTGCATACAGTGTTTCATGGGAACATCAGATTTTAGTAGGACATTTTAAGATCATACTACAGTACGTTAAACCAATTCTGATTTTCTTAATGGTTGCAAAACTAGTGTTGACATTATCACGTTAATGTATGCAAAGCACACTTGAGTAGACTCTTGTGGGAAATTTTTATTAAAAGAATCAATTTTCAGATGTTTCACTAAGATTATTTGATAATAGCACCTTTTCTCCACAGTCAAGTGAGAAACTTTGCTTACTAGCACTTCTCCCTATTTTCTTATTAGAGAAGGATAGATAGGAGAAGCCATGTATATGATGTATGCCTTTAAATTGTTTTGTTTAAAAGTGCAGTAATTTTAGAAGTGTACTTGATCTCATGGAATGATGTTTGCTAGGTGGGCTTTTGATTATTGTTTGGGTGAGTGACGTGAGAGACACAGAAGGGCGTTCCTCCCCAGCTAATTGAAAGTTCATTGCAGGTTGATCATTTGAATAACAACAACAGCTTGCACTTATAGAGCCCTCGCCACACAGGATCACGTCTCAGAGTAGGTGGGAGAGAGAAAGCAGGGATCTTCATACCCTAAGTATGGTGGTAATGTTTCTGTAGCAGGAAAACTTGCATAAACTCAAATCTAGGTTGGTACAGTAGTTATTAAATACAATTGCTTGTCTTTCAGATTGGAAATGCCTTATAATCTCTAGAGCTGCAACAGTGTGCTATCTTTTAAAAACAAATAAGACTAAGTTTCTGTCAGTCAGATACAATTTTATGTTTTAAATTGATGTTTAAAAAATACTTTTAGAACAAGCTGTATAATATATCTTCTGTTTTTAAAACTAATAAGCATTCCCAGCCAGTACACATTTTCTTAACTCTTTGTCTTCTCTTCTCCTTGATTATTATCCTTGTTGTTTATGCAGCTTTGAATTCATTATCACTGGATACTTCTCAATTAAAGAAATACAGTGTGTGGAACAGGCTGTCTGACGTTGAATGTCACTCAGTCATTTTCCTGTGGTTGGCAGCAGATTATGTAGATAAAATCTACGAGCAGCTGCAAACAACTCTTGCGAAACATGAATGTAAGTGTGTCCTGTTTTTTTTAAAAAAGGCCCAAATGGATAGGGATGCATGGCTTCCTTAGCATTGTTTTTAAATATCTCATTTTGTTTCCCCAATAAAATGAATTATTGTACAATAGTGTTATATTAAATGCATTTGGGGATAGCGTAGAAACCTTGATGTTTTTTTTTCCAACCCAGACTTAAGTTCCTGGCTTAATCATGATGAGATAATTAACTATCCAAGGAAAGATTTTGTTTTGTCAAGAATGGTTCCACTGCAACTCTTTTTCATTCCAGCCAAATCCAATGAGTTTATCTTCATTCAACTTTTTGAACCTTTACAAATAACCGAAGCAACAATATTGAAGAGGGTGATGACTGAAATAGGGGCAAGAAGTGGAATTGCAGACTTGTGTGACATGGTGCCATTGGAAGAGGCTTGTCAGTTACTGGCAGAGTTTCCTTCGGAGAAGAGCTCTTTCATTTCCTCCTGCTGCAAAACCTTACAACAACAGGTTGATATGATGATTCTATCGCAAGAACCCCACTTATTTCAGGTGACTTGCAGTCTGTGGTTTTATGCTGAATTTGGTTTTAGACAGGAAAATAGGATCTCTTCAAATTATGGTGCTACAAGAAAGGTAGTTGGAGCTAGTTCCAACTTTGAATGAAGCATTTATTTATTTATTTGGCTTATTTTATTTAGTCTGTTTTTAAAGTGTTGCTAAGGATCTGTAGAGAATAGTTACTAAACCGTCTACCCAGGGAGGAGGTACAGGTTAAATGAGTAGTTATAAACAGAATTGATAACATTTTAACAGTGAAATGGATCAGGGGGTATTGAGATCACAATTGGAAGAGTCTGACCAGTTCTGTAATTTGTTTTGTTGGCCCTATCGATTGTCAAAAGTTATTTCAAACAGATAAGTGCATAAATCAGTGTTCCAAGCAAAGGACTTCAAAACACATTGACTCTTAGTCAATATAGTCTGTATTATTTTTGGTAATCAGCTTTTGTTTTGTTTTCAATAGGAAGAAAATGTGAATCCAATGAAGCCAAATAATCACACTTCATGCCACATACAAAGGAAAGACCAGTCCATAGGTTCGACTATGCCAAAGCAAGATAAGCAGAGGCAAATACTGAAGAGTGGACCAGTTACAAAGTATGTTGGGGAGGGGTGTTTTTATCTAGTTTTCAAAACCAGCTTCCCTAAAGGATAATCATGTTTTTATGCTTTTATGTTTTTTATGCCAATATCATAAGAATAATTTGGACGCATTTGAAAAAGAGACCCAATGTGTTATGCATTCTTTTGTTTAGAGTCCCAGTAGTCCAGTTCCCCCCATCGAAAAGTGTATGAAACATTCATGTTGAATAACCGAATAACATCTGTAGATTTGCTAACATTTGTGATCTCTATGAATATAAATTTACTGTGATAAAGTGATGCAAATAACGTGATGCAAATTGTCAGTAGAGTGGATCCAGGTTTGAAGCGCCATCCATTTGTGATTCAAAGCATTTGTGGATCGTGCTGGGTTTGAAAGTCCGTGCACTTAAGATGTGTTGCTCAGTTACAATTTGGTAAATGTGTCCTTATACGCTTTTAAATGACTATCAAAATTTAAACTATTTAATTTTGTATTTTAATACAATGTCATTTTGTAAATTAGAATTTCATTGCAGTAATATATGAGGGTACTTAGACAAATTTGCAAAACTCGTTTAACTGAATACAGTAGCATTTTGTCTATACAAATTAATTTGCTTTACCAGTGAGTTTGCTGCATAGTGCACATTGCCCCACACACATGCACCCTGTCTTAGATCAATATTACCACATGGTAATTCAACTGCGGTTTGAGGAACATAAATGCCACCACTCTTCCCTGCATTAATATCGATCATTTGTTAGAGTATTAACTGGTTAACTGTTTCATATCCAGAAATGAATGGAAACCAGTGTCTTCCTAATACAGTACCTAGCCTGATGCTAATATCATCAGGGTTGTGACTGAAACAATGATTATAAAATATTTTCCTGAACCTGTGACCTCTTGCCTTGGTATTTTATCATATCTCAAACTATTGTTTCAGGTTTAATTTCTCTATCCCAATCGTCAAGCTAAAGAACTCTATAAGGTCCTATTTTGTACACATTCTTCATAGCCCCGCTCTCTAATCCTGGGGAGCAGCTTTTTTTGCTGTCCTCCTCATTGCCTATCGGGCCTGGATGACCATCTCTGTCACTGTAACAGAATTAATGATAATATAATAATAATCGTTGCATTTGATATAGCGCAATCTTGGAAATTATGCTCCCTATACCCAACTCATTTATATAGATCGAAAAGAGCAGTGGTCCCAATACCAACCCCTGGGGGACACCACTGCACACTTCCTTCAGTCAGACAACAAACCGTTCACCACCACTCTCTGCTTTCCATCTCCCAGCCAGTTCTGTATTCATTCTGCCACTGTCCCTTTAATATCGTGGGCTTCTATTTTGCTTACAAATTTCTTAAGTGGTACTTTATCAAACGCCTTTTGAAAATCCATATAAACTACATCAACCTTCATCCACCCTCTCCGTTACTTCGTCAAAAAACTCTTAGCAAGTTTATTAGACACGATTTATCTTTTACAAATCCGTGTTGGCTATCGTTTATTGAACCATATTTTTCGAAGTGAAAATTTATTTTGTTCTCGATTATATTCTCTGGAAGTTTCCCTACTACTAACGTTAGGCTGACTGCCTCGCAGTTCCTGGGTTTATCCTTTTGCCCCTTTTTGTACAGGGGAGAATTATTTGCAACTCTCCAGTCCTCTGGTATAACCCTGGTTTCCAAGGAGGATTGAATGATTGTGGCCAGAGGCTCCACTATTTCCACCCTGACTTCCCTCAATAACCTAGGATGCATTGCATCTGGACTGGGTAACTTATCTACCTTGAACAACGTGAACCTTTTTAGTCCTCTGTTCATTCTTAACCTATCCAATTTCCCTACCCTCCCTCTGAACAATACTGTGATATTGGCTGCATCCTCTTCTTTTGTGAAGACAGATACAAAGTACTCATTCAGTACGTCCGCCATGCCCTCAGCCTCCTAATTGATCCACGATTGGCCAACCCTACCTTTGACTAACCTTTTATTCTTTATATTCTTATAAAATGATCCATAACCATGTCTTTAATCATAATTGCCACCCGACCTTGTTTGTTTCCTTCCCTATCCCTCCTGAATACTTTGTAGCCAGGAATATTCAGTTCCCATTCCTGCTCTTGTTTGAGCCAGGTCTCTGTTATTGCCACTACATCATAATCCCATGTGGCAACTTGAGCCTGCAGCTCACCAATCTTATTTGTCACACTCCGTACATTTACACAGATGCACATCAAGACCAATTTAGTCTGCTCTGCATTTCTCCCCCATCTAATCCCTTTTCTGGACTGCTCGCTTGCGAGACAAGTGCTCTAATCACTGAGCTAAAGGACTCCACGATTAATATCATGTAGTCTTTGCCTTATATTTAATATTGGTGCCAAATGATTTAATGATGTTTTGTTTTGATGAGGAACTGGGAAATATTGTTTTGCTGTTTGACGTTTTTAAAATGTTTTTCCCCCCCAGAATAATAGTTTTCCCTCCTCCACCAACAAAAGGAGGACTTGCTGTTACGACTGAAGACTTGGAATGTCTGGTGGAGGGAGAATTTCTCAATGATGTGATCATCGATTTCTATCTGAAGTAAGTATCCAGGGGTTGCATCAGTCACTTTTTATAATAATAATAATCCTTGCATTTAATATAGCGCCTTATCACATCTTCAAGACGTCTCAAAGCATTTCACAGAATATACTGTAAAGTAAATTGGCTGTATATTTTGTGGGTGAAACATGGCAGCCAATTGAGCACAGCAGTGTCCCACAAACAGTCATGGATTGAGTAACCAATTTATTATTACCCCCGGAAAAGCGATCCGCCAATCAACTTAACAACCGGGTTGCTACTAACTGCTAGGTAAACAGAGGCATGTGGAGTAAGGAAACTTGCCCAACATTTCGCCTTGCCGGGAATTAAACCCATGTCTCTCGCTTGTGAGGCAAGTGCTCCAACCACTAAGCTGCAGAACTCCACAAATGTTTGCAATTGTAATACTTTTAGATGCAGTATTAATCTTTTTTATTAAAAGTGAAACTTATTAATTACAATTACAAGACATGCAGTGTTACCAAAAGGTTGTGTTGCACAAAAAGTAATGTTAGTGACACTGCCTATACATGAGGAACACAAAGGGAAATCACGTTTGTGGTAATCTTAAGACCCGGTTGTTAGCCCTTTTGAAGTTCAAGCAGAAAAACACAATATTTTTATAAACAGCCAGTGGGTGGCACTGTAGTGTCATCAGTATTCTGAGTGATTATTTGGAGAATTAAAATGATTTTAGGATTGTGTGCATTTCAGATTATAATAGTTTTTATTAATGTCAAGTTTATTTTTACAGGATCCTGACCGTGTTTGTTCTTATAGGATCCTGACCATGCAACTTGCTATTGATTTAGAAATCTGCATAGGAAGAGCTATTCTAAGTTTGCGAGTGGTGCCAAATTACAGTGTTTTGCAAAGTGTGAGGAAGAGTGCAGGAAATTTCAGGTGGATAGAATGGGCTAATGCAGTTTTAATGTTGCAACAATACAGATTTACATTAATATAGCCCTTTTACATTGGAAGGACTTCCCAAAGTGCTTGAATGTTGAAAGCATGAAGTAGCACATTAAAAGTATACTTTAAATGGTATAGTTCTTAATGATGTTGATGGATAGAACAATTCAGGTCTTTAAAGGCATGAGTTCAAGTAGAAGAAGCCATGAAAAGGTGCATGAAATTTCAAGATTTTCATAATCGAGGGACCTTGAATATGAAAATAAGGAAGCAATGTTAACTTTATACAAGAAATTGGGTAGGCTGCAGTTAGAATAGTGTGTAAAACTCCATCCCCCAGTTCCTCTGCCGCGCCCCCTCCCTTGCCTCCTTCAAGATCCTCCTCTTCGACCATGAATTCAATCACTCTCCCCCACCCCCCCACCTGCTCTCCACTCTCCATGTTCCCGACCCCCAGCTCGGGTCCGAAACACTGATTAGCCAGTGCCTTGGGACGTCCTCCCAACATGAAAGGCGCTATACAAGTGTCATTTTGTTGGGGTGATGGTGGTGGTGTGAAAGGACAACAGAGCCATGGAAAGAGTGCAATGTGGGGTCGCTATGCAGTATTTTGTAGGAGGATCTCTAACACTACGGTTAAAATTATGTTTTCAGGAATTTAAATGTATTTAAAGTAAGATAAACAATGGTATTGAGTTTTCTTCGGTTAATCCGAAAACATTTGTATAATTAATGTGGGCTAAGAAGCAAGTTCAAAGCGTGTTGTACTATATTTAACTGAGCTGATTGATTCACAATGCCAATATGTATCTTCTATCATTTGGATGATGCAAAATGGTCCAAAATGCAATGCTTTCTATGCACTGAAGAACTTAGCATACAAAATATTAACTAATGCCTATTTTATCTAAGGTATCTGCTACTGGAGAAAGCCCCCAAAGAGCTCGCTAAGCGTACACACATCTTTAGCAGTTTCTTTTATCGACGCCTGACCAGAAAGGATGCTGCCATCTCCGAGGAGACAACTAACCTCTCGTAAGCAAAGTGTTATAGGATCTTTTGGGTGACGTATTTACTTCTCATCAACTATTAACCTGTTGTAGTGCTTGTAAACTTTAGGAGTTCTGTACAGTTTGGTATTGGTAATTCAAATGTAATACAATACTTCCTGAGCCCTGCTAGAGTTATTTTAAACTAAATCCATAGATACGACGTGTTAGTTTTAAAGGATGAATAAAGGATTTTTGCCCTCACCAGCTGGTTATACCAGTGATTAACTATGTTGACTTGGTCTGTGACCCTGTGAGTACATCAAACTTCTTCACATAGCTATTGTCAACAAACTTTGAACTACATACTGCAGAAATAACTTGCCAGCTAAAGGTTAAAGCAAGTATCTTGTGTTGCTTTTGTAGGATACAGCACAAGAGGCATCAAAGGGTGAAAACGTGGACTCGCCATGTGGATATCTTTACCAAGGATTTTATATTTGTGCCTGTAAATGAAGAGTAAGAATGCTTTCTATAGCTTATTACAGATGGTCTTATTTACTCGTGACTTAAATCAGAAAAGCTTTTGTATAAGTAGGCTGAATCTGTCTACAGTAATGAGTCTGATCCAAGATGCAGCTGTGTGCTGTCCCTTGTTTGAGCAGTGACGCATCCTCTAATCATAATCTTAAAGGAACAGTGTTTCCTCTGGCTGATAATAAATGCTGGGAGTGGTCCAATATAGTGTTAAAATTAGCCATGTTTTTTTTAAAAATGTACTGCCAAGGGATTGTAGAAGCCAATCTGTTCTAGCAATGTCTCCCAAATAACCTTGAAATGAATAACCAATTAATCTAAATATTTTGGAGTGAAATTGTATTGCATTTGATTTGGAAGAAGATAGAATATTGGCCAGAACAGATTACATTTGCCAGTGAAGTAAAAGGAAATTGCCTTAGGCATATAAACAATCTCTGTGGGATCTTCAGTGTTTCTTAGGTCGGGGTGAACTTCACTCAGAGTCTTTTAGTTCCAATACTAGTAACTTGACCTTTACAGTACAATCATTAAGATATTCAATGCAATTATTGCTTTGAATCAAAAATAAGTGTACTGTAAACCCGTTTTTATTTACAATTATAGCTGATGCTGATTTTTTCAAGAGATTTAAATTGAACCTAATTAGCGTTAATAATAATATTGGTTGCGCCATTAAACCCCCTTAAGATTTGATGTTCATATTCCTGATTCTTTAATAATGTTTATATCAGCAAGTGAGCAGCCTTTGTTAGAGCAAAACTATGGATATGAAATTAATCTTTTCTGAGTCACCTTTAGAGAAGATGAGTATAAGTCCAGTCTCCAACTTCAAATTACTAAAAGATGCTTATGTGCAGTTATAATAATAATAATCCTTGCATTTGATATAGCGCTTTTCACGTCGGGAGGACGTCCCAAAGCGCTTCACAGAACACACTGTAAAGTGAATTGACTGTATATTTGTGGGCGAACGTGTGTAGTGTAAATAGTTAGTTAGTTAGTAACCAGAGGGAGACTATTAAGGTTGACAGATATATCTTTTAACTTATGTGATGCATTTTATTTGCAGGTCACATTGGTATCTTGCTGTTATTTGTTTTCCTGCGTTAGAGAAACCAGTTTATGAATCTGAAGTAAGCAGCGAAGCAAAAGTGAACAAATCATGTTCCACAGTTTCATCCAATACTGAAAAGATTAATGATGAACGAGTGTCATTGGATGAGCCTGACACTGAGAATTCAGTAGCTCAAGATTCAAGTATGTACTATTTTAGAAATGTAATTATAGCTTCAGAACAGTGTTTTTTCAGTAATTGTACAGAATAAAAATGTATTGAAATGTGTTACTGCAGGAGGCTGCAACTCTGGGCAGATTAGTTTTAGCAAATGTAACATTGGTTAGGAGTTCCAACAAATTACCCCTCACCTGATAATAATGCTAACATGTATAATGAATGCATTTTGACACGGCTCACAAAACTTTCTCAACAACAAGATTACATTTGTATAGCGCCTTTCACGTCGGGAGGGCATCCCAAGGTGCTGGACAGTATACAGTATTTCAGACCCGAGCTGGGGTCAGGGGGAGAGGGGAGGGAAAGGGGGGTGACCAATGGCATGGTCGAAGAATAAGGTTTTGAGGCGGGACTTGAAGGAGGCTAAGGAGGGGGCGAGGCAGAGTGACTGGGGGATGGAGTTCCAGAGGTTGGGGGCAGAGTGGCTGAATGCTCTCTCACCAATGGTGGGGTGGGTGGGTTGGGGGACGTGGAGCAGGCCAGAGCCGGCTGAGTGAAGAGAGCGGGCGGGTTGGTAGGGGGTTAGGAGGTCACAGAGGTAGGGTGGGGCGAGGCCATGGAGGGCTTTGTACGTGAGGACCAGGATCTTGAACTGGATCCTCAAGGATGGGGAGCCAATGGAGTCGGGTGAGGATGTGGGAGATGGGGTCACGGAGTTTGGTGCCGGAGAGGACACGGGCTGCAGAGTTCTGGATTATCTGCAGCCTGTGGAGGGAGGAGTTGGGAAGGCCGACATGCAGGGCGTTTCTCAATCAAATTTATAGATTGGTCTTTCAATCAGTGCACGGACAAACAAAATTTAGTGGACTCATCTCTCCAATGAACAGGTTTCTCTGTTATACAAGAATTGTTTCTTCCTGCCTCTGACTCAGACCGAGAATCCATTTCTACCTCTTTTTCATATTGACTACAAATGTTGCTTTTATTTACAGGTGAGGATTCCAGCAAAACTTCCGATTGCTTTGCATCTCCAGCAGTCCCCCTGTCCAGAATACAGGTAAATATCAGCATTCCACTAAGTTCTGGCCCCTTTATTCTCAAGAGCAAAGACTATCCAAATCAGTTTGGAATCTGAAATTTCAGAGTCGTGGATGAAAATAGAAAATTTTAAAAGTTGACGCAAATATTTTGTAAGGTAGAATGTTTTTTTTTAAAAAAGATATATTGACATTTTTTACAGGAATGCATAAAGGCGCCTATTGATCTGCAGCAACCGAAAACAAGGATCCTCAAACAGTAAGTATCTTCGAAATGACTTTACTAAAAATAATAATTCGGGTGTAATAATTCCATCAAAAAATTGGTCACTGCAATCCGCGACTGTTTGTGGACACTGCTGTGTGCAATTCGCTGCTGGGTTTCGCTCACAAATATACAGTCAATTCACTTTGCAGTATATTCTGTGAAGCGCTTTGAGACGTCTCGGAAGACGTGAAAAGGCGCTATATCAAATGCAAGGATTATCATCATTGTTACTAACCCCCATTTGGTTCCAAGTAATATGGCTGACTAATAGCAATGCAGATGATGATGTATGTCCTGATCAAGCACCACTGATGATTGGAGGTATAGTTTTAATCCACTATTCCTTATATAAAGATTTAAAGTTCTACACAGTTTAACAATAATTCCAATTGGTTATGGGAATGTGGAATACATTGTGGTGTAGTCGATCCAGCGTGAAAGGTGCTATATAAATGTCATTTTGTTGTTGTTGTTAAGAAATTGAACAGGGATAAAAAGTAAGGGTCATGGGAGTAAACGGGTTTAAAAGTCAAAGGGACCCCATGAACAAAAACAAAATGGAGGCTCAAAGGACTAAATCACCTTCCTACGCTAGATCCCAATCACAATCTGTTCATCTCTACCTAAATTGGCTTGTTGGTTAGTTTTAATTGTTCTAGCGTGAAATGAAAAATCCTGTTGTACAAAAATATCAAATGTTTATACAAAACTGTATAACCGGATGCATTTCCTTGCATTTGAAATAGCTCCTTATGACATCTGAGGCGTCTCAAAGCGCTTCACAGAATATACTGTAAAGTGAATTGACTGTATATTTTGTGGGCAAAACACAGCAGTCAATTGTGCACAGCAGTGTCCCACAAACAGTCGTGGATTGAGTGACCATTTTTTTTAAAAAAAGGGTTTAATACCCCCGGAAAAGTGATCCACCGATAATTATGGCTATCTTCCTTCAGATCCGGTTTTCTTCTTATAGATTTAGTAACTATAAGCCCTGGATCTAAAAGTTTAAAAAGTGGATCTCTTTAAAATATTGATAATTTAAGATACTTAATTTTCTCTCCTAATAAACATGCCATATAAAGGCGAGCTGTATGATGAAGTTTCTTTCTTGCAATATGACATTAATATGTGCTATGGGTGCATAACAGAGCTTCTATTTAATATCAGAAGATTATTGTTTCTGAAAGGTGAATTCAAACCCGGATGCCATCATCAGCAATAACCTCATGCAAGTGTATATTGAGAGTGTATTAAAAGATGTTTCACATTATGTGTTCTTAATTATAAGGCTTGTAGAATTCATAAACATTTTAACTTTGTGTGCAAGACTAATTATCTTTTTAGTCAGTTGTGAGCAAGACCCTTTAATAAAGAAGTTAAAAATAGCAATTGAAATTCCACCTTTTTATTCTTAGGCCGTGTATTCTTATCATGGATTCTCTAAGAGCAGCTTCACAATCTCATACAGTGAAGATTTTACGAGAGTGAGTATCAGTAAATATACTGATTAAAATTTATGGATGAATAGTGTACATGAATAGAAATCTTTAAAATACAGTGCTTTGCATTATGTTTTAAAATAAAAATGCTCAGTGCAATTTTGCAAGTTTGCAAGCTAGAAACTTATTTAAAATACTTTTGATTATGTATGATGTTGTATTGAATTTAAATGAACTTCTCATTGTGGTATTTCATGAAATTCTTTGTAAAAAGTGAATGAGCCTGGGTGAGCAAAGTGATTTGAAGCTAAATCACACAATCCCTGGGGATTGAAATTATCCAATTAACAGAGTGGGAAATATCTGTGAGAAGAATTTGTGTTGAAGTTCTTTATCTCCTCTTTGTTTGACTAGGTATCTGCAAATAGAGTGGGAAATGAAACGAGAAGGGCAGCGCAATTTCACATTGGATAACATGAAAGGCTCAGTCCCACGAGTCCCCAAGCAGGATAACAGCAGTGACTGTGGTATTTATTTACTGCAGTATGTGGAGAGCTTCTTTCAGGTAATTGCAAAAGACTGGTACAAAGCTTGTGAGTTAATGATCTTTGACCTAATTTGTGATGGGAATATAAAAAGTTTTAGGACAATACCATTAGGGCCTAGCAAACCTCTCTGTTTTGATCAGTCCAGCTCCACCTACCTACTCACTATTCCCTCCTTCTCCAGAAACTCATCCTGTTGCCTTATGGATCCATTTGTTCTGTTTTACCACTAACCCTTTCAAATAAATCCTATTCAGTAAAATCCACTCGATCCTTCCTACTGGCATTTTTAGTATTTAAAACTGTTTTACGCACCCTCAATGTCCTTTTTTCCAAATAAAGACAAATTTCCTTTACCTTTTCTCAATTCTCACCATCCCCCAGCGGATCAAGATAGAGATCCTCATCCTAACCTTCAAATTCCTCTATGGATGCACTCTACAGCTCACAGAGCCAATACGGAACCTCGGGGTTCTGTTCGACCCTCAACTGTCCTTCATACCCCACATCCGTGTCTTGCCTTTCCCCACCTCTGCAACATCGCCCAGCTCCACCACTGTCTCACGCCGCAGGCCGCCGAGACCCTCATACACTCATTTATAACATCCAGGTTTGACTACACAAACTCCCTGCTTGTCGGCCTCCTCAACTCCTCCCTCCATATGCTGCAGATCATCCAGAACTCCCACACCAGGCTCCGCGACCCTATCATCCCCATCCTCGCTCGACTCCACTGGCTTCCCATCACAAAGAGGATACATTCAAGATCCTGATCCTCACATTCAAAGCCCTCCATGGCTTTGCACCCCCATACCTCCAAACCCCTTACCAACCTGCCCTCTCCCTCCTCTCAGCAGGTTCTGGCCTGCTTCACGTCCCCCACCTCGCCCGCCCCACCATTGGCAGGAGGGCCTTCAGCCACTCTGCCCTCAGCCTCTGAAACTCTATCCCATAGTCCCTCCACCTCACCCCCTCCCTTGCCTCCTTCAAGACCTGTCTCAAGACCTTCCTCTTCCACTGTGCCTTCGGTCACCCTCCTTCTCCCACTTAATTTGAGATCAACTAACTCAACATCTGGGAATTGATCCTGGTTCCTTGCTGATTATGCAATATGACATCAGCTTCATATTGATTTGTTTTTCTCCCGAGGTTGTTTTACAGGAAAACTTTATTGTTTCCCTTTCCGCAGAATCCCATCACAAATTTTGAGTTACCGTTGCAGTTGGATAAATGGTTCCAACGCCAGGAGGTGAAGAGAAAACGGGAAGAGATCAGAGATCTGATTCTGCAGTTACACAGTCAACAACGAACTGACAGCTAATGAATCTGTACACACAACAGAAAGAGTGCACTAGTTTATTTCAAAGCTGCTGATCAACATCATGTTTTCACAACTCTTTAAAATGTGAAGATTTTAAATTGGTTTGTAAATTATTAAACTAGTAAAATAAAGATATGTAGTATATTGAGTTATTGTTCTGTTAATAGTGCTGTACAGTTTAATAAATTATATTATTTGCACCCACTTCACTTGCATTTATTTCTTGAATTTGTTGTTTGTATCAGTAGAGGCTTGAGTTTGAACTGCATCCCAGTTTCAATTTGATTGTTATGTAGTAACAGCGCTTTATTCCTCCATGTGTTAGAAGAATGCAGCACTGTTACTACAAGAGCAATATAGCGACCTCGTGCAAGGTAGCCATCGAAACGTCAAAGTTTATTTTACGTTTAATGTACGGTGGGGGAATTCAGATAGTCATAATTAAGATTGTTTCCTTTGGTCGATGGAAATGTAGTACTGTGGCTGTGCTAAATATTACGGTTGTACAATTTCTTATATTTAGATTTGTGCTGCTATTTTAAACCTGTGGCATCTTTGTAGATTTACATTTTTCTAGAGAAGAGAGTTTCTCCTGGTAGCATGGCTATCAATCCCTAAATTAAAAAGAATATTGGTCACTCACTTCATGGCTATTTGTGGGATATTGCTTTGCAGAAATTGGCTGATATGTTCACCTACAAATACACAGTCACTGCCACTTCGTAGTGAAATCCTGTGACGAGCTTTGAGATGTTTCAACAGCTTTAAGGTACTATAATAATAATCCTTGCATTTGATATAGCGCCTTATCACGTCTTTGAGAGGTCTCAAAGCGCTTCACAGAATATACTGTAAAGTGCATGTTTTGTGGGCGAAATGCCAACTCTATATCAAACCTAAGAATTTTTTATACATTCAGGTAAATTTATCAACAACCACCCCATACTTTTATCATATTTTAATTAAACATTGGTTAATTAGTTACATGTATTACCCTGCATTCATTATACAGTGATAAACTTGCCTTTTTCAATTCAAATTTCTAATTTGCAAACCAGCAATTTGTGTTTATGAATTATCTTGCCAAAAATAAATTGTGTAATTCTACTACTATTGGTCCCTCTTTGTACTGCTTAAAGTTGTTTGAGATGCCGTCCTTCGAATGAGACATTAAATCAGGTTTTTGTCTGCCTGTTCAAGTTGGACGTTAAGCTTTTCTCGGTGTCCTGGCAAACAGTCACCCAAATAAATTTGATCATTCAAATTTGCCATTCAATAGCCATTCAAATGGCTATTGGTGGGACATTGCTGTGTGCAAAATGGCTGCTGCGTCTGCCCACAAAACGTAGTGTCACTGTATTTTACAATGTATCCTGTGAAGTGTCAAATCCTGCCAAATTTAAAGGTTATTATTTATTTTTGCTTCTTTGTGTGGGTGGGGATGGTGCGCTCTTTCTCCACGGTAATGCTATGTTAATGTTGAATAATATAATCTGGAGGTTTTAAATTTCAGTGCAAAACCCTAATTTCAGAAATAATATGATAAAATTAGATGCTGAGAGAGACATTGTGTTTTACATTGAGATTTACATTCATTTATTAATTTTCCCTGGTAGGTAGGGAAGATATTCTGTTGTGCAGCAGGGCTTTCTTTTATTTTGATCTGTTCACAGTAGAAAGTTAATTCTATTGTGCCTTGAGACGTTGCTTTGGCCCGCAAAAAAAATGAGTAACTGGTTTATAATCAGCAGTAAATGAGCTTTGCATTCTGCCCGAATTCTGAAGTGAGGAATAATAGAACATTATGCAGAGATTTAAAGTGGCGCAATAAACAATGCAAAACAAATTACAAAAAACTAATCAAATGAAGGATAAAACCTAAATGAGCCAAACAGTGCTATGTTTTGCACAAATTTAGATCAGCTCAATCCCTTGGGTACTATTCACGTGCTACTTTATACATACTGTGTAATACATTAAGATAAACATAATCCACTGTGCGTACAATTGAAAGAAAACCTATTAAATAAGTCAAGGGGCAGGTGAAGTAATCTCTTTAGTTCACCTGACTAATAATCAGGTTTGCATGTCTTGATGAGCTCAAAAAATAAGATTTACAACAATCAAGTCTGTTCGTGTTAAAACGTGTACAAATCTTGAGTAGTCTTGAATCTTCTCTTCAACTGTGCCTTCAGCTCCCCTCTCAACTCTCTACCCTCTCCTCGCTCCCTTCCCTCCCCTCACCCTGACCATTTCCCCCCTGCTCGGGTCCCAACCCAACTGTCCAGTGCCTTGGGACGACCTCCCGACGTGAAAGGCGCTCTATAAATGGAATCTTGTTGTTGTAGTAATGAAGTAAATTAACTTTCTACCCTACATGTGCACATCTAAGCATTTGTTTCTGATCTCTGAACCATTATAATCCTTAAATGTATCTGTGGTCTAGAGTGCACTGTCTTGAAATGTATGATAATCTTGGGTGGACAGAGATGTTTTGTTTATAAAAAAGCCTGTGTTCAGGTGGGCAGTTTATTCAACAAAAAATATGAAACATACTTAAAATCAGTATCAATTTGGCAGTTGATTTTCCGGAGTTCTTAAAAAGAAACAGATTTCAAATTAGGACTTAATTTAAGAATTTTTCAGTTATGCACGACCTTAGAAACAAATAGTCTTGCACAATTTGACTGCCAATTAGGCTCTGGGTATGTGAAAGTGTGGTGAAAAAATGTTCTTGAATAGAATTTCCAAAACCTTTTCTGATTTACACAAATTAATCAGTAACTTTCTCAAAAATGCACTCTGTATGACTTCATGTTTAAAATATCTGAATGTATTCTTAACACACTCAGACAGCCTTATTTATACAATACTGCACTTTCATCTTACAAATCCCCAAAAAACTCACTTTCTAAAAACTTTCAGAATAATTTGAGTGCCTAAACGTGTCTTTCCTGATCTCTATTGCAATCATTGCCAGTTTAGCATAGAGCCAATCATTGCCAGTTTAGTCCATCCCTATTTTTAAAAAACAAACATATGAAGGTATAATAGTGAATATCACAAATATTTAACTTACAAATTTGAACTGCCTTAAGTTACATTTGTTTTTGCTCAGGGTTTAAAATAAAATGTAAATGTTTTTTTATGGCTAAACATTAATATTTTTGTTAGTCAGGCCAGTGACTCATTGTTATCTTCCCTTCCCAATGACTACATGTCTCTGATGAATTCCAAATGTGCTTTAGAGTTGCCATTCTGCTTGCCCAGTATGCATCAATAATATAGGACCGACTCTCCTGCTGTTGCAGTGAGATAGGTTAGGAAATGTTTTCTGAACCACAACTGTCACAGCCTTTCCTTACATGCCAGATGATGATTTAGCTGTCATTGGGATTCCCTAAACCCTTTTTGGCTCAATAATTGGAGCAGTGCTAAAACTATTGAGGTATGTTTAGTAAAGAGTGGAAAGGTTGGGAGTCCTGTAGCTCAGTGGTTAGAGCACTTGCCTCGCAAGCGAGAGAACTGGGTTTGATTCCGGGCAGGGCGAAAAGTTGGGCATGTTTCCTTACTCCACACGCCTCTGTTTACCAGCAGTAAGTAGGAACCTGGTTGTTAGTCGATCGGTGGATCGCTTTTCCGGGTGTAATAATTCCTTCAAATTTTTTTTTAAAAATGATGAATTGGTCACTCAACCCATGACTGTTTGTGGGACAATGCTGTGCGCGATTGGCTGCCGCGTTTTGCCCACAAAATATACAGTCTATTCACTTTCCACTATATTCTGTGAAGTGCTTTGAGACGTTTTGAAGATGTGATCAACTGCAAGGATTATTATCAATGAGTAAATTGCTCAAGAAATCAATACTAATTTCATCTGATTACCCAGGGCACTCACTGATGTTGAATGTTAGTACAAATATCTTAAATCTCATTTTAAAAAAATTAACAAAGTCTAAAAGTGCATTAATCATAAAAACATGGAATTTGTCACCACAGCAACTCTTGTCACACTGTCCTGCCCGTTTCCTTCCACCCTTTCATGTTTGTTTTCTTTTTCAGATAATTTTTAATTTCCTTTTAAAAGCAACTGTGTATTCCGCTTCAACCAGCATTTTTTAATGTGCTTTCCAGAATATACTGTAAAGTGCTGTGACTGTATGGAGTCCTGTAGCTCAGTGGTTAAAGCACTCGCCTTGCAAGCGAGACACCTGGGTTCAATTCCAAGCAGGGCGAAACCTTGGGTAAGTCTCCTTACTTCACACGCCTAATAATAATCCCTCCAAAACAAAACAATAATAAATTGGTCATTTTCAATCCACGACTGTTTGTGGGACACTGCTGTGCGCAATTGGCTGCCGCGTTTCGCCCACAAATATACAGTCAATTCACTTTATAGCATATTCTGTGAAGCGCTTTGAGACGTCTAGAAGACGTGAAAAGCGCTATATCAAATGCAAGGATTATTATTATTATTATTATTTGTAGTATGCGATTCCTTAATTAATTACTTTGGGTAAAACAAAATTCCCAACTCCCACCCCCTTTTATATTTTTGTTAATGGTAATAAATTCACGTCCTCCAATTGCTGACTCATTGACCAGTGGAAATTGCTTCTCCCTATTTACGTCATAATCTTTTATGCATAGCCGTTCATTGGAAATAAAGCTGATTTTATATACCATGGTAAAGTTCGAGGGTTTAGATCAGAGCCATGTGTTACACTACTACTGTTATCTCTGTGATCAGGTTTTTTATGTTTTAACAAACATGATGGAGGCCACTTAGATCACCCTCCCTCGCTAGTACTTCATTTACAGTTATAATCACATTGCAATTATAGCCCTGATATTTCGGACCAAATCCAGAGAAATGTGCTTGAATAAATTGATTTCTCGGAAGTTATTCAGGATTCCAAGTTCAACCTATTAGCAGGTTACTGTAAAACTAATTTGTAAAATCTTCAAAACAAGTTCTTTGCAATGCACACGCAGACCTGAGTCAAGTTGTTGCAGATTAATGCCTCAACAGTATGAAACAATTAGAAATATTAACATTTAGGGAACAAAGCGTGTGTAATTGAAACAGCATTAAATCCATCAACAAAGGGTGGGATTAAACCATAGCAGCTATTCTTAAAAATGTCTGCTTTGCTTTTCACTGACTTTTTTACACACTAGGGTGTTGAATGTTTGCCATATGGCCTCATTATTTCAACTGAGGTACTGGTTGCTGATCTTGCAAATGGTTCTTGGGAGGTGCTTTCTAATGCCTTTAAATCCCTGATGCAATTCCCCCCCCCACCCACCCCCTCTGTTTAGCGTCTTGTTCTTCAATTCTTTCTTGGGCATATCTGAATCATTTTATATGAGTACCTGTCAACAGATGCTGGAGGCTAATAATAGTGAAGCCATCTGTGGAATACAGAGGAAATGATCTTAAAATGACCCTGAGAGGCCTATGATACCTTGGGGTGTGATACCCATCTGACTGAAATTCCTTGAATTGTGCTAACAATGCAAAAGGTGACCTCTTCAGATCCTGGCGTTAATTCATGTCAAGGGAAATTAAGTCCTTGATGTGATCACCCACTTACCTCCCCCACAGGAGAGGCCTGTTTGTACTTTTACATGAGGAGTCAGAGCAGCTCTAGATTGTAAGAACTTTTTTTGTGAACAGTAAAACCAAGGCACCATACAAGCCATCTTCCAAATGTGTTTGCTACCACAGAATGACTGCTGCCTTGCTGTCTGAATTCCATATCTCTGATGTTGATTAAGCTTCTTGTAATAATAATCCTTGCATTTGATATAGCTCCTTATTATGACATTGAGAAATCTCAAAGCGGTTCACAGGATATACTGTAACATGGTGTTACTGTGTATTTTGTGGGTGAATGCAGCAGCCAATATGTGCAACAGCAGTGTCCCACAAACAGCCATGGAGTGAATGATCAATCTGGGGAATTATTGGCTGGGGCACCAAGAGAAACTCCCTTCTCTTTTTGAATAGTGATATGGGATCTTTAACGTTCCCACCAGGACAGGCAGCTTACTTTATATACCATGGTAAAGTTAGAGGCATCAGGTCAGGTCAGAGCCATGTGTTACAGGATCTTGGTTTAATATCTCATCCGAAAGATGGCATCTCCCGATAATGTAGAACCACCACCCACTCCCCCCAGCATTGGATTGCATTGTCAGGATAGACTATTCGAGCCTCATGTTGGGGCAAAGACAAGCTTCTGATTCAAAGGCATGTGTGCTTTATAATTAAATTGAAAAGGAACAGGTTGGAGGATACACTAAAAGAAAGTTTTAAAAAAAAAGGATTTAGAGAATGCAGGGCATGTAAAAGTACAAACAGGCTTCTTCTCCAACAGAGGTAAGTGGGTGATCACATCAAGGAGTTAATTTCTCTTAATATAATTTAGCGCCAGGGGTCACCTTTTGCATTCACCCAGCGCCTTGGGACGTCCTCCCAACTGTATACAAATGTAATTTTGTATTGTATTTGATTTCTAATGTGGATGAAGAGGCTTTATATCAAAAATTGTATTTTGGTGTTGGTTTTGTTTAGGGTTTGTGTTACAGTAATACAGTTGTTAGTTTGTATCAAAATCAAAGAATGTATTATGGACATCTAAGTTGTAAGCTTATAATAATAATAATACAAATCATAATCCTCTCACTTGCTATAGCACCTCATATTATTGAGACGTCTCCAAGCACTTCAGAGAATACATCGTAAAGTGGATTGACCATGTATTTTGTGGGTGAACCTCTGCAGCCAATTGCGCACAGCAGTGTCCCACAAACAGTCGTGGATTGAGTGACAATTTTTTTTGGAGCAGTATTACCCCTGGAAAGCGATTCGCTAATTGACTAAAAATTGGGCTCTTGTTCACTGCTAGGTCAATAGAGGTGTGTGGAGTAAGGACACTTGCCTAAGATTTCGCCCTGCACGGGAATCGAACCCGGATCCTGTCACTTGTGAGGCAACTGCTCTAACCAAATATGCTACAGGACTCCACTTGATAATCTAGCAGCCTAATGGTTAATGGTATGGTAGTAAATTGAGACATTGGCCTGCACCTTTCTCAAACTGTAAAATTATTACTGGCCCTCTGTCTAAAAAAAGCTTTTATTGTGATAAAAGTAATTCACACTGAATAACTGAACGATTTAAAATAGGATTTAAAAGCTTCTCTCTGAAGGGTAATGGATATGAATGCATACTCGACAGTAACACTAGTTAGCCCAGTGTTTCTAAATGCAGTGTTTGAAAGCTGATTTTCAACCTTTAATGAATTTCAGTGACTACAATTTGTCACCTGACAAATACTGAAAGATGCAACGCGTTTTATTCGGCTGATTTACATTAGGGATCAGCTTTCTGTCAGATTCAGACTCCATACCGTTTGTAAACTGGGTGCTGCCATTAAATAGAAATAGTTTTAAAAAGAGTTTTTTTTTTAGGGTTCACTTTTCACCTGTGCCCATGGGATCATCGAAAAACATGCAAATATTTATTTTTATTTTTAAAACATTTTTTTTGCAACCCTGCGATCATCCTCAGCAACCCTCATTAGTTGTATGATCAGTTTTAGAAATATATGATGACCCCTTTACACAACACTTGGGGTTGAAACGGTTTCATTCGTGGAGTCTTGTAGCTCAGTGGAGTCGTGTAGCTCAGTGGTTGGAGCACTCGCTTTGCAAGCGAGAGACCTGAGTTCAATTCCAGGCAGAGGGCGAGACCTTGGGCAAGTTTCCTTACTCCACACGGCCTAATAATAATCCCTCCAAAACAAAAACAATAATAAATTGGTCATTTTCAATCCCTGACTGTTTGTGGGACATTGCTGTGCGCAATTGGCTGCCGCGTTCGCCCACAAATATACAGTCAATTCACTTTACAGTCTATTCTGTGAAGCGCTTTGGGACGTCCTCCCGACGTGAAAAGCGCTATATCAAATGCAAGGATTATTATTATTATTATTATGGACCCTAATGATTCTCTTACACAAAATAATAAGTTATTACAGCAACTGCCCTATTTGCTCAGCACGATTGTGTGTGTGTGTGGGGGGGGGGGGGCTGAACCTGGTGTGACGATGGTGGCTATTATTAAAGAGAACAGTGTAAAGAAAAGCCGATTAGGTTCACAGAATTGTCACTGAAATCCCATCTGTCAGAAAGGGAAACTGTCTTGAGCATCAACAGCAACTCGGAGCTCTTGCTTTCCCAACTAAAAATTGGGATTTTCAGCTCTTTTTTTAAAAAAACACACAACCACCCACATAAGTGACATGATCAGGTGAGTTTGGGTTTATTTGGGGGTGGGAGGGGGGATGTAAATCAAGTTCTTCTTCCCCCAAGTGTGATACAGTGGCTCTGAGCTGATTGCCGATGGATGGGGTGCAGGTACCCATTAGCAAAGAGGCAAAGACAATTAAGGAGTGTGGCTTGTAACGTCGTGTTTAATTATTTTGTCACTTGTTTCCTCTTTTGTAGATTGCACCAGAGATAGAAGAAGAATGTTTGGTTACCGATGGAATAAAGCACCATTGGTTGTTCTGTTTGCCTTTGCATTCACTCTCGGTTCACTCACAGATACAGGTACAGTAGCATGCTTTTTTTTGCAACCCCCCCATCAAATATAATGCATCTTCGGACAAGATTTGAACCTTTTATAACATTAAAAGTCTGCATTTGAAAACGATTAGTGGCACTGGCCTGTGAGTGACAATATTGCTTTGCCTGTCATGTCACTGCTATAAAGGATAATCTGCAATGTTAATCGCATTGAGACAATGTATTTCCATTTAATTAGCTAACTATAGGGAGGGAGAAGGGGTCGGGCATGCACTTCAGATTACAGAGGTCAAATCAACACATCCTTTCAAGCAAACAACCCAACATTTGGATGTTGAAACACACTGAGACTGTTTAATTATTAAGTGGTGCACAGTTGCTGCAAATTGGAGCATGGATTAGTTGACACATTTAAATTCCATTGTGGGTATAATGTCATAATATTCCTAGTTACAAGAGCAACAACAAATTAGTTATATCATTTCTTCACGTCAGCTAACTTTCTCCTGTGGTTCTTTTGCTTCCTCTTAAACTACCTGCCTTAATGCAATACAGAGTCCTCCATTTACTGTTCCAAAATTGTCTTAATTGTCAAAATTACGGATTACAATATTTGAGATTTCCTGCATAAATGTTGTGCGTTTTGCTGCTTAGTAAAACGTCTGTTTAATAATAATAATAATAATAATCCTTGCATTTGATTCAGCGCTTTTCACGTCGGGAGGACGTCCCAAAGCGCTTCACAGAACACACAGTAAAGTGAATTGACTGTATATTTGTGGACGAACACGGCAGCCAATTGCGCACAGCAATGTCCCACAAACAGTCGTAGATTGAAAATGACCAATTTACTATTGTTTTTTGTTTTGGAGGGATTATTATTAGGCTCTGTGTGGAGTAAGGAAACTTGCCCAAGGTTTCGCCCTCTGCCTGGAATTGAACTCAGGTCTCTCACTTGCAAAGCGAGTGCTCTAACCACTGAGCTACAGGACTCCACTGGAGTCTCTAGAGAGGACTATAATATGCATGTCACAACTTTTGCAGCTATATTAAGAACAGTTGGGGTTTTACTTGAAACTACATTTAGTGTTGCCAGAATCTTAGTTTTACAAATCATGCTTATGTCCCATCACCCGCTTATCCGTATTCTCATTTGTGAATCATCAGGTCATTATAAAAATCAATGAAATCTAAAATAGTAATTTTGCAATTTGAAATGCCATTTGATGTGTTATTTATAGGAATGAGACAATTTTTCGGGTTTTTTTCTGATCATTTGTTATACCTGGATCATATGTATGCAACATTTGGTTATTGAAACACATTGGGACTGTTTAATCATTAAGTGGCATATGGTTGCTACAAATTTGAGCTTGGATTAGCACATTTAAATTCCATTGTGTATCATAATATTCCTTGTAACAACACTAAATGAGTCAGATTATTTCTTCACGTTATCTAACTAACAGAAGGTAGGAATTGCAACTAAAGTGCACAATATCAAGATTGGCCAATATTTTGTAACCGGTCTTTCTGCATTAAGAGACGTCGAATTCTGTCTGTTTCAGTCCTTCTGGAGAGCGTTTTAGATGAGACACAACACCTCAAAGACTTCGGAAGCCTTTCTGATCACTACATTCAGTCTGAGACTGGGAGCAACTTAAAGCAAAGACATGTGATTCACCGGAAAATTCGATCAATATTGCTCCCGAGTGTAATTAAGCTATGTGCAGAGGAAACCATTCTACAGGCCATCAACAACCACCTCAAGTATTACGAACTGAGAGGTAAGGGAAAATCTGGTTCTAATTGAAAATACAGCTCATTCCTTTTATGCAATCTCCAAGGGATTTATTGCTGCGATGTACTGTTCCAGCCCATCTGTGTGACCCATAATCTATCTCCTACGTGAATTGCATATGGTGAAATGTTAGATTTGCATTGTACAGCATAAATAACTTTAACTTTAGAAAAAATACTCGTCTCAGCTTGCCAGTGTCCAAAAGCAGTCCTACAGGATAATGGTTGCATTTACATTTTCGAAGCGATCCTCCATTCCATAACTTTGTGGGTATAGTATTCATCCTAATGCCAATCAGTTACAGAAAACTGAAGATAATAATCCTTGCATTTGATGTAGCGCCTTATCATGTCTTCGAGACGTCTCAAAGCACTTCACAAAATATACTGTAAAGTGAATTGACTGTATATTTTTGAGTGAAACAAGGCAGCCAATTCACTTTACAGTATATTCTGTGAAGCTCTTTGAGACAACGAGAAGATGTGATAAGGCGCTATATCAAGTGCAAGCACTATTATCATTATTATTACAGATTGTGATTAGAAATCACTGCAATGTAAGATCACTCGGAAGAATACTGATTTAACTTACCCTTACATGTCATCTGTAAAGATTCTACCTGCCACGTGGGTAGTCCCATTCTATTTTAAATTCTGTTAGAACAATTTGGGGTTTCCAATTAAAGATTTATTTATTTTACAATGGGGAATTCCTTACTCCTTTTACATTAATAAATGTGATATATCAGGGTTTTCCATGTCGCCTCATCACTGTCTCTCCACCCTTCCTTTGATAAACACCAGTGTTTATTGCTTTGATAGTGCTGAAACAAGTCATTTAACACTATCAACCTGACTCTATACAAAACTTGTTATTTTCACTCTCTTTGATGCAAAGACGCCCATTATTGAGTAAATATATTGTGCAGTGTAGCAGAAATTAATGTTTTCTCACATTCCAGGAAAGCGGCAAATAGGTGAATGGTCACAAGCCTCTGTCGCAAGTAATTGCAGTTCACCTCAAGTTTTCTGTGGAATATATATGTATGCAGCTTATATTTTAGATCAAGCTCAAACTGGTACTTGCACAACATTTACTTCTCATCTGATTTTTAAAACCTGCACTTCTGGGGTGACTGAAAGAAGCCCGATTAAGCAATGATTGCTTAAGGAGGTTTTTCAGTGTAAATCTGTATTGAGAACTGTATGGCTTTTAAAGGGTTGCTGTAATAGTGCTGAAAGAAGATATGCGTCTTCTCAAACTCTCCTTCGGGAATGTATTTATTTAGCCACCTGGACAGACACACATGCAAGTCGCCCCTACTAGAAAACCCTGACCTTTCCTGACAGGTTTATGATGATTTTAAGTATCGGCACAAGTAGGATTGTGAGATCTTAGTCAAGTAGTTTATTATATATAATCCCTGTGCGTGACTGCACTCGGGCATTATATAAAGTTCCATTTAGGATCATCATAAACATTCATTTGATTGTAAATTTCAATGACACATCCAACCATCCTGCCAGGATGATACCTCAACCACTTGTTCTCTACTTGAATATGCTGTTTTTGTCAGATGAGATAAACCCTGTCTTAATACAACATCATGTTTATGTGTAAGCAGATTTTGTACCAAAGTCCTCCTGATTACATTTTCGGAAATATTCAACTATATTTTAATGCTACTGTGTGTATCAGAGCATTATTTATTTAGTTAAATATCATTGGAAATATCATTGACATAATCTTGAGCAATTGACCTATCCATATGAATATATAAAGTGTTTTCATCTTCATGAAAAAAAGTTTAATGACTTTTTTCCCCCTTGTTATTATAAATCTGCAACATAATAAAGAAAATAACTGATTTACTCAATTATGAATTATCTCAATTATGAGTTATGAATTATCTCAATTATCAAACACTTCACAAAATTGTGGGACTCTGGCTCTGGGACTCTGGCCTGCATGAGGGGCGTTATATAAGTGCAAGTTGTTGTTGCTGTTGTACTTCTGAGACTGAGAACTCATGTCCAATACAGTTATGAGCAAGTTTTGAAGATCTTTATTGCAAATATAAATGTATCCTACTGACCCGACTTGCTTATCATTGAGATAGTATGACTTTTAATATCTCTAAACTTTTCCCAAAGAATATTTCATGAAGTCAAAATAGACATACAGTTCTCAATGCAGATTTGCACTGAGAAACCTCCTAATGGGAGCGTTACTCCACAGGGCCTCTTTCAGCTGCCTCCAACCATGGAGTCCTGTGGCTCAGTGGTTAGAGCAATCACCTCGCAAGCGAGAGACCTGGATTTGATCCCTGGCAGAGCAAAATGTTGGGCAGGTTTCCTTACTCCACACGCCTCTGTTTACTAGCAATAAGTAGGAACCCGGTTGTTAGTCGATTGGCAGATTGCTTTTCTGGGGATAATAATTCCTTCAACAAACAATATATAATAATAAGCTAAAAACAAGTTACTGCAGATGCTGGAAATCTGAAAACAAAAGCAGACGTTGCTGGGAACACTCAGCAGGTCAGGCAGCATCTATGGAGAAAGGAAAGTGAGTCAATGTTTCGGATCCACGACCCTTCGTCAGAACTGGGGCAGGTTGGGAGGGAGAGGCTTTCAAGGGCTAACAGAGGTGGGGGGGAGGCAGAGTAAGGAAGACAAAGAAGAAAATGGGGTAGAGGACAGGGGATGATGGGTTAAAAAGGTGTTAATGATGCAAAACAAAGGGGTGGGATTGCAACAAAGCGGGAGAATAGAGGTGTTAATACTGCAGAACAAAAAGGTGGGGTGGGGAAAGAACTTGGAACAAAAAAGGCAGATCAGGGAGAGAAAAGGTGTGTCTGGGACCAAGATGATGTGGGAATGGTCACAGAAGAGTGGGAGGGGGAAGGTGAGCTGTTATGGTCTGAAATTGTTGATTTAAATTTTGTGGACCATAAACCTTGACTCACTTTCCTTCCTCCAATAATAAGCTGCTCACTTCAAACCACAACTGTATTATAAACATGATTTTTGAAGTTTGCAGTCTGTTTTACTGAGTTTGTATGTTTCTTACAGTATGCCAAGAGGCAGTGTGGGAAGCGTTCAAGATCTTCTGGGATAGGCTACCCGAACGAGAAGAATATGAGATGTGGATGAACCTGTGTGAAAAAGGAACTCTAACAATTTTTGACATTGGTGCTAATTTCAGCGAGTCTGAGGAACACCAAAGGTTGATTAAGCAGGTAATGCTACATTTTAACCTTATAATTAAATATACCAGCACGCTGCATTACCCTAGCCATTTTAATGCTAATTAATAATGGATTTTTTTTTAAAAAAAGTTCTCCTGTTGGTTTTCTACCTCCCCTGTTATGAAGACAGTGGCTCGTGATGGGGACAACAGCAGTTTCACATGATTATATACACAATAGAGTTTGTAATTTTCCAATGAAGTACCAGTGACTTACTGGTCCTCCAATTACCAGCCTGAGACATTTATGCATATCAATAAATACCCATCCTATTAGCAGAACACATTGATATAGGAATAAAATAGTGAGTAGTGATTATGTAAAATGCTCTACTTTTATAAAACTCTCATTGTACATGGTTACATTATATATAATAAAAAAAGGATTTTGTTGCGTTCAGTATAGTGCCTACAACTTTGATCGTACTTGACCTTAGCAAAACAGCTTAGTTGGGATGCTTTTAGGTTGAATTATAGACGTTGGCCTACTCAGGAACAATGTTATGACCTGGGTTTGTTTATTCTAACAGCAATGAGCTGAGAGTAACAAAATCCATTGTATAAGGAGGATCATTCTCCAATAAATCACATTGGTGATATTTTACATCTGAAATGGAATAGTCTTTGTGTAACAGATGTTTTAACAAATTCTGTTAAGGAGAGGTTTCATCTTTACTTATGGTATCCTTCTTGTATGCTGTTTGGAATTCAATCGGCAAGAGTGGTGTTTATTTATATAATCTGGCAATATATTCAAGTTTTCATCCTTGTACAGATTCATGGAGCTGCATATGCATACTGTCTCCATGACTCACTCATAAAAGTACAAATATTTTGGCACAAAAATTGCTGCATGAATTTAATATTACTTCTCCACTAATAGGAGTTTTACAAAGAGCCAACCATGCTTGGTTAGTTCATATAATATATAATAATGAGGAGAATTAAGGCACGCCAACACTCCCTGCTTTTAAGAGTCTTGATTGAAATGATTTAATTGAAAACAGAATTGTGTCCACAACAGTGGAATAAATGAAATACCCGAAGGGGAGAACTAAAATGCCTGTCATAGAATCATAGAATTCTACAGCACAGAAGGAGGCTATTTGGCCCATCGTGTCTGTGTCTTTGAAAGAACTGTTCAATTACTCCCACTCCCTCGCTCTTTCCCCATAGCCTTGCAACTCTTTTGATTTCAAGTATCTATCGATTCTCTTTGAAGGTTAATATTGAATCTGCTTCCATCACCCTTTCAGACAATGCATTCCAGACTGTAAAAACTCGCTATGTAAACATTTTTTTCCTCATCTCCCCTCTGGTTCTTTTGCCAATTATCTTAAATCTGTACCCTCTGGTTACCAACCCACCTGCCTATGGAAACAGTTTCTCCTTATTGACTATCAAAACTCCTCTTAATTTTGAACACCTCTATTAAATCTCACTTGAACCTTCTCTGCTCCAAGGAGAACAATCCCAGCTTCTTTAGTCTCTCCACATAACTCATCACTGGGGTCATATTACAGTACAATACAAATTTACATTTATACAGCGCCTTTCACGTCGGGAGGAAATCTCAAGTCCTGTAATAATAATAATAATAATAATAATAATAATCCTTGCATTTGATATAGCGCTTTTCACGTCGGGAGGACGTCCCAAAGCGCTTCACAGAATAGACTGTAAAGTGAATTGACTGTATATTTGTGGGCGAACGCGGCAGCCAATTGCGCACAGCAATGTCCCACAAACAGTCGTAGATTGAAAATGACCAATTTATTATTGTTTTTGGATTTTGGAGGGATTATTATTAGGCGTGTGGAGTAAGGAAACTTGCCCAAGGTTTCGCCCTGTCTGGAATTGAACTCAGGTCTCTCACTTGCAAAGCGAGTGCTCTAACCACTGAGCTACAGGACTCCAATAATGAGTGGCACCTGAGGTGAGGGAAGGAGCAAGTTGGAGGGGCTTCGGGATGGAGTTCCAGAGACCGAGGGGGTGGATAGGTTGAAAGTGGTAGGATGGGGACATTGAAGCATGCTCGCTGAGCGAAGGGAACGACTGAGTCAGTAAGGTACATTTATATTTGCAATACAGGTCTTCAAAACCTAATCATTACTATATTGAACATGAGTTCTCAGGCATTTATAGGCATTGAATGTAAAAAAGTATTCCACTGGTCTTCAGCATGGACGGACTACAAATAAATGCTTGAGGCTTACTTGTCTGACTTCTGGCATCTATCCTGTCTATTGCAACGTTTGCTATCTTTATTTTACAGTTGTTCCTTTGGCTTTTAACCCTCTCTTATTTTTGCCAAGTTCTAAAATTGCCATATACTTCTCCACTGTCAATATGTTGAATTCAAGAGTCATTGGACTGTCCCTTACTTTGACTCATTCTTCCCCAAGACATTATGATTGCAGAGAGGTAGGAATACATCTGTGTGGAATAATCTACAGTGTTGTGGTTAATTTAATAAAAAGTGGTTCACAAATCTGGTTAAAATATTCAGTATGAAAAAAAATTGTTCAGCGTTTCAAAACTTTCAGCAACATGATACACAAAGCTGACAGCTGGCGTCAGTTAAAGTGGCATTGGGAGATAAAGCTGCAAAAACGAGTAACCCTTTATTTTATCGACACTTTAGGAGAATTACTGAATTGCCGCTGAAGGTTTGCCTCGCACCCTCCACCCCACCATCGCAGTGCTGTCAGCCACTACGCCCCAAAACGCTGAAACACTCTCCCTCAATCCGTCCGCCTTGCCCCCTCTCTCCTCTCTAACAAGTCCCACCTGAAAACTTTCCTCTTCCACCGTGCTTATGGCCACCTCCCCCCGGCTCCTTCCGTGAAGGGCGCTATATAAGCGCAAGTTGTAGATTTTGTTGCTGTTGCCACATCCATTGTGAGGTTTAGCACACTTTCTGATTCTTGACACTGATTCTTGACACAGCTTTAGGTATTAGAAAGCCAGAAATGCACTAAAATGATGTTTGTTATTAATGTGAAGCCATGTGCCCAGACGAATAGCGCAAAGAGACTGATCATATTCAAAGGAGTCTGGAGCACTGAAGCAGATAAACTAAGGAATGGCAGGTGGATGATAGTGTGGATTAATGCACATCAAAACAGGAAATGACAAACCTGTGAATATGATGAAAGCAAATGCAGAAGAGGAAAATGATCTTATGTGGTGATTATAGTAATAATAATAATCCTTGCATTTGATATAGCGCCTTATGTCGTTGAGACATCTCAAGGCACTTCACAGAATGTATTGTAAAGTGGATTTGACTGTCCATTTTGTGGGCGAAACATTACTTTTATTCACTGTTTACTAAAAATTTTCAGTTCAGACACAACTGTTACCAACAGACTGTGCCCAAGCACTGGAATGCATTTCAAAAGTATTTTATTATAAATAGTAATGAATTATTCCTGAAGCCAATTGTAGCACCTGGACTGCTGTCTGGCTGAGATTAGGTAACTCAGGAGCTTAGACCTTCCCAGACTCCATTGCTCAATAATTTACCATATAAAGTCACGGAGCTATTAAAGGAGCTGTCGGTTTAGAAACATTTAATATCGAACAAGAAATTAATAATTCACTTTGGTTGCATGAAGGAGGTGGTTCAAATAGACAATATCGCGCTTTGAGACGTCTTGAAGACGTGATAAGGCCCTGTGTCAAATGCAAGGATTATTATGTGATAGATGCAGATTGGACAGCTGTAAATAGAGAACTGCTTGGAGGGAATCCAACATGTCAGCAGGAGCCATTGTTTTTTGTCACAACCTGTTTTTGATCAGTTTCAAAGACAAAGTCCTGGCATAGAACTGAAGAATAATAGGCATGACAGAAAGTGTGTGCCCAGAACATAGGCCTCATCATACATGGGCTGCAAGTTAGAAGTGAGCACTCCCTCCTCCTTGTCAATTAGGAAATTGATTCTAAGAGATCCAACTGTTTTCACTTAGCTATTCAGTTGGAGGAAAAATTAACTGTTGTTAGTCTTTTAGTTTTGCTCAGATTTGATGGGAACCTGTTTCTTGTGTCTAATGTAGAAATATGCAAATTCCATTTTACCTTTTCTTTTCATTTTTCACGAAACAGTTTTCCCCCTTAATTTCCTCTGTTGCTTCTTTATTTTTGCTTCTACTCGAATAAGTTTGATGGGCATTGGGCAAGTGATTACCTTGCCAAAAGGGCCATTATTAATGTGTGAACCTTTTCCGGGGTTAATAATTTCTTCAAAATAAATAATAATAACTTGGTCACTCAATCCATGATACTGATGTGCGCAATTGACTGCCACATTTCACCCACAAAATACAGTCAATTCACCTTGCAGTATATTCTGTGAAGCACTTGAGACGTCTCGAAGACGTGATAAGCTGCAATATCAAATGCAAGAAATATTTATTTATTGTTAACCTAGGATGGTCAATTTTGCCAGGTTATTTTGCCCACAAATACACAGCTACTGCACTGTATATCCTGTATACATTGCTTTAAGACTTCTTTCTAACTTGAATGACCTATACCAAATGTAAGCATTATTATTACTTTTCTTTTATTTTTTCCTCTCCCCAGTTTTATATATGGAAAGTGCCTTTTTCACTAGGCTATTGAAGAGCCCATACTCTTTTTGGAAGGTATTTGCTGAGTGGGTAATTTGAAAAATGTTCATAATTTCGATACTTCATACTGTGCTTAAGAATAAGTACTGGTTTCATACATTATTTTATTGTAACAAACTGCATCTTAGTTTGCCAGAATGGAATTGTTGAATATAGAACTGTTAGTTCAAAGCCACAGTAACTGCATCTTAAGTCATTCTAGACTGTTTGTTTCCTGAGAGAAGGCTGTGAAGTGTCCCAGCACTATGGATAATATTAGGCATTCAGCTACATCAAACAATTGGTGGAGGGTGAATGGAAAAGAGTGGGGGAGGCGGGGGGAGCAAGGGATGGGAAAGAAAAGGGACAAGAAGTGTGGTTTATAGCATTAATAATAACCATCCTTGCAGTTGATACAGCACCTTATCACATTGTTGAATTTGTCAAAGTGCTTCATAGGGTTTAATGTCTAGTGTCTAGGTTTAAGTGTAGTGACTGTGTATTTATAGGTGAATGTAGCAGCCGATTTTTCCACAAATAGTCATGAAGTAATTGATCAATTTTACCTGGGACACCAGCAGAAGCTTCCTATCTTTTTCATACCAAATCGAATCATATACCAACCTTGATAGTGTGTTCAGAATGGAAAATTCCTATTCTGAGTTTTAAGATCTGAGCTTCAGTGAATTTACCAGCAGCAGAGAATGAAATGCACACAACATAAGTTTGATAAATTTAACAGCAAGTGGTGAATAATTGCCCCATCCACAAGCCTAAATCATGTTTGAAAAATTCCTCTGCCCTCATAGGTTTGTTGACAATGTCTTGATGCCAGACATTACTGTTCCACCTTTCTTTCCAAGAACCAAGAATGAAAGTTTATGCAACATGGCTGTTAAGATCATCAGTATGATTATTAGTTCAGCTGGACTGTTATTCATTGACTGAGAAATACCACAGCAGTATTAATCACACAAGTTAGACAAATAACATAAACAGATGAATGATTGCAAATAATGTGTTACATATGCTGGTATTTCTAGGCTTTCTTATGTTTTAATCAACTCCTGGTCTCCTATTTCAGCATACAATCTGTTGAATTATTCACTTTGTTCCTACAAGTAAAGCTCTTTTCTAATGTAAACGAGGTATTGCAATCCTTTGTGATTCAAATAATGCAATGTGAGGAGAAGAGAAAATGACCAAAAGACTTGGACATCTTTTAGAAGTGACACATTCACAAATCATTACTTTTAAAATTGATACTGACTCAGATATTCCATTTTGCTCCTTTTTATATATTTTTGGCCTTATTAAAACCACAAATAGATAGACGTGTGCTGCGGTTTCTTAAATTCTCTGATTCTGAATCTGAGTTGTAAATTGATTAATCTCTTTGAAATGCTTCAAAGGATTTATCTAAATTTCAACTGCAAATGTTGACTTGAATGCAAACTTTAAAATGTTTAAGGTGAGTATAGTTCTCTTCCTTGTTAATTTGCATTTTCTAATCACAGAAACGGGTCATATTTATCACCCTTCCAATAGGCTTTTGCCAACTTGCACCTAATACTCTGGAATTAGGTAAGCAGTATGCATCCCTTCAGAGAGAGAGTTCCAACAATTTTCACACTTCATTCTAATAATTTTCATATGAGATATTAACCCGATGTCCCGTCTACCTGTTCAGTTGGACGTTAAAGAACCCGCTGTATTGAAGAGAAGAGAGTTCTCCTGGTATCCTGGCCAATAATCACCCAAACAAAACTGGACATTCACTTCATTGCTGTTTGTGGAACATGGCTGTGGGCAATTGCGCTGCCACATTTGCCTGCAAGTACACAGTTATTTTGCTTCATAGTAAATCCTGTGAGATGTCCTTCTGACACAATAAGGCACTCTACCAAATGCAAGGATTATTATTATTATGAATATCTCTGGAATTTCCATGTGTAGGTAGGATGCATGGAATTCTCAGTTTGGTTTGGATGCTCTTAAGCACGGTGATGTGTTTCCGCATGTGTCAGATACTCGGCTAACCGAAAAAAACTCATCTTTTGTGATTGTTGTTGATCGACAATAGTGCTGGTGGATTTGGCTCTAATGTCCAATCATACCAGCTATCGTACTGGTTCTTGTGTATTACAAAGACAACTTTATCTTTACCCTCAGAAATTACCACCACAGATGGAGGCTGCGAGCAGGTAAAATGATATCTATCAATTAATTAACTATTTTCAACCTATTAATTCTGTAGAATTACTCTCATACACCCCTCTATTCTCTTCTCCCTCATGTATGTATCAAGTTCCTTCTTAAATACGTTGATGCATTTTGTTTTAATCAAAGCTTCCAGCAGCGAGTTCTACATTCTTAGAGCTCGCTACATCAAAATGTTCCTCATAGACTCCCTTTTAGATCTGCTACTTGCTATGCTACATTTACATTACGCTCTCATTATGAATCTGCCAATAAGTGGAAACTAATATTATTATTAACATTCAAGCTAAGGATGACACTGTCAATGGCAGACCATCCAGCCTGGCTTGGCTGTCCAGATTTGGACAAATCACAGGTGGTAGGAATTCTTCCCACACTGCTTCGGTTAAACTTGCAATCCATCCTGCACCAAGCATTTTCCAAGATTAAAAGAGCAGGGTGCGTCCCTCCGGAGAGAGTTTACATACTCTGTTCTACTCTGAAACTCCCAGTAGTTTGGTTTGAATAATCTTAAGCATGTTGATGAGTCTCGCATCCTGAATGTGTCAGACACCCTGGAAAATCAAATCAAATTAATCTCATTTTCATTTTCATCCAAGTTCATGCAATGAAAAAATCTCCAGGTAAGTTCATATTTTATGCTTAGTATATGTAGAAACATCACATGAAATGTGTATTCTTATTTAAGGAAAGTGACAATGAACTTGTGACAATGAACTTCAAGTGAAAGAACTTGTATGTCACTGCATGCTTTTGCAAATTAATAAAGCAGAATTCTCTTCCTAGCCCAGGATCAAGCACAACGACAACTTTGATTAAAAGCAACACCACCTTAAAAGGTCTGTGAAGTTATTTTCTGTATTATTTTCTTAGTGAGTCTTGTAACAGTTTTATATAATATTTACTGTATAGAGAAATTAAACATTGCAATGGTTTGTTTAATGCTTGGTTTCATTCTTTAAAAAATGAGAAAATGCAAGTTTACTTACTCCTCACGCCTCTGTTAACCTAGCAGTATGTAGGAACCTGGTTGTTAAGTCAGTTGGCGGATTACTTTTCCAGGGGTAATAGGTCCTTCAAAAAAATAAAAATAATAAATTGGTCACTTACTCCACGACCGCTTGTGGGACATTGCTGCGTGCAATTGGCTGCCGCATTTCGCCCACAAAATATACAGTCAATCCACTTTACACTATATTCTGTGAAGCACTTTGAGACATCTCAAAGTCCTGATAAGGCACTATATCAAATGCAAGGATTATTATTATTAACCATGGAATGGAATATCTTCTGGGAAAAGTGTTCTCATACGGAGAATGATTGACACTTTGATGGAGCAACTTGAGACAAGCACTGGAATTTATGAAATAGCCTATACAGGGCTTGAAGTCTGCCATGGATAAGTCTTTCTTAAGAATAGTTCTCACACTGATAAGAGAAGGCCTTGTGTTAATGATGTCTCAGAACTCTCTTGGAACCTGCTCAACGGCTTTCAGGAGTCAAAGAGGAATTTTCCAGAGCATTTTTTTCTCCTGAATTGGCCATGTTTTTTCTTTCTCTGATTTTTTTATTCCCTCATGGAAGGAATTGAATGACCAGTTCCAGAAGAAAAGTGTAGATAGAAATATTGAGTGGAGGGTGGAATGAAGGGGATTTTTCGAAGTGTGGACTTGATGGGCCTCTGGCCTTTTTGTATTATTTCCTTTATAACAGTATTCCTTACATTTCATTTACCTTTTACAATGGGATGACATCTCAATGCACTTCACAGGATTAACTGTAAAGTGTAGCGACTATATATTTTGTAGGTGATACATATTGTCTATGTATCTAAAGTCCGATTGCTAGATGAAACTGAAGTAGTAACCAGGTGGTGGGGTGAAACGTTGGGCAAGTTTCCTTACTCCACACACCTCAGTTTACCTAGCAGTAAGTAGGAACCTGGTTGTTAGTTGATTGGCTGATCGCTTTCCCGGGGGTAATAATTCCTTCAAAAAAATAATAAATTGGTCATTCAATCAACGACTGTTGCTGCGTCTTGTCCCACAAAATATACAGTCAATTCACTTCATGGTATATTCTGTGAAGCGCTTTGAGATGCCTCGAAGATTTGTTAAGGTCCTATATCAAATGGAAGGATTATTATTTTTATCATTGTTATTATTATTATTATAGGTAAACAATAAAGGTTAATTCCGACAAGTAACCAATAGTTAAGAAGCTTTGTTTCATTGCCAGATACAGCAACTAATGATCCATCTTCTGAAATGGTTCCCATTGCTGGTATTGACATCGCAGCTGAAGAGGAGGAGTTGGCAGTAAGTCCAGTGTTTGTACTTGAAGCCTGCGGTTAGTAACTTCTATTTTAGTGCTAGATTTGTTTCCCTGCTCCAAATCATGAATCATGAGACATGAATAATACAGTGAGTTCTGAAGATAAGATCAGTGTGAAAGAGATTGCATTGTTGATGTGTCACACGTCAAGGCAAATTGGAAAATGTTCACATAAATGAGTAGATTGAAAATGTTGCTTCTAGTTTGGGTTGGGAAGACCCATAAAGAAGATTATGGGGAAGCCAAGTATCACAACCTTTTTGGGTTGTCGAATTTAAACATGAGACCATCAAAAGAATTTGTCAGAATTGAAATGATGTACATAGAAACATCTATTTTAGATCTATAAAGGTGCAGTTATTTTACTAGGATTTCTTTGTTATTTGGAGTCCTGTAGCTCAGTGGTTAGAGCACTCGCTTTGCAAGCGAGAGACCTGAGTTCAATTCCCGGCAGGGCGAGACCTTGGGCAAGTTTCCTTACTCCACACGCCTAATAATAATCCCTCCAAAACCAAAAACAATAATAAATTGGTCATTTTCAATCTACGACTGTTTGTGGGACATTGCTGTGCGCAATTGGCTGCCGTGTTCGCCCACAAATATACAGTCAATTCACTTTACAGTGTGTTCTGTGAAGCGCTTTGGGACGTCCTCCCGACGTGAAAAGCGCTATATCAAATGCAAGGATTATTATTATTATTATTTGCTGAACGTGCTCAACAATGTTGTCACCTGTGGATAAGAGAAATTTCAAGTAATACAGTCAATAGATTTTTCTATCAGAAGATGCTTTTGAAACCCAGAAACTGTGCTGGTTTACTTGCTAATTTGCGTTCACAGTAATACCATCTGGAGCAATGATTAAAGGCTGTTCACAATGGCCATCAAAGAAAACGGTTACACATGAAATGTCAGTGGAAAGGCTGCGTTGCTGAGATATTGGATTATTTTCTTATGTTGTCCTTTTCCTTGAAAATATATCCACTCGGCAACAAAGTTTATGAGGTCACCAACACCGGATTCCATATGTTTTCATTTTCCATTTCCAGTTATTTATTACCAAAACTTAACATTTGTGTGTGTTAATAATTTCCTTATGATTTTGCGTTGGAATGCCTGGCTAGTCTTCACTTCGACAGACGTCTACACAAATGCACCCTTTTATGTTTTGTGAAACTAATATATGGGACATGAGTAAAATTCTAATTGAAGTTGCAGATAGTCATATTGCTGAGCAAAAAGGACTATGATTGACACTTTGGCACTTTGACACTTTAAGAGTTCCTTTCAATGAGCCAAACTGATGGATTGTTTTTTGAAAAGTCTCTTATTTTAATCCACATTTGTGTTTTTGTTTCTCTCGTGCTCCCTTATGGTGTTGTCCTTCATCTGGTCAAATCCTTTATCTCTTGAGATGAGGCCCCTCGAGATGCTTCAGTCTGTCAGAGATGCTTCAGTCTGCCAGAGAACATCCAAAACTGTGCCATGGAGTTCAAATCTCATCTGAGCCTGGGACTTAAACATAGGTTCCCCAATGAGCTGGAATGAGATTTTAATTGAAGTGCATACAGTCACATTCCTGACTAAAGCATCATAATGGGCGGCTTTGGACTCATTGAATTTCCTATTTAATCAGACCAAGTGGGGGATGTAATTCAATTTACTTTCTCTGCTGGACGTATCAGAGGCATCATTTAATACCATTTCTTAGTGATCAGATTATACGCAGTGTTTGAGTTGTAGCTCTGCACCTACAAAGATGCACCCTAGCATCCTTTTGTATAGTTCTCTCAATGCTGGAATACTGTTTGTACTGATGATATGATTGAATTGGGCGACTGAGACTGCTAGCATTAATGGAGGTAAGCATTCTATACAGTGGTTTCATGTGTTAAGTCAGGAGGAGTGTGTTAAGTCAAGATTCCAACAGTGCTAAGTGAGGATTTCATTTCCTAAATGTTCTCTCTCTTCTCCTGAAGACACCAACAGTTGCTGGGGCATAATTCAACAGGCAGTGGTAGCCCTCCATTATCTTGACTATTTGTGCTCCTCCTATGTCGGCGAGATGTTTGACTTTGATCCCAGTCCTGGTCTAAGTGAATGTTCACTTGTGTGCAGCAGAGGAATTCTAGCTACTGATCAAAATTGCTTGATTTCTCCTCTATATTCCAGGGGTACAACCCCTGCTGAGAACAACTAGCTCAGCACAGACCGGCAACCAAACCTACGTCTGATCTGTGTGACCTGAACACAAAACTTGATGAGACTGAACTATTTGGAGAATTGAAATACTTCTAGATTTCATTTATTTCTCTGTGCTCTTGATTCTTCTCAGGGCACGAATGAAGTTGAACCGGTTACAGTGAAGTCGTCAAAGGAGGTTGTAGAATTCAGCATCCAGCTTGTTGGAGAGAACTACAGAGAGGAACTTGCTAATCCTAGCACATTGGATCATCAGAAGATGGTTAAAGATGTCCGTGCAGAGGTAACCTATAATCCTGCAGAAAACCAAATAAATGACATGGGATCTGAACAAGGAAACTTATGAGCACACAGTACAGTGTTCCTTCGCCCAACACTAATATTCCTTGCCTCGAAGAACACAACGTTTATATTAAAAAAAAGGGAAGAACGAGAAAATTGATTGTGATAAATACTAAATATAAATACTATGGATTATTTAATCTTGTGAGACATTCTAAAAGAAGTTTAAAAAAATACTTTATGCATTTCTTGATATTAAACTATCCAAATCATATTAAGAAAATTCAAACTCTGACCACCGTTTTCAATCTAAGCCGAATGCTTACTGCTGCAGCAAACATCCCAATACGTGATGATACCGCCACACGGCTGATATCATTATGTGAGGTAATTGCCACGCTCCTGATATTATCACGTATGCCTTCTGGACGCAGCCTGACTTTGCCGAATTCGTCTTACACAAAATCTATCCGATAAAGGGCACTACCACCTCATCTCCCACATCTGTGTTTTGCTGTTATTCCCGATTGGTGTTTATTTGGCTATATAATGTATCTGCGACTGCAGGGTGATATCATCACATAGCGCATATGATGATGCTGACAAACACATGATGACATTACACCCACCACCCCCCACTTCCCCCCAGAAAAACTCGGCCCTTGTAACATTTGTGTTCTGTGCACTTGGTGAACCCAGCAAGGTGGGAAGATGAACTATGATGTATAATGCAGATGTGATTACTGCCAGCTACATATCATTTATAAATGTACTTTTTTTTAGCATGCTTTATGTCAAAAATGTTAATCTTAATTATAAACAGAATTTGATCTTATCAGGTTTCTCCTAAAGTGCTAAAGTGGTCTGTCCTGTGCTTATATTGCATTTCGCCCACAAAATATACAGTCAATTAGTGGTTAGAGGCCTCGCCTCGCAAGCGAGAGATCTGGGTTTGATTCCCAGCAAGGCGAAACGTTGGGCAAGTTTCCTTACTCCACATGCCTCTGTTTACCTAGCAGAAAGTAGGAACCCGGTTGTTAGTCGATCGGTGGATCGCTTTTCCTGGGGTAATAATTCCTTCAAAAAATTAATAATAATAGTAAATTGGTCACTCAATCCATGACTGTTTGTGGGCCACTGCTCTGCACAATTGGCTGCCGTGTTTCACCCACAAATTATACAGCCAATTTTATTTTACAGTATGTTCTGTGAAGCACTTTGAGACGTCTCAAAGACATGATAAGGCGCTATATCAAATGCAAGGATTATTCTTATTATTATTGTAATGCTACAGCTGTGGTGCTAGTGAGATATTTATTGTGTTGAGTTTATTGCAGTTTATTGTGCTGCTGTGGCAGTATTACTGCAATTGAAACGCCAAATATGATCCCGTATCATTTTTCATTGATGGTGCTTGTGGAATCCACATTTTTTTTTGTCTTAAAAAAAATCCCTTTTCTCACCTTTTATTTTTTAATGATTCAAGAGAACCGAATGATGGCTGTCAGACATTCTCAAAGAGCAGCTGACTCGATGTCACTGAAATTAGTAAATAGCTGTCCGCTAGTTAAATACTTTTGAGTGGACGTGCACAAAGCTCCACTACTTCTTCCTCACCCTACTGGTGTGAGCTCGCAGAATAATATTGTAGCAGCAGCATCAACCTATATGTTCCCAGATGCTGGTGGGAGTGGATCAGCCTTTGGACAGAGACAGAGAGCAGTGTAAATTCTTGTAAGACTCGGAAAAGAATCAGAGCAGTTGATTCGGATTGGTGTCCGTGGGGTGCTCCCGGATCTCTTGTCATTTGCTGTTCAAAGGACAAAAACAACTTGCATTTATATAGCACCCCTCACCCAGGGCAACGTCCCAGGATAAAAGTGTCTGCAGTCGCACAATTGAAAAAGTTGTAATTTAATATGGCCTTGATATGAATCCAGAAAAAGCGCAGCTTAAAAAAATAGTTGTTCATGTCAGATCGTCTTGATCCAGAATGAATGCAACTACATGGAGTTGAAATGCGTGCGTGTGTGTGTGTGCATGTGTGGAGTGGGGGGCTGGGGGGCTTTAACACATAAGCAACATATTAATTTTTTCTCTGTTGTCCATTGTATGAATTCTATGAAACACTGGAAAGATTCAGTACTTATATGTTTGAGTAGCAGTAATTCATAATAAATGGATTATAAATTATATCTATCATTCTTTATAGACTATCCGTGCTATAATTTAATCACAGCTGTCTACCTTTTTTAAATACTTTAAGTACTTTGGTAATAAAGATATACATTTAATTATTTTTTTTTAAAATCCGATTTCAGATGAAAAATATCTTTGGAAAGGTACCAGGATTTCAGAGTATTCACATACTGGAATTCAGGTTCGCAAACTTAAACCTTGTTATTTATTTTGTTGTACGCACCCTGTGTGATAGCCTTCTAAGCCATACTAAAAGCCATACTAAAAGGTCTAGGGTAGAGATGGAAGCCCTTTATTAGTAATTGTGAACACAACAATCCCTGATTATTCTCTGATAATGACTGAGGTGCAGTGGATAATTGAAATTGATGGAAAATTGAGGCTCCACTGTGTTTATTTATATATTTACGATCAGGGTCTTTACATTGCAGCAAATAGTTTTATATAGTTAAGCCAATTCCTTTGATAAAATGGAATGCATCTTAACCTGTAGGACAATTCAGGTGGACAATTATTACAGTACTCTCATTGCTGCAGAATATTAACATATAATTTGATAGGTTGAGTTTTGTTATGACTTTCTTCTAAATTCCATGGACCCACATATGGGGAAAAATTCCAGTGAGTATTACACGCAGAGCCTTTGGCAACTGATGAGATTTATTATGGCTGTTGTGGGAGATTGCTGTGTGCAAATTGGCTGCCTTGTTCACCGATAAAATACTGTCATATACAGTCATTACAGTATATTCTGTGAAGCTCTTTGAGACACCCTCCTGATGTGAAACAGCAGTATATCAAATGCAATGATGATTATTATTATTATTCCAAGACTTATTTGTTTGACTGCACCTTTGGTCATCTTTCCCTATCCCCACCACCTTTGGCATTCACTCCCACCTCAGGCGCCCAACCAGCAGTGACAAGCACTTTGAAACATCCTCCAAATATATAAAAGTACACTGTATTGTATTGCATTTTGCATTCTTGCACTTGCATTCTTCCAATGATTAGAAAAATAGTGCAACAATGGAGCCAAGTGGATCAGCAATAACATTTAAGGGAAGTAATTAGAATGGGGGAAGATAATTCAGGTTCCACTATACTAAGGGAACAAGATCATTTATAGCAGGTTATATAATGTTAGAATGGGCTTTTCTGTAATGATTTAGTTTTTTAATATTCACATATTCCTTAAGTATGTAATTGAAACACAGTATAAATTGTATTTTCAGTTAGTGATCTTGAAAACAATTGCGTTGGATGCCAGCACTACCTGGGGGGAAAAGCTTTACTAAGAAATCAGTTTGATATAAATTCCAATGACCCAAATCAATTCAGTCTCCACTGCAGAAGTAATCCTTAAAAGTTCCAGGTGGTCCAATATTCATCAGACCAAACTGGGTTTGCACTTAACTATTTATGATTTACGGCAGTATAAATGCGTCATTGAAATTCTCTACTACCCACCACCAAACAAGAAGCAGGTGCTCAACCTTATATTTTAAGATGATGGGTTCAATATTTTTTTGTCAGCCTGGCTCAGTTGGTGGTACTCTCACTTCTAAGTCACATAGTTGTGGGTTTGTGCTCCATGCTGAGATCATAGTCTAGGCTGATACTCCAATACTGAGGAGTGCTGCATTGTCATAGGCGCCAGCCTTCAGACGAGAGGTTAAACTGAGGTCCTATCTGTGGCTGTTAAGGTGGACATTAAAGGTTTCAAGGCAATATTTTGAAAGGAGCAAGAAGTTTTCCCCAGATAAAATTGGTCGTTCATTTCATGGATGTTTGTGGGACACTGCAGTGTTTGCTTACAAATTTACAATCTTTGAAATGTTTCGAGGTGTTTGAACAACATGATAAGGCACTATGTCAGATAGAAGAATTTTGTTTTGTAATATTGAATATTAATCGTTGTAATTCTAATCCTATTTCTCTTTTGTGTGTTGCAGGGAACATCAGAATTTAGACAGGTAAAACACTGGTATTTTCAAGGCTTCACATTAAGCTGACTTGTCTTAAATACCCGTTGTAAGTTGTAGGTTAAATGGATTTTGAATCCAATAAAAAGGTCATTGTGCTTGAGCAAAAGTAAAGAAGTTAGTCAATGCTCTCCTTTGTCTTTAATCCCACAGTGAACATTGCATTATGAATCATTCCAAGAACCCCTGGCAACTGAAATGTCCCATCTCATTTAGTTAGTAGTTGGGTCTTTACTCCTGCGGTTGCGGGCCAACATGAGGAGGCCTACTTTGAGTTGCCAGCAGCTGAATCAGTTCTTCGGCCATTGCCAGCCTTCACCACAGCTTCCGATAGCTAAACAGTCAATAGCAGTGATTTCAGTAGTCTGATTGTGTAACACACGTGATGTTGTCATGCACATTGAGACAACATCATGTGCGAGACGCAGTGACATCAGACGTGCATCGTACTCGTAAACACAAGCTGTTGACACTCACTTTCCTGACCGGCTACTGCCTAAATAATGGTAGCAGAAGCTGGAGGAAAAGGCCAGGAGCGAAGTCACCTGATACTTGATACAAAAACAATTTACAAAAGGGAATTAGATAGGTACTTGAAAAGGAAAAATTTGCAAAGATACGGGGAAAGAGCGGGGGAATGGGACTGATTTGGCAACTCTTCCAAAGAGTCGGCACAGGCATGATGTGCCGAATGGCTTTTTTCTGTGCTGTAATATTCTATGATTCTATGATTCTATCAGCAAAACAAATGTCAATAGTTGGAATGCACAGAAAGAATGCGGAATGTGAAAATTAAATGCGAAAACCAGAGAAACATAGTATTTTAATCAGGCACTGATTAAAAATCTCCCTCCTCTGTCTGCATCATGTAGATTAATGTGAACCCCATATTGGGTTGCTTTTCTTGTTGTTTATGACAAATTCTACAACCTTAACCTCAAAAAGAAGACTGTGGAAGGAAATGTTTCCACAAAAGAATGTTTTCAGGGCAGGGCGGCAATCAAGTCCAACAAATTTTAAGAAGAAACAAAAAACAAAAGAGGATTTCTGAGTGCTCCAAAAAATTAAGTGGTATTCATGAATTTTTGGGAAACGAGGACATTTTAGGAAAAGCTGTTTGCACTTTAGGTTTTAAGCCTTGTTTAATACAGCTGGGAACAGAACCCAATTTATATGGTCTCTCTGTTGCATCAAATCAGAGCCATATCCATAAAAAAAAATTCAATTTGGTGTTCTGCTCATATGTACACCTTGGCGTGTACACAGAACAATATAAATCAGGTGTTTGTTTCTTAATGTTATTGAAGAGCTGGTACAAATCATCACTGGGAAGTGAGCGTAGAGCAATTTCTATTCCCTGCTTTTATATTGCACTGAGTGCAAATCGCACTGCTTCTGACACCCGCTTCTCTTTCTTGGTGGTGTTGGGAGCAGAGCTGTAGCCCTGGCTCAACTCGGGTTTACGCTGCGCAATTTGGTGGCAAACCCCAGCCAAACTTCTGGTCACTCACTGCCAAATGCGCAGTATAAGTGCTGTATTGTTTTCCTTTAATTTTCTTTTATGGGTTTTCACCCCTTTCCCAGCCTCCTTTAAGCTGTCAGAGAGGCGAGGTTTGAGTTCTTTTCTTCATTGTTTAGGGCCAGTGCGTTTCAGTGCTGTGGAGCACGTGCACTGCGCCAAGTTTATTTCTCCCGAGATGAGATCCTTTCAGCTTTTTAAATCAATTGGAAACTGTCCAATATGTAGTTTAGAGGATGATGCGTCTGTAAGTTTAGATCCAGGACTGGCTGAATTATTTACTTTCTGAAATGATCTTTTTCCTCAAAATGTAAAAATCTTCTTGGGTTGTGTTGACTGTACTATTTTGTAGCAGCTTCACCGAGAACCAGATAGTATACCCGGTTTAGACCATATATAAACGCAGGTGCATTATCCATTTGTGCAAACCATGTGTAAACAAACATACATGAGCAGAAGAATTACAGGTGCCCTTAGTTATGTAATAAAGAACCAATGAAATAGATTGAGATTTCATACAGCGAAAACAAAGAACGTTATAGTTCGGAATCAGTGCATTTTATACTCCTGTTTGTAGATTTGTTTTATTTGTAGTGATTGGATGCTTTTATATTAAAGTGTATTATTTCTCATCCAGCAGCAGCAATGTGCTGGTGCACTATGCAATGACCTTCGATGGAAGTATTTTACCCATTGAGACCATTGATACTCCCAGTGAAGTACAAGGTGGATTGTCCTTGGAAATGGAAAATGAAAACCGACTCCCAGCTGTTTACACAATTAACGATCTTAGGGATTTCGTAGCTCAGGCCTCGCATGAGGAAAAACAAATTGGAGATTCATTGCTGACTTTTGACCCAGAGACTCTTCAGCTTCTGAATGGTAAACCGTATCAATGCTACTTATTGAACTTCAGAATCAAGATATTATGTTGGAGTAGCAGAATGAGAAAGAACAAAGAATGACCGATTGTGTTGTGCTTTTCCCTGCAGAGCATTCAACCGATCACGGGCTTGGCAGTAATGACTTTAGCCTAGAGGATCAAGAAGGTATTGGCCTTCATTTTTTTGTATTTGCGTAATGTAATGCCCAACTGGCAGTACAGAGGAGCAGAATCTAATTGCACGCTCCACATTTATTGATTGCATCAAGTACTTCACGCCAAATACAGAATGTACAATCCTAGAATCCATTCTCGAATTCTCCTAGTCTCCAATCTCTAAAGATTGACACTTTTTCCCCACATTGCTGATCCTTCTGAACCACATGAACACAATTGTTATATCAGTGCTGTTTATAATACACCTGACAAAAGTTTTGGGCTTAAATCTGATGACCACTGGGAAAAATATTGAGCAGACTAACTGACTGATTTATATATCACACAGACTCTGTATTCAGAAAGCTGATTGTGTGATGGAACGAAAAATCTATCGAGAATCAGACAACCAAACGCAAACACAAAGAGAAGTCAAAACATTATTTCAGCAGTTCAAGGCTGTGCAGAAGCTTATGTTTGTTCCCTTTCTGTTAAACAAAACATTCTTAGTTACGATCCTTGGCAATGTTGATTAATTTGCATACGGCCAAGAATCATCCTCAGATATAACATACTCAGAAGAAGCACTATTTTTCCATTATAATTTAAAAAAATTGGATCAGCGTTTGTGTACAGGGATTACACCTTGATGTATGGCATAAACATAGTTGTAGATTACAGTATAAAATGGTTTAAAGTATCCATTTTACAAATTCACCCTCCATTGGTGAGCTTTTGATTGTGGCACAAATAGAAATGCAGGTACAACTTTAGAACTGCCTGAGAATAATTATAATCCTTGTATTTGATATAGCGCCTTATCACGTCTTCGAGCTGTCTCAAAGCGCTTCAGACAATATATTGTAAAGTATAGTGACTGTATATTTTGTGGGCAAAATGCGCACAGCAGTGTCCCACAAACAGTCATGGATTGAGTGACCAAATTATTATTTTTTTTTGAAGGGATTATTACCCCCAGAAAATCGACCTAACAATTGACTAACAACCGGGTTCCTATTTATTGCTAGGTAAACGGAGGATTCTGCATCCTTCCACAGCCCTTCCATAGCACTGTGTACTCAGTTGTAGGATACACTGAGTTCTGAGTGGTCCGGAAGTTCTTGTATGTGCTGTGCCAGTTGTCTGTGTGGCATTGAATCAAAGAATAAATACTCAAAGCAAATGCAGTTGATATAGTATTTTTACTGAACTTAATAAAATAGTTTGAGCTGGAAAATTTTGCTTTTTATGCAGCCATAAAGAGTAAACACATTTATGGGGTGGTCGTAAAAATTATAATAACAGTGCAATAAAAGGACAGAAGGTGGAAGAAAAACTGCATACGTTCATGAGTATGAAATATGAGGAAAATAAAATGCAAATAAAACTATAATACTTACAATAAATTAAGCTTTTGCTGAGCATGCCAATTATTCTGTTGAGGGATACATTGCATGTTTTTAAACCAGCAGCATTTAATTTAATTTAATTTGCATTTGATTTAATTTAATTTGCTCCAATAGCAGTATGCCATCATAATTCTTGTGGAGTCATGTAGAGTAACGATTAGCAACGAGGGACCCGGGTTTGATTCCCAAGCAGGGAGAAACTTCAGGCAAGTTTCCTTACTCCACACTCCTCTGTTTACCAAGCAGTAAGTAGGAACCCATTGTTAGTCGATTGGCGTATCGCTTTCTGATGGTCATAATCCCTTCAAAAAAAACTAATAATTTGGTCGTTCAATCCACGACTGCTTGTGGGACATTGCTGTGCACAATTGGCTGCCGCGTTTCTCTCACAAAGTGTAATCAATTCACTTGACGGTATATTCTGTGAAGCGCTTTGAGATGGCTTAAATGACGTGATAAAGCGCTGTATCAAATGCAAGGATTATTATTATTATTATAATATATAAGGGGGAACCTCATTACAGCAGTCTTTTGACAGAGCCCTGCCTTGCTTAGAGTGTGGGTCTATTCTGAAGCTCACCACTGATTAGCCATTTTCCCGTGTTAAAAAAATAGTTGTCGTCAGATTGCCATTGACATAATTTCCGGCAAATTGAGCGGGTGCCTTGCGAAGAAAGGCAGCAACATTTTATGCACACAGTGCATATGAGCAACACATTGAAAGTGAAGTCCGCTAGAGAATAGCAACTCGTAGTCAGTCGTCTGTTAGTGTTGAGAGATGGCCAGACAGTGCAGGATCATAGTACACACAATTTCGTATAAGATTCCACATCCAAATTCCACCTTTCAGGTTCCTTCCTGCACTCAGTCGTATGGTACAATTGACACACAATGCAATATAAATCCAGTTTGTGGCTAAGTAATGTAGGTATCAATAACTGGAAGTATTCTGTAAAAGTATTGCACGCAATACCTATGTCACTTTATCTTCATGTTTTTCACCAATAGCAATAATGTGATCATTTTAAACTTGTGGTTAAGTTTGTTTCATGTACTGTTTATTCCTCTCCCAGCTCCTGAAGTACCTTCTCATGCTTCTGAAGACCATACAACAGTGGGACTGTCAACAACTGGATCTCCTTCAGCCGATGTGGCAAGTCAATTCTTTTAACCAATTTTAGCACTGTGTATATCTCTTACATATTATGTTCATACTTTCCAGAATTAGGTAAGCAACCTTCCAGGGAGAGAGTGCACATTCCATTCCAACAACCTGTCTCTCGAATTCCCACCTGTAGGTGGGATGCATGGAATTCTCAGCTTGGATTGGACACTCTTAAGAACGGTGTCAGACACCCAGCTGAACCCAAAATAAAAATGTTATGTTAATAAGGAATGTTTCACATTTTGTATTTCATATTAAGTGAAGGATTTTAAAATCTCCATTTGTGGGAGGAATGTTCAATTAGGCTTCTGCCCATGTTTGGGAGCTAAACATTCCAGGGTACCTGATGTACAGGAAAGATAGGCAATGTGGAAAACGGAGGGTGGGGGTTAGCCCTGTTAACATTAAGCCCTGTCAATCTTCACATCAAATGCCAAGTGCGAGAAGGTCATGGACTTCTTTTCATCTAAAATACACAACATTTGCCAGGCAGCCTCATCCACCTGCCTCTTGTCACCCACCACCATGCCCTCTCTGTCCCTCACCCTCCCCATCATCTGCTCCTACCACCACCCCCATCCTACATTCCTTCCTCCCCATCTCTCCCTCCTCCCTCTTATTCACCTTTACCTCCATGAAGCCCACCACCTGCTGCCTCGACCCCTCCCACCAACTTGCTGGTCACCCAGCTCCCCCTCCTCTGTCCACTACTGGCTGACTTCATCAACCAGTCCCTCTCCTCCGAATCAGTCCCTGCCCCCCTCAAAATTGCTGTCATCACCCCCCACCCCCACCCCAAGAAACCTTCCCTAGATTCCTCAAACCCCAGCCACTACTGCCCCATTTCTAACCTGCCCTTCCTCGGAAAAGTCCTAGAACTTGTTGTTGCCAATCAACTTCGTGCACACCTCCCACTCCCTTTTTGAACCTCTCCAATCCGGTTTCCGCCCTGTCCACATTCCAGACACTGTGCTTGTGAAAGTCACAAACGACATCCTCTCTATCTGTGACCAGGGCTCCCTCTGCCTCCTTGTCCTCCTGGATCTCTCCGCGGCATTCGACACAGTCGATCACATCATCCTCCTCCACCACCTTTCCTCCGTCATCCACCTTGGTGGGACCTCACTCGCCTGGTTCGAGTCCTACCTCACAAACCACCAGCAGTACATCTGCACAAACGGCTTCTCCTCCCTCCCTCACCTGGTTACCTGCGGGGTACCCCAAGGATCCATCCTTGGCCCCCTCCTCTTTCTGATTTACATGCTCCCTCTTGGGGATGTCATCCGCAGACATGGGATACATTTCCACATGTACGCGGACGACACCCAACTCCATTTTTCCACCTCTCTTTGCAACCCCCAGTGCCCTGATGTTCTGTCAGCCTGCCTGTCAGATCTCAGGGGCTGGATGAGCGCAAATTTCCTTCAGCTGAACGTTGCCAAGATGGAAGCCATACTTTTTCAACGTCTAAAATCTCACGGCTTTCACCTCTTCCACCTACCAGACCTCCCCCTAAAACTCTCTGAACCCGTATGCAATCTAGGCATCAGGTTTGACCCCCAATTATCCCTCCTCCCCCACATCTGGTCCCTCACCAGCACCGCCTTCTTCCACCTCCAATGCGTCACCCGTCTCTGCCAATACCTCTTTCCGAAAGCCTCTAAAACCCTGGTCCATACCTTTGTCACCTCTCGGCTGGACTACTCTAACGCCCTCCTCGCCGGTCTCCCATCCACTACTATCCATAAAATCCAGATCATTCAAACCTCTGCCGCCCACATTCTCACCCACACCAAACCCTGCTCCCCGATCACCCCAGTCCTTGCCAGACTGCACTGGCTCCCTGTCCCAGAGAGGATCGACTTCAAGATCCTCACTCTTGTACTCAAATCCCTCCATTCCTCTGCACCCGCCTGCCTCTTTGACCCCCTCTTACTCCTCAAGACAGTACCTGTTGGCTTCATTCCTCCGGGTCTAGCCTCCTCCTCATGCCCTGAGTCCTCCGCTCCACCCTCAGCGGCCGAGCCTTCAGCCACTATGCCCCGAGGCTTTGGAGATCCCTTCCTCACTCCCTTCTCCTCGCCCCCTCTCTTCCTATTTTCAGGTCTCTGCTGAAAACTTTTCTTTTCGACTGCGCCTTTAGTCACCTTCCTCCCCCTCCCCCGGCTCGGCCCCGGGATCCGTTACTGTAAAGTGCTCTGAGACCCGTCCGGCATGGAGGGCGCTATATAAATGCAAGTTGTTGTTGTTGGTGATAAAGGATGAGATAAAATCAGTAGAGAGGAAGGATCTTAAGTCACAAAATCAGGATGTAGAATGGGTGGAGCTAAGAAACAACAAGGGGCAGGAAACACTCGTGGGAGTAGTTTATAGACCCCCGAACAACAGTTACAGTATTGGGCAGAGTATTAATCAGGAAATTAGAGGAGCGTGTAACAGGGGTAATACACTAACAGTGGGTGATTTTAATCTTTATGTAGACTGGGAAAACCAAATTGGCAAAAGTAACTTAGAGGATGCATTGGAGTTAGTTTTCTAGAACAGTATGCTGAGGAACCAACCAGGGAACAGGCGATCCCAGGTCTTGTATTGTGTAACGAAGCAGCGCTAATCACTAATCTGGACGTTAAGGCACCTCAAGGGCAGAGTGGCCATAATATAATGGAATTTAATGTTAAGTTTAAGCGTGATGTAGTTAAGTCCAAAATAAGGATCGTAAACCTAGATAAAGCCAACTTTGAAGGTATGAGGGACGATTTGGCTAAAATAGACTGGGAAAGTAGATTAAAAGATATGATGGGAGACAAGCAATGGCAAACATTCAAAGTTGTTTTAGATAATTCCCAGTGAACACATATCCCCTTGAGAAATAAAAATGTCATGGGAAAAGTGGTTCAACCATGGTTAAATAGAGAAGTTAAGGAAAGTATAACATTAAAAGAAGAAGCCTATAATATTGCCAAAAAGAGCTGTAAACCTGAGGATTGGGAGAGTTTTAGAGATCAGCAAAGATAATCAAGAAACGGATTAAGAGGGAGAAAATGGAATATGAGAGTAAACTAGCTAGAGATATAAAGATAGATTGTAAGAGCTTTTACAAGTATATACAGAGGAAGAGATTAACAAAAGTAAATGTGGGTCCCTTACAGGCAGAGACAGGAGAAATTATAATGGGGAATAAAGAAATGGCAGAGTCACTAAACAAATACTTTGCTTCTGTCTTCACGTTAGAAGATACTAAAAACTTACCAAAAATAGTGGGGAACCAAGAGTGATGTTAGTGAGGAACTTAAAGAAATTAATATCAGTAAAGTACTAGAGAAATTGATGGGACTAAAAACTGATAAATCGCCTGGACCTGATGGCCTGCATCCTAGCGTTTTAAAAGAGATGGCTGCTGAGATAGTGGATGCATTGTTTTAAAATTCTCTGGATTCTGGAACGGTTCCCGTTGATTGGGAGAGCGCAAACGTAACACTGCTATTTAAGAAGGGTGGGTGACAAAAAATGGAGAACTGTAGACCAACTAGCCTGACATTGGTGGTAGGGAAAATTCTAGAGTCTGTAATTAGGGACGTCATTGTGGGGCACTTAGAAAGTCATAATATGATTAGGCAGAGTGAACACGGTTTTATGAAAGGGAAATCGTGTTTAACAAATCTTTTAGAGTTTTTTGAAGATATAACTAGCAGGTTAGTTAGGGGGGATTCAGTGGATAAAGTGTACTTGGATTTTCAGAAGGCATTCGAAAAGGTGTCACATAAAAGGATGTTACATAAGATTAGGGCTCATGGAATTAAGGGTAATATATTAGCATGGATCGAAGAGTGGTTAACAGGCAGAAAACAGAGAGTAGAGATAAATGGCAGGTGTGACTCGTGGAGTGCCGCAAGGATCAGTGCTTGGGCCTCAACTGTTAACTACATCAATGACTTATATGAGGAAATTGAGCTTAATGCAAGGTGGAAAAGTACGTTGTGAGGAGGATACAAGGAGGATGCAAAGGGATATAGACAGGTTAAGTGAATGGGCAAGAAGGTGGCAGATGGAGTATAATGTGGGCAAGTGTGAAGTTATTCACCTAGGTAGAAAAAATAGAAAAGCAGATTATTTTCTAGAGGGGGAGAGACTAGATAGTGTTAGAATTCAGAGGGATTTAGGTGTCTTTCTATACCAATCACAGAAAGTTAGTATGAAGGTACAGCAAGCAATTAGGAAGGCTAATAGCATGTTAGCATTTATTGCAAAGAGGTTAGAATACAAGAATAGGGAAGTCTTACTGCAATTGTATAGGGCCTTGGTGAGACCCCACCTGGAATATTGTGTGCAGTTTTCATCTTCTTATCTAAGAAAGGATATACTCGCCTTAGAGGGGGTGCAACGTAGGTTCACTAGGTTGGTTCCTGGGATGAGGGGGTTGACCTATGAGGAGAGATTGAGTAGACTAGGCCTATATTCTCTAGAATATAGAAGAATTAGAGGTGATCTTATAAAAACATATAAGATTCTTAAGGGTTTTGACAGGGTAGAGAGTATGAGACTATTTCCCCTGGTTGGAGAATCTAAAACTAGGGGTCATCGTCTCAGGATTAAAAGTCAGTCCTTTAGAACTGAGTTGAGAAAATATTTCTTCACTCAGAGGGTAGTGAATTTATGGAATTCTCTACCCCAGAAGGCTGTGGATGCTCAGTCATTGAATATATTCAAGACTGAGATCCATAGATTTTTAAAAACTAAAGGGATTAAGGGATATGGGGATAGGGCGGGTGAAAGGAATTAGGTTAGTAGATCAGCCATGATCTTATTAAATGGCAGGGCAGGCTCGAGGGGCAGAATGGCCTACTCCTATTTCTTATGTTCTTTTGTTCTTACATGTATAGTTTGGGTGCCATAGAGTGGAATCCTTTGTATACCTTGTTAAGAATCTTATCTTACTCAGAACTAAATAACTATTATTTTTCTGTATTTCAGAACACTGTTCTAAATGCTGAGAGACCATCAACGCCAATGACAACAAATATCAATGATGTATTTCCTGGCAATTTTATCAATGGAGATTTTGAAGTGGATAACAAACAATTAAATATTCTTTTTCCAAAAGACATCAGGAATGAAGGAAAGCTCCCCAACTTCATGGGAAGTGAGCAGGCTACGGAATCTATCATATCTGTTGTGGAGAGTACCAATGAAGCTTATTCAGTCATTCCAGATCCTCTGCATAATCATACAACGAAGGAATTAATCACATGGGTCTCAACATCACCTTCACTGTGCACGGTAAGAAAAATAATGTCGAAAAATAGAGTTAAAAATTTTATTTAACTCTGAAAGTAGCAATATTCATTGGTTTTCTGCATATTTTCACATTATATGCATAAAATGCAGGGGTCTTCCTTCGCAAATTTTAATTATCCATCACTTGGACAAACTTGGCTTGCCTCGAGGAAGGAATTTTTGATTGGCATTTAAGCAATGAGTATGTCAAAATTGCTACTTACTCATTGCTTAAATGCCAGCCAGCCATTCCAGATCAGTAATACCAGAATTTTTATTATTTTTAATAATAGCCATAATAAACTTCAGAAAGGGTAGATTTTGTATGACCGATTGCCGAGAATTTAGCAGTGGGAAGCCATATTTTTCAGTGTGCCTAGACTTCCAAAAGATCTTACATAGAATATACAGCACAGAAACAGGCCATTCTGCCCAACTGGTCTATGCCAGTGTTTATGCTCCATGTGAGTCTCCTCCTGCCCTTCCTCAACTAAGCCTATCAGCATAACCTTCTATTCCTTTCTCCCTCATGTACTTACCTACCTTCCCCTTAAATGCATCTATGCTATTCGCCTCAACTACTCCTTTGGTTTTCAACCAAATAAAATAAGAAAGACTTCTTTACAAACTGATGCAACTTCTACCAGTAACTGGCTAAAAAGGCAGGAGCAAGGGGTAGTTGTTAGGGGAGCTGGGTCAATATTAGAGCAAAGTATTGATTGGGTTGCCTGAGGGGACCCTATGGGAACACCTTGTGTGTAAGTTAATTAAACTTGCACACTAAATAAAGTTAGGTGGAACTTCAGAGTCAAGAAGTAGCCAAAGAGAGCTCAACCGGGATTTGCCCTTGAGCTTTTCACTGGTGGAATTACTGTGGAATCAGAAGAGGCATACAAAAACCTTACAATTAACTTGCTTCCCACAGTCAAATTCTCAGTGGTCAGTCACGAAACAGAGAAGTCCAAGTATCAACCAATTCTGTGACAATTACAGCTCAGTTATTTGTGACCCATTGCTTTTTCTATGTTTTGTCAAGTTTCTACTTGGTGATTAGAAACAGAAACTGGGTAAAGATTTAAGGCAAGGAGGAACACATCCTACCAGTGAAACATAGAATAGTACTGTACTGTTGAAATGCACTGAAATAGCTACTGATCAATATCCTACCACTGAGGCTTAGCATGGTGGTGCTTCCATGCTTCGCCATAGCTTATAATGTGTATTTTGTGTTTCCAAAAGTAGCTCTGAATAAATTAACACATTTGTTTGGTGTTATAGGACTTATAATCACAGAGGGTGACACAGATGGTTTGCTGCTTAATAATGCAGTTCAACCACAATCACAGCCAACGGTGACTGAACTTCTATCTGATCACACAAGTGAAGAAAAGATGATAAGCATGGAAAGCTCAGTTACTGTTACACCAAGAGAACATTCTCCTGAATTCTCTTCTGATTGGGAAGATGTTTCTGAAGGAACCGTGTTTATACCAAGCAGCACCATGTCTCCAACACCTTTACCATTTGGCACAGATCCTACCATAACTCTTGATATCAGTGAACCCTCACCCCACACTGTCGGGTCTGTTAGTACAGATGAACAAATGGCTGCAAGTTCTGCAATATTTACATCAACAGGTCCTTCAATACCCAGTTCTCCGATATTAGTAGACTCGGATGGAGTTTATCATTCTGGCCAAATGTCTCAAAGTACAGATGCTTCAGGCTTTATAACACACGATCCAGATGTTTTTGATAATTTGTCTTCAACTACTCAACAAATCTTTATTTCAAGCTCAACTGTGGATTCTGATGGTAATACGGAACAATCTAGTGATGACCAAGACATTATTCTTGACTATGGATCTGGATCAGGAATTGAACCAGACTTCATCTGGTCTTGGACTACAGAATCCTCTGAACCAATTTCTTATACTCAGATACAAATAAAGCCTCAAAAGACTGATTTTGTGCAGTTGACAAATATCACTCATGATAACATTGCTATAGATCATCATACACAACTGTTGAATGTTGCGGAAATAGGCAATGTGATTGAAGACTTCACTGAGTTAAATGCAGATGGGGTGACATCCCAGGAAGATGCATCTTTATTACCTGAAATAACGTCCAACAGAATTTTGGATGCAAGACTTGTATCTTATATTTCACAAGCTTTACCTGAAAAAGTCCCCGTTCAGTGGACACCAGATAATGTATTGGAATTAACTATGCAAACATCGGAGGCAACAGGTGTGTATGATTACTATTCTAGTGACTCAACCTCAGGAGTTCAACCCATCTTAGATCACTCAACCTCAGCTGACCTTGCTGAAAAGTACCCTGTTACATTGAAGCCAATCAAGGAATCATCTCCCAAAGGCCAGCTAATCGCAGAATTCACCATGATGGGGTATCCATCAACAGAAGCATTTACTATACAAGATTTGACTCTTGTTTCATCCCTCCTGGATGACTCCATAGAGTCACCCACCACTAAGCAACTAGTGACACAGTCGTCTATCACCGAGCAAGTAAACGTAAATTCACTCACAGCTGATAACGGAATGACTGAGTCACCTATCACTGACCAAATGACAATGTTGTCCACAGGTGAGCGTATCATCATAGAGTCACCCACACATGAGCATGAAGTAACAGAGCCAGTTACTGTAAGAAATACAGCCACTGATATTTCCATTGTCGGACAGTTTATCACTGAGCCTGTAATAGAACATGTAGTGTCAAAACCATCCAGTTTAGACCAAATAATCCCAGAATCACCGACCATGTGGCAGCTAGTCACAGAGTTTTCCGATGTGGAAGAACTGATGATTGAACCACACACCATTCCACAGCCAGTTACAGGATTATCTAACTCGTTGTGGGCAGATACAGAACTAACTACGGTGTCTTTGGACAAATCAATTTCAGAGCCTTCAAATGAGATTCTACCAATCACGGAATCATCCAATGAAATTCTTCCTTTTCACAAATCGTCATCTCTACCACACACTGTAGTGTCCAATATTATCGTTGCTGAATTGACCACTCCAGACTTTCATAGTGTCACCGCTTCTGCTATGGTGGAACCGTTTACTCAAACAATGTATATTACTGACCCTTCCACTTCAGAGTATGATCTCAGCAAATTATCCAACATTGTTCAAAGCCTCAGTGAATCTGCACCTGTCATTGATTCTGTGGATGAATCCATCAGCGCAACACATCCTGTTATGACATTGTCTACAGTAGTAGACCTTACCACCGCAGCATCTACCACAGTGAAGATATTGGCTGAATCATCTCCTGTTGACCACCATGATCTCATTGTTGTAGAATACAGTGAAATGAAACCCACTAAGATACATTCCTCAATCACTCAAGACATTGAGGAGAATGATGACGTACACTCTGAGGTTCAAGATATCTCAACTGAGCTGGAACATTCAGATCTAATTTACCATCAGGAAGAGGCAGACAATCATGATGAAATGGCTAGTGGCTACACAGAACTTGCGATTGCCATACCAACAAACAAAGCAATGATGAGCAACAATACTATGTCCAAGAGGGCACTGATTGTCTTCTTTAGTTTGCGTGTGACAAATATGGTTTTCTCAGATGATCTCTTCAATAAAAGCTCGCCTGAGTACAAGGCTCTAGAACAGCAATTCCTGGAGCTGGTAAATTCATAATTTGAAAACAATGTTGTGATTTAAAATTAGTGCCCTATTGAAATGTTAACTAGTGATTGAAATGGTGAATATTCAGTTACAATAATAATAATCCTTGAATTCGATATAATACCTTTCATGCGGGAATGATGCGTCAAATCGCTTCACAGGATTTACTGTAAAGTGTAGTGACAGTGTATTTTGTAGGCAATAATGAATTTGTCACTTTGAGAAAAATTGTGTTAATGAGCAGGAACCAAAATAGATCGATTCACTGCATATTGCAATTACATTTCTAAGAGCTGTCTTTTAAATTGAGTTCTTATTCCTTTTGCTCCAGCTTGTTCCTTACCTACAGTTAAACCTGACTGGTTTTAAGTATCTTGAAATCTTGAATTTCCGAAATGGGAGCATTGTGGTGAACAGCCGGATGAAGTTTGCTAAACCTGTGCCACAAAGTGCGACCAATGCCGTCTATCTAATCCTGGAGGACTTCTGCAATACAGCGTACCAAACCATGAATCTTGCTATTGACAGATACTCTCTGGATGTGGAGTCAGGTAAAGTGTTTCTCTAGTAGCAGGTTTGTTTACCAGCATGGGTGGAACTGTCTGGGTTGCATGGCTGTGTATGGAGAAGATTCACTAGGATAATATCAGGGATGAGAGGGATTTATAGTTTTATGTAGGCTAATAATATGTAGAGCCAGGGTGCTAGAACCAGCACAGATAGGTTTAAACCAAATTATTTTCTTCTGTTTTTTAAATAATTCTATAATGCTAAACCCATCAAGCATTTATAGTTCAGCTGCTTTGATGTATCAACTTTGGGAAACTAACATTATTAGAACGCATTTTAGTACATGTGTGTCTGTTTCCACTGCTCTTCTATATGTTTAATAGGATTCAGATAATCCAAACTAATCTGAACGTTCATCCTTAGCATTAACATGTGTGATAGTTATGTAACAGTAGGATGCAGAACCAGGTTTCTGGAGACTTTATAAGGATGTGTGTGTTGGGAGGGGAAAGGGGAGGAGAGAGCAATTCAATTGAGAGCAAATCTTGGTCTTGTTTGTGGAACGACTGCAATAATGATTGCAATTTTGTTATTTACTGGTTGTACCTTAAACTTACTGCACATGGAAGGAAGTAGTGGATGCAAGACTAGCACACTGGGATGCAGAATATGAGTCGGAAAATGTAGCAATACAAAATTGTTGTCACAGTGACACCTGGTTCCTCCGGTACATTGCACACTGCAGTGTGCTTAATGTTGAACTATGCAGGAACATTTTGCAATATGTCTCAAAATGGAACTGTGTCACGATAAGCGGATCTAACTGGGCAGCCTGAGCTTATTGATGACTAATCTACCATCATATCACACGGGATTGTCTGAATATTTTGTAGTCCTTGCATCTTTCTCTATCATTGCAATATGTCTACATGGAGAATAAATGACGAAAATCGTTTTCAGGTAATAACCTTATGAGGCACCTATATTGTTATTGCTTTTAGCAAACCACAGCTCAGGAGTTTTGGTCTTCAAAACAGAGGCAAGTCAAGAACACCAGTCTTTCTTAACACGCTGAACATTGCAAGAAAGCAAATTAAATATGTTGAGATCATCAACTATAATGAAATTTGTTTCTTCAAGAAGCTACGTGTACAGTACATATAGAATTAGAAAATATCACAGCATTACAGCATCCATTGTGAACTCTGCTTTCACGGTGGGCTACAGCTAATACATATTTGTTTGTGTCCTTTAACTTCAGGTGTCCAGGCTGATCCTTGCAAATTTCAGGCCTGCAATGAATTTTCAGAGTGTCTCGTGAACCAATGGACAGGGGAAGCAGAATGTGTGTGTAATCCTGGGTATCTGAGTATGGACAGCCTTCCTTGTCAGAGTATCTGTGAGATAGACACAACTTTTTGCCTTAATGATGGTAAATGTGACAACATCCCACATCACGGAGCAATCTGCAGGTATGTGACATCTGAGGTTTACATACTACTCTGCAAACATTTTCAATCAAAATCTGGCGTATAGGTGGCCCAAAACACCACAGTTTCCAAATTCCTTTTGCAAAATTAAAGTGAATTTTACTTTGAGATACCATGGGTTAGGAAATGTTCAGATTGCTAATGAAATACGTGCTCGATACAAGGGTTCCAGTTGCCTCTGCACTACTGCTATTCCAACATGGTCTGATTTAAGGGACTGCTTTCTGCCATTGCAGACTGTTGCCAGTACCAATCATGGCTGAATTATAATAACAAAGTAATAATAATGCATTTTTTCATTGTTTGCAAGTGTCGAATGCATGGTGTCCATATAGAAGTTAGGCGCTGGTTTCCCAACCAGTGTAAATAATAGTAGTGAAACTGGGGAAAAAAGGCTGGGAACAAAGTCACCCAATAATTAGGGATAGATCCTAGACATGGTTTTAGGTTGTGGTTCTTGGGGTGGGGGTGGGGGGAGTTGGAAGATGAGAAACCTGTGTGGAATGCATGATTTCATTGCAAAAAGTACACAGTCTAGACAAGTATAATGTCCTCATGTATGTGTTTCAAAGACATCATCTGTTCTGCCTATGCAACACAAAGCAAGTATAGGACCATACTACTACTGTATGAGCATTGCTCATAGGGCCATGAGAGACACAGCACAGACCTAGTATTAGTGGCCTTGCCTCAATGTACAAACTGAATCAGGATGTCAGAGGATTGTTCTAACAAAAGATTGGTTGTTTTATCCAGCATTCGACCCTATGCAAAACTGGCATTGAAAAGCAACAGGGCTGAAGTAGCAATGTGTCCCTGCTAAACTTTGATAGAGCCTGGCATTCCACAGCCAAAAAGGCACGTCAGTAGAGGTGTTATTAACGTAATTTCAGAGAGTTTCTGGACAAAAACCTGCTATAAAGTAGCAAAAGCAATGCTAAGGAATTTTAATGTCTGCGGGATATAAGATTCTGTTGCATCAAGGCAAACGGTTGCTTTGATAATTATCCAGCACACAGTTTTGGCACAAAACGGAAATTTGGTACCTGCTAAAAGATCACCTGGGGAGCTTTCCAATTTGATTTATTGTTATTTGTTATTAACATCTCCCTAAATATACTTTAATACAGCACAAATGCACCTAATAAAGCAGGGTTACAAAGTACTCACCCTCCTTAAGCAAGATATAATTTAGTTCAAATAACATTTCAAAAACACATTAGAAAATTGATTCTATGCAAGGTAAAACTTACTGAGTGTCACATCAGCTTCTGCATGTTTCTGCTGTTCTCCGTAAGACTGAAGGAGTTTTCTTTATGTTTCTTTTTTCTTCTGAGTGAAGGACCTGAAATCTATTACAAAGTTAATTGTCCATCAATCACTACCAAGCTATTCAGTCTTTTCCCAGCAGCATGACAAGGAAAACATTTACTGTGGTTTCCATCCATTTATTCAGATGAGAGTCCTGCCAACCACATTTGCGGAGATTGGATCGGTGATACTCATTGTCTAGCCAGGGACTATTTGCAGTTTACCTCTCTTGTCCTCAGGCAGTGAACAGCCCTGCTTTAGATTATATGTTATTGAATGCTAACACAGGTAACAGACATTTGTTTTCCTCTCCATGTAGGTGTCGTGTGGGGGAGAACTGGTGGTATAGAGGGGAACACTGTGAAGAGTATGTCTCGGAGCCACTCGTGGTGGGCATTGCCATCGCCTCAGTGGCTGGTTTCCTTTTGGTAGCTTCCGCGGTCATTTTCTTCCTGGCCAAAACGGTTCGGGAGCAGATTTTTAAAAGTGACACCAGGGGATCTTCAGGGTGAGTTCTGTTATGGAAGCACGTAATAAAATCTAGAAGATCAACAACTCAGGATACTCACTTTGGATAGAATCTTCAGCCTCAGTAACATCTAACACTTCCATCATGTAGGATAGCATATTATTTTGAGGAATATTTGGTCATTTTTTAACCGCACTGTAATAGTGTACTTATAGTTTGAGTTTTGCCCCTACTCACTTGACCAGCTTTTCAGATTTATGTTGACTCAGGTTGGAGGGCAGAGGATATTAGTCTGTGGATGATTCTATGGATATGATCAATGCAGGTTCTCAGTTAATAAGCCATGAGATGAGGTCAAACAATACGGGAAGCTGCTGCTTACCTGAATAGGTTTTATTCCCTGCCCCACTACAGAAGATAAAACTGTCAGTGTTGCTGCTTTGGAAATGTGAATATGAATATAATTTGAAAATGGGATTTACAATTCAGATCCCCAATACTCTAATGGAATATGTTGTAGCCTTTCCAATTATTATTATTATTTATGACATTGACTAACTTATTTAATTTAGTAAAAATAATGTATTTATTTCTGTAGGTTATTTATTTAATAAGTTATTTAATAGGTCATTACATGAATGGCCTTACATTAAGTAATGACCTATGCTTATTTTGTCTTGCTGCTTATGTATCAGCCAGATATGATTCTGACACACAACTGCAAAGAGATAAATAGAATGGGAGGAGGAAAATTCTTCCCCATATCTCAAGCTTTTATCCTTTGTCTACGATCAAACTCTATAATGTGGTCTCTGTTCTTAAATGTAGTGGTCGACTATGAAGACCTCAGGACTTCCTGGAATCCCTAGGGTTTTATTTGCTATCACAGTGCAATGTTCTATCATATTAATAGAAACACATGTCTTTCATTTCCCCAGACGTAGCGATAGCCTGGCATCAGTGGAGAATGGAACAAAATATAATCCTATGTATGAAAGTGATGCCACGACTGGATACAGCCACTACTACAGGCGTTACCCTCATCTGTCGTCCTACAGCTCGACCAGTCCTGAGGCATCCACTGACTTCAGCAGTGATGAGATCCGACACATTTATGAGCACAGTGAACTCAGCAAGGAGGTAGGAATGGAGACAACACAAGGCAAATGGGAAGATACTGTGGAGTAGCAGTTAATCCCTTTCTGTAGGTTTTGGTGATAAGGTTTCTTGTAGGTTGAGTTGAGCATCAGCAGTGCAGTGGATTCGAACACCCCTTTATTATCTCTGACACTTGGGCATAATTTAACTCTGATAACATGGCTGGAAATAGTTGGTGTAGTGTCAATTCAGTTTACAGTGGACACAAGACAATATCACAAAGTAATCTATTGATTGCCATTTATTTGGTATTCTAGTCTGTGGATAAAGTGGCCTGGTACAATTCCGTAGGAGGTCAGGTTGAAATAGAGAAAGTTTGGTGTCTGGTTTGTAGAGTTTCTTAACAAGATTCCAGAAAAAGGAATCCGAGTCATGCAAATGGGGACTCCTTCTGGTAACCAGAAGTACATCATGCTGACCAACAGGAGCTAAGCTTTGAGCTGATCTACACCCAGAGCAGAGTCGATCGGAAATCGTCTGGATTTCTTTATTAAGAAAGGAGTCCTGTAGCTAAGTGGTTAGAACACTCACCTCACAAGCAAGAGGTCCTGGGTTTGATTACTTATTCAGTAATATTATTATGAAATATCACAAATTAGCCCGAGTAGAATACCTAAAATGATCCACAATAAATTGTTTTAAAGTCCCGAAAAAGTAGCCACTTGTGTGTTCTCCAGTTACATACTGGATTCGTGCATTTCACTGTAATTCTCTGTGAATGTGAGTTTCCATTTAATAGGGTGCCTTGAAAGTCTGAAAGTTTCATATTTTATATTTATTGAAGTGTTAACTTGTCAAAAAAAAAATTCAACCCGGCTCACAGTAAATCGTGTTCCACAGAGGAGCCTTTATGACTAGGTGTTCTCGTATTTGAACTCTTGCCAGGAAAAAAAAAGGTTTACAAATTGAACACAGTAGAAGGGTTAAACTAACGTTCATTGGAAAACAAGCATAAAGAAAAATCAGAAAGAACCTAGAGTTGCTGGGTGATTCCCGACTAGGTGAAGTGATTAACCAGGATATCACCCGACACCAGGATATTCACCTACAAACACACATGTGCTACTGACTATAATCAAGTTTATGGTGGAATCAGAAAGTTTTATTGAAATGAGAGTTTACAGTAAGGCTGTACAATTGTTTCAATGGAGTAGAACTTGTCATAATCAGTGGGTTCAGCAAACTGATTGTCTTACAGCTCTCTGCACTATCAGTAGAAAATTCACTACCCAGGAACCTTTTATTCCTGAGAGCTTTATATTCCCTTTGCTTGCTGAAAGTTCATATTAATCTTTAATGCAGAAACATGGTGCAGAAATCAGAAAATTACTAATATGTAACATCCAATTCTAATTACGAATGAAATTACGGATTTGCATTGATATTCTAGGAAATTCAAGACAGACTGCGGATAATAGATTTATACACTAAAGATCGGCAATTTGCAGAGTTTGTGCGGCAGCATCAAATGTAAGTCACAAAGATTGTGTTTGAGTTTTATTAGTTACTGCAGGAAAATCCTAACATGTGAGCCTGGCTTAATTGTTAGTAGCTTTCTTGCCTCTGGGTCGGAAAATTGTGAATTCAAGGTCCATGTTAGGACTTTGACCGGGCAGTCAATCTGATGGAAATGCAATCCTTTGAACAGGATCTGCCTATTCCAGTTGATATTAAAGATCCTGTGACAATATCTCAAAAAGAGAAGGAAGTTTTCCTTGATGTCCTGACTGACAATTCTCCAGATGAATATATCATTCAACTCGTGTCTGTTTTCAGACCTTGCTCTGTGCAAATTGGCTGCCATGGTTTCCTGCAACTATTCTTTAATTTAAATGTGACAGCAATTCCTGCAAGGTTCTTTGAGACATTCCAACACTGTACACATTGTATCAAGTAATAATAATAATCCTTGCATTTGAAACATCTTCAAGATTTAAAAGAGACTGTACCAAATGCAAACATTACTATTATTATTACTGATCCAATCCAAAATGGGAACAATATTTTATAAATCAGTATTAACAATGCTAGAGTTATATCAAGGGTGGATTAGTGGCTAAACAGATCCTTTAGATAAAATATTTTTTTTGTTTCATGGCTGTTTGAGGGACATCGCTGTGTGTAAAAATGCTGCCACGTTTGCCTACAAATACACAGTCACTCAATTCCACAGTAAAATCCTGTGAAAGGGTTTGAGGCGTCCTTCTGACATCATAAGCCACTGTACCAAATGCAAGGATTATTATTATTATTACTTTTATTTGTTGACTTCAACTTCACTTCTTCAAACCCCGAATGTTGGATGTCTTAGTCGTAGGACAGCAGCTCCAGCGCTGCAAGGCAAGCCTTAGAAAGTTTGCTAAATTATGAACAAGATATTCACTGCTGCTATTGCTGGAGAGGCACCTGCTGAGCAGCACTAATGTTCCATTCGTATGCTATACTTGAGACAATACAAAATCACACTTGTAAATATAGTGCCTTTCATGTCGGGAGGACATCCCAAGGCTCTCCCTTGAGACAATACAAAACAATGCAAAATAACTTCTTGTATTGTATGCTTGAGCATCACCAGAAGAGGATCACCATTACCAAAAAGGCCAGTCACTATTCATTGGTTGCTCAGCAATGACGAGTAAAGCTGATTTAAGGCCGTGCTAGAATAAGACCAACCTGAAATTGCATGAGCCCTGAGCTGTGAGCAAGGACGCCCCGATGCTAATTTTATTCTTAAAATCTCTGCGGCTAACCCTAATGTAACCCATGGCAACGTATAATTTGACCTTTAAGAGACCCATTAATCCAGAACAAGCTTCTTATCTCCTCTACATGCTCATTGCATTGATTGGACTTCCACTTCTCAAATGACTTTTCCGTTCAAGCCTCAATCGTAGAATTACATTGAATTACGTGGAATGTTACAGCACAGAGACAGCCCATTTAGTCTGCGCTTGTATTAAATCACCACATGACCCTCGACCCTCTCAATCCCCTCTCCCATAACCTTTTATTCCCTTCTTCGTCATGTTGCATCAAGTTCCTTCTCTTGACTTGCATCGTAACTTGCCCATCAAGTATTTCATCTTCCATGAGAGCTTTTATTTCTCATGGGTTTGCATTTAACTCTCTACTACTAATAAAATAATCCTCGCATTTGATATAGTACCTTTCATATCAGCAGGATGTCTCAAAGGGCTTCATAGAATGTACTGTAAAGTGTAGTGACTGTGTTTTATAGGCAAACTAAGGAAGCATCTCATACTTCATAGAAGGATTTGGTGGATTAATAAACAGATTAGCTGAACATTGATGCGATGTCAATATTAACACATTTGTTTAACTCCTTCTCTACTAGGGCTATGGATAACACCAGAAGAAGTTCCACCAGCTAATCCCTCATAAAAGATTCCAGTCAGAAAATCATTATAGGGTAATGATCCTAGTTTTGTGTCCTAGATATTTTGTTAATATTTATTTTTGTGTGTCGAGCATATTATTTAAATTGAAATGCTATTTTAAAAAAAAGAAACCGTGGAATAAAATTCCACCTGGGTCTAGATTTACTCCAGTTTTTTTGGTCAGCCGGATGTCTGGCACATGCGAAACCTGTCACCATGCTTAAGAGTATCCAAACCAAGCTGAGAATTTCATGCCTCCCACCTACACATGGAAATTCTCCTGATAGATTGTTGGAATGGAAACTGCACGCTCTCCCTAGAGGGACACATCCTAATTCCGGAAAGTATTATGTGTCCCGTTTTACTAATGTATTAATTTACTCTATTAATATTTGTTAATGTGCAGAATTTGGCAAATGATTGAGATCAGTTTTAACTTTGAAGCCTGTTTCTGTAGTTCTTAAAAGAGCTAACAAGACCTGCAGAAATCCGGCTTCAAAATGAACTGCTCTAGTTAAGAATATGACAAATTCTGGATGCTCTAAAATGCGACATATCTTTAATCGAACAAATCTCGACCCAGGTGGAATTGCTATTCTAATAGTTCCACAATGTTTTCATCACCATTGGAACTACATTGTAGTTCATTTCCTGGGCGGAAATCTTAGACAAGATTCCTTACTCCATGTGCCTCTGTTTACCTAGCAATAAGTAGGAACTCGGTTGTTAGTTGTTTGGTGATCGCTTTCCGGGAGTAATAATCCCTTCAAAATAAATAAATAATTTGGTCACTCAATTCGCTACTGTTTGTGGAACACTGCTGTGCAAAATTGGCTGCCGTGTTTCATCCACAAACTGTATATTCAATTCACTTTACAGGATATTCTGTGAAGCGCCTTGAGACGTCTCAACAGTGTCATATGGCGCTATATCAAATGCAAGGATTATTACAAATACGTTTTAAAAAAGGAACAATTCTATACCAATTCTATGCACAATCACTCTTTCCTTGCTACTCTTTGCTGTTACAAGAACTTTTTTTTGGTATCTTAGCACAAAAGTGGTGCTAAGATTTGGAACAACCACACCGAACTTCATATTACAGTCTAGCAAATTTAAGGTCGAAGTGAAGAAGTTTGAGATTTGCGCTTAATAGGATCCACTCAGCGGGAATTTATTTTTCCACTTAGTTAATTTGGAGCAAGACCACTAAATTGTGGTGCTTCACCAGTTGTTTCTCTCTCCCTGCCAATTTGCCCCCTTCCCCCTCTCCTTTCACTGAGCTACATTTTCACAGGGCTCAGGTATTCTCCAGTTTCTTGCTCAAGTAACCATTGTTCCTGTGGAAACCTCGACAGTGAGCGTTGGCAAACAATACACAACCCATTTGTGGCATCACAGCCGAGCCCCATTCCGCCCTTATCTCACGTCCACATACAGCTATATTGCAACAGGGATTCCTGGATAGTGATCAGGAGCAGGAAACTTATCTGATTTTATCATCCCTATTTCAGGGCATTTGGGCCACTAGTAGAGTCCCACTTCTTGTCTATTGAGTTTGAACTTACAATTTTCCAGTCTGTATGGCCTGGTGTTTCACCCTTTACCCGCTTAAGAAACTACAGGGCAACCTTGTTATAACGACTCAAATATAGCGCAGCCTTGCTTATAGTTCACCTTGATATAGCTCAACCTTGCTTATAGTGCCTGTTTCCTGTAGACCCTAGCTATCAAGAAGTGCATTACCTGCTTTTGGTGCTGAGTTTGGACGTCCTGCCGATGTGAAAGGCGCTATACAAATGTATTTTGTATTGTAATTTTGTATTGTATTTAGCCAGATTTCTGCAAGTGGCATTAGTGGCACTTCCTGCACATAGCAGTGACCTGCCATCCCGGAAGTCAGACAGTTTTTCCCTCTTTGCTTATAACGCAGGCTCTGAGCTAACGTTGAGCTGTATTGAGATTGTCTCAAATTCAAAGAAGTAACTCAAGATATAGAAAGAAGTCAGTTCCTTCAAGAATTTGAATTTCGGCAGAAGTCAGAAGCAAATGATAGTAATAATAATCCTTGCATATTTCTATAGTGCATTATCGTGTCTCAAAGCACTTCACAGAATATACTGTAAAGTGGATTGCCTTTGTATTTTGTGGGCGAAAAGCATAAGCAAAGATCATTAGTCTGTGCTGCTAATGTCAATATCCTGTGCAGTATGCATGTCGCTATGCAAGAAACAGCATTGATGTCCTTCATAAAGTATGCATGTTAATGATTGTTTCCTGCACGTTGTGTTCCATAGAATATAAGCACTATAAGTGAGGCCACGTTATATCGGGGGGGATTTATAATAGGGTGACAATTCATCACTTATCATGTATAAATTTGACATCTATAAAAATGTTGGTTACTCAGCTTTCGTCTTTACTTTCAAAAACAGACAGTACATACTTAGTCGCAGCATTCTTTTCTACTGGGAATACATAATTCCTGTTTATTCAGCAGAATAAAGATTGAATTACACTGTATTACAGCATGATTAACCCTCTGAGAGTCTTTCCACAGGTCTTTCTCAAATCTTCAATCCAACACACATGCTATCGGTGACAGCAGACAGGAAAGAAGCAGAAGAGTTCAGGTGCTCACCTGATCATTGTTACTGCGGTAACAGGAAAACAATGTGTAATTTTGAATAAAATTGGTATGTAGTTCTTATGTTTTTATTCATCATATTTTTCTGAATTCTGTCTGATTGTGATCGAGAGGTGCAGTTGAGGCATTCTATTCTCACTTGATGTTCTTTCCATCACGAGTCTGTCAACAACGATCAGGAATGGGGTCCCTGGTTATATATAACCTTACCATTTCAGTTCCGTATATCTTTGTGATGTGCTAAGCCACACTTACTGGCTTTTATCCATTGACACCATATGCTAACGGTGACAAGGAGATATCATTGCATCTTCATTATGTATAAATGTGATATCTGAAATGTCAAAGGATTCTCTGTGAATTTTATTAGAAATAAAGAATAATGAGTAATGCAGAAGGCAGGAATAAATCTCATGACTTGCAACCTTCAAGCATCATTTTTTTTCCCCTGAAGAACTGATGTTTATGTTACACTGTACTTATTTTCTTATATTTTGTTCAGATAAGCAATGCATATCACTATAACATTTAATTTAGTAGCATTTAAGGATATTGATGAATTTATACAATGGAAGGTAAAAGTAGTTTGAAATGTTTTAATATTAATATTGTAGTGGGTTACCACTGGAGCTTTCTCTGTTTTTCTACATCTGCAATATATTATTTGTAGCTGAAATTTTTATTACTTATTTATGTAGTTAATTTAGAAAATTGTACATACAAGTACTGAAGGTCATACCAAAGAAATTGAATAAATTGAATTGGAAGTGAGCATTGTTTTGAATTTAACATTTCTCTTTGAAGGGGAATTTGTCATTTTTAATTGTTGTTTTTTAGCAAATCTGAAAGCAGCAAATTCTGTAACATCTGTTCAGTCCAACACAATTTGTCAATGGAACCACCATAAAATATAGCTTCTACCTCACATCTGTATATACGTTAACCTTTACTTTCAGGGACATTATGTAAATACTGTTTGGTAAATGTAACATCTACTGTAGGTTTCTATCCAGATGACTTTTAAAAGTATCCTTACTATAAGCATAGTGACTTATACAGATTTTTCTATCTTATAAATGTTATTACAAAATTTGGGCAGTTTATGTGTATTATTTATGAAGAGATTCAACTAAATTTACCTGACTAACACAATTTAGTTAAGGAACGCAGGATAAATCTGCACCAGTGTAATTTACAGAATGTGAATACCAAAGTCATAGAAATTCCAGCAAAGAAGCCGATCATTTCAATCAAGTCTGTGCTGGTGCGAGTTCCTTCACTGGAGATACATCCAATGTTAAATGATCACAGAAATGTGTTCTTAGCACTGACTTAAAACCAAGCTAGCGTAGCTGATATTAGGAACATGGATGAATACATCAGAACTGTCCAATTGACCAAAATGTCATTGGTATGATCCGAAAAAAGCTGAAAGATTCATTTCTAATTGCAGATGGAATTACCGAAATGTGTTGTAGTCAACTCAGCACAGTTGTCCTTATTTGTACATTTTCATGCTCCTGTTTTTGTACATTCGGCGCACTCCCAACTATTTTTATTAAAATAAAATCTTCATAATACCTACTTTCTCTACTCTCTTTATCATGAGAAGCTATTGCGACATTAAAATTGAGTATGAGTTTATTTTATTTTTTGTCTTAAATTATCCGGAACATAAACATTCAATAAGCTAGCCCTCTGCTATCAGGATTCAATGATTACAGTACGCATTTACTGGCATTGTAATTACACTTAGCCGGACTGGATTCCCCCCACCACTCCCACCCCCCCCCCCCACACACACACATTAGTCCAGCTAGCCAGGGTTTAAGTGTACTGTAAAGTGGAGTCCTGTAGCTTAGTGGTTAGAGCGCTCGCCTCACAAGCGTGAAGATCTGGGTTCGATTCCTGGGTAGGGCGAAATGTTGGGCAGGTTTCCTGACCGCACTACTATGTTTACCTAGCAGTAAGTAGGAACCTTGGTTGTTAGTCGATTCATGGATCGCTTTTCCGGGGGTAATTACATCCCTTTTTAAAAAAAATTTAAAAAAAATTGTCACTCAATCCACGACTGTTTGTGGGACACTTTTGTGCGCAATTGCCTGCTGCGTTTCGCCCACAAAATATACAGTTAATTCACTGTGAAGTGCTTTGAGATGTCTCGAAGACGTAATAAAGCGCTATATCAAATGCAAGGATTATTATTAAAGTACAGTGACTGTTTTTTGTGGGCGAATGTGACAACCAATTTAAACACGCAAATCGAGGAGCAAATTTGATGGGGAGCTAATGAGTGAGAATGATAAAATAAAATTCTGCTAGTAGAATTGTAGTGCAGTTTTGCACTGTAATAGATGATTCCTTCTCGTAGCTTTTCAGTTTTTAGCCTGGCATTGATAAGGAAATGCAAAAAAAAAACACTCAATATACAGTCAGGTAATTAAGTAAAATCAGATTGTTGAGATTTGTGCTTAAACTTCACACCACCTCTGAATACAATCCTTTCCCTCTAACAGCTAATGAACCCGGTGACCACATAATACATCAATGGTTTGTAATCCTACATCCAGTAATTGACTGCAGATGGAAGAGGTTTATGTAAGGATTCACATTTTAAATAATCTCTGGTTAAGTACGGAGAGCACAGTAAGCAAGCTGACGGAAAAATGTTAATGGGGTTTAATTCCCCATCAAAGGGTAATTTAACGCTGTCATCAATTGCCACAGTAAATCATAATGAGAGTATTAACCTGTATTTGTGTGTTATTGCTAGTTGTTCCAGTTTGGGTTTAATATGGTGGTGTAAATGCTCTGAGACAGTTATATAATACATGAAGGGTGCTATATAAATGCAAGTTGTTGTGGGTTTAACACGGTGGTGTAGCTTTTATTGTTGGTTGACTAAAAAACATCAATTACTAGAGACAGATCCAATTAATTTCAAGCACAGGCAAATTCAGAATTGTTCTGTTATATCCTTTTCTGGAGCTTTATGTCACATTCGGACACATTGCAGACAAAAGCAAATACAGCTGAAGATATTGTAGCTAAAAATGCCACTCCAGGTACATCCCTGTCTCTCACAGAAAGTAATATCCATAAACAGAGGCCACCCTCTTTGCCACGGTTGCCAATCAAACGCTCCAAGATCATTTATATTGTTCTGTTTTTCTAGACTTAATTGTCAAAACTTTCCATGCTACGATTATCAGAAGTACAACAATTTCCCATGACAACCATGCACCTTGGCTCCAAAGTGATTGGCTTCCCTTGAGACAGTACAAAGAGGTTCCTTTGTTCCACTGACTTTAAACTCAAGTAGTTCTTTCGTCAGGAGGCTAAATAATAAAACACTTTCCTGGAGATGCATTTAACCCCTGACTTCCCCAACTCTCAGCTTCAAAACGTATGGTAATTTAAGAATCCTTTTGCATTCACTAAAGTAGTGTAAGGGTTGANTTTTTTTTACCAATCCACCATCTTTAACACTTTGAAGGATTTCTACACATTTAGAAGTTGAATTTAGTGATCTGTGAGCACTAATCATGTCTTTTCCTGGGGTTTCTAAGCATCTCACTCCAAGGAAAATAACGGCTGCCACAACTATTGGCATACCTATTACCATGAAATGGCCAAACGTATCTCACATGAATAACAGAAATGAACCCATTTCTATTTGGAATGGGAATAAAGGAGCCTGATTAGTGTAGTGCTCCAATGCTGTAACACAGTATCTCCTTCCAAGCCCAAGCCAGTTCAAAGCAGTGTATGATTTACAAGTGATGAAGTGTATATGATGGAGCGCCTCATGACAGTGCCAGCCTAGATCGGGAAGGACAATTCTGTAATAATTCAGTGGGAAATAATATCCTCTTCCGGTAAATATTTTTAAAAAATCATAATTTTGCACCCCATTTTAAAATCTAGTGGCGTGGTGGAAATATAACAAGCAAATTAAAACAGCTGTTTTTTTTCCCCCAATTCCTTTTTTCACAATTTTCCCTTTCTTTCCTTAAAACCATTGGTACGGTGCTCACAGATCACTAAAGTGAACAAAGTGGTAGGATGCTTCAAAAAGAGTGCAGTGTGTGAGTCGAGCAAAGGAATTTGAAGATAAAAATAAATAGTAATCCTTGTATTTGACATAGTGCCTTATCACATCTTTGAGATGTCTTAAAGCCCTTCACAGAATATATTAATAATATTAATCCTTGCATTTGATATAGCGCTTTTCACGTCTTCAAGATGTCTCAAAGCGCTTCACAGAATATACTGTAAAGTGAATTGACTGTATATTTGTGGGAGTAATGCGGTAGCCAATTGCACACAGCAGTGTCCCACAAACAGCCGCGGACTGACCAAACAATTTATTTATTTGAAAGAATTATTACCTCCGGAAAAGCGATCCGCCAATCGACCAACAACCGGGCTCTCACTCACCGCTAGACAATGTTTCACCCTGCTGAGAATCAAACCCAGGTCTCTCACTTGTGAAGTGAATGCTCCAACCACTGAGCTACAGGACTCCACAAGATTATACGTGAAGAAACAACATCAGGACCACAGCATCCCTGGTAGGTTTGGGTTATTCTATTTCAGAAAGACTATTAAGCTGTTGGAGGGAGTATCACTGAGGGCTTTAATTCCAGAATGATGAGAGAAGGTTGATTATCCTGAGAAATTTCTCTCTTGAATAGAGAAGACTGAAGGTTTTTTCCTACTTGATGGAGATATTCAATAATATAAAGATTTTGGACTCAATTTTTTTTTACGGAGTATGGCAAATTGAAGATGAAGAGATCATTTCTTCAAAAATGAAGACAGCAAAAGAGAATAGGAAGATGCAATAAAAGTCTGACAGGATGTGGAATAATAAACTACAAAGGGTTTCAAAAAGGAAATGGACCAGCTCCTGTAACTGAAATTAGAGATAAATGTATTAACTTGCCTTCAAGCGAG